TTATTAAAATTTAATAATACTGCTCCAGAAAAGGTAAATATTTAAATTTAAAAAAAAAATTTATATTTAATATTCTTACCGACGTTATCAAAATGAAAAATTATTTTTTAAATTACTTACATATGCATAATTTTAACGCTTTTTTCCAAGAATTTGGTTTCAACAAATTTTTTAAATAAATTTTTATATGTAATATGCATACATATATAATTATGTATATATAATTACGATATGTGTATATATATTAAAGGATATTCATCGGAAAAGGAAAATTAGCATATAAATTTATTTTTGAATCTCCGCTTCGAGGAAGGAAACGTTCCAAGAATAAAAACAAAAAATTGTTATAATAGAATTTAGAGTGCGATTATATACGAAGGAAAGTAACATTGTCAATACACATAGTATATAATATTATATATGTACAAAAGATATATACTTACATATACTATAGGTAACGTGGTTTATGCCCTTAATATAATATTGTACTTGAACTTTTGTTTTCAAAGCGAAGAATTGAACTTCATTTGGAACGTTCATATTAATCACTTAAAGGTTTATTTGATTTGTGTTTTGAATAAAATACATTTTATGTATTCTATTGTCTATGATACACCTAGTCTATTGATTAGCAGTACAGAGATATACGGCAAATTATTTTGAATCATACCTGAAATATAAACCGTTTATAGACATTTAATTTTTTTTCTGAAACTAAATTAAATCAGCTGCCGCTGTCAAACTTATCAATTTGATCTTTCACTTTTCTAAGAAATCTTTATTGGTGGAAACATTTTAATAACTCTCATGAAATATTTTGAAATTACTCTTTTATATTGTTTAAAAACTTATTTGCTCCTGTTACTATTGTATTTGTTCTACTCATTTTTCTTTTTGGAGAAATTCTTTATTTGTCTCTACTTTGATAGAAAAGACCTGAAAAGGATTTCCAAAGTTAAGAAAATTGATTGAAATATTAGTGAAAGAGTATACGACATTTGTTTAACCCAGATTATGCTTCATCCTTGAATAAAATAATGTTGTAATCTAAACATTTCGCATAGAATACAAACAAAAAATGAACAAAACACATAACGTTCATGTACGTTATGTGTTTTGTTCATTTTTTTCATAAAAGAAGTAAAAAAACAGATTTTATCTCGAATTTTTTTTGTTGGCTCTTATAATGTTTTTTTCTGATTTTATTACAAAATAAGCAACATAAATTCTCCCCCAACCTGTTTAAAATGTGAAAAATATTTTAAATTGAATTTTGGATTCGATTGTTCAACCCAATGAGAAATTAATCTATGACATTAACTTTATTGTATTATGTTATATAGATGAACTTCTGTGTGAATTTCTTTCACTTCTGTGCTATGTGTTATTTATTTGTTATACATTGAATGTAAATACTTTACGTATAAAAGTGAGGTATGTTGAAGAAACCCATAGTTTGGAAATCGCCACAGTTCTCTTTGAAGTTTGTATTTATTCACCATCCTATTAACAACTGCTTACGCGATCTTCAATTTGAATGAGTTTCAAAATACTTAGATTAAATTTGATAAAACAGGACAGCTACTTGTGATGAGGTTTCCTGAAGCTATAACTGGCTCCTGTTTTATTGCGATATTATAAAAATTAACTTTGTTGGGAATAGTAGATATTGTTGAAGATTTGCAATACTTGAGTTTGATATTTATATAAGGTATGGTTTCAGTAAAGTTGTTATAGTGTGCCTACTTTACTCCTTATGAATTTTATTTGGAATTTAAACATTTGAAGTAATAAAACTAAAACAGAAGCTAATAGCACCCGAAATAATACAATGTACCTCAAAAGTGGACTAGAGTGCATTTTTGAGTATGTGCATTAAGACCTAAAATAGGATTTCCAAATATAGGAAGCAAGAAACCATTTACGCCAGGAAGGTTTTAATCTGGTGGAATTGAACGAGGAGGCAACTGCCATAAACTAAAAAAAATGTCAAAAAAGATTTTTATAAAATTAAAATTTATTTTCATACTACGTATTCGTTTTATTTCAGTTTTCTCTGTTTTACTCTTAAGTATTAGTTAACTTTCATGATTTTCTTAAAGAATTTTAATGCGTATTCGGAGTATATGCAATTGTATTAGCAAAAAATAAATTACATTGCTGATTGATCTAAGAGGACCATGGAAGTACTTATAGTGATCCATTTAACAGCCTTACCTTTACTTGTGTAGTATTGTATGATTGAAGAATCAATTTTTGATCTTCCTATGGTTATTGACTTTGCAAATTGCGTTTAGTTTTTAAACTTGAACGTGAGAAGCAATACGAAAAAATTTTGTTCTGCGGCTTTGTAATTTTTGAAGTTTTCTCAAGAATCTATTTGTGCACAAGTTTTCCTGTCTTGAACGGTGTACAAACCCAAAAACTCATATTTGTTTCTGATTATTGTTATTTTTTATCAAATTTTCCATAAAATTTGCCATTATTATGATTATCGTCTAGCATTGGTGTTGAATGGTTACGACAATAAAAAAAATTTTTAAGCTATTTTTTAAGGACTTTTTAAAAATTTGTTTTTCGAAAAATAGGATTTCCATATTTTTTTTTATTTTTTTTTATTTTTTTATTTTTTTTTAATTTATTTACTTAATCGTTTTTAAGTGTATAAATTAATTTTTTCTTCTTTTTTATTTTACGAATTTTAATTATTTGCCATAATTCAAGAACAAATTGTAAAAGAAATATAAAATAAAATAAAATAGAAAAGTTTATTAATGAATTTTTGGTTTATAATTAAATCCACCGAAAGAAAAGTTGAACAAACAAGTAAATAAGAAAAAGACGAAACAAATTGTTAAAATAAAAAAAAAGAAATTGTTAAAAAAATCAATTTTCAGAGCACTCAAAACATTTAATATAAAAATACACTCAAAACGGAAAGAGTCTCGGGTAGTTTCAAAAATTAATTTTAAAATAAAAATTTTGTGAATAAAAAGTTGCCTTTGAATACCAAAATAGTTTAGTTGCATTTTATTGCATATCCTTGTAGATTTTTAAAGGTGAAAAATATTGAAAAACACTTTTAAGAATGAGTTCTGAATGGTAGCAAAAATTGAATTTTGTATGACTTCGGCATTGAAATGTAGGCGTCAAATATTTTTAGAAGCTAACCAAAATATAAAGTAAACATGAGTTTTTTTCATGCCAGGCATTCTTCAAGTAATTTGTTTTACGAATATTTTATGTATAAAAGTGTTAACAGAATGTTAGTTGTCTGGATCACAAACGGTACGTTTAGCACAGCTTAGATAATTGAAAATCGTTTTTAAAAGTAGATTTTTCCGTTCAGAAAACTGGATAGTTAGTTATTCAATAAGACCACTAACTTTATTTTTCTATTCCACACAGTCCTTTGTAAATTTAAAATTTAAGAACAAATCTGATGTGCTTAGCACATAGTTGACCGCAAATTTGAGGTGTTTCGTATTAAAGTACACTGGTATATACCATTCTCTATAGATTTCAAAAGATTATTGAAATCAAAACTGACTTATCAATGACAGCCGAAATATTATATTCTCGGGGCAATTAATTTTTGCAAATGGGGCGGGGGAACTCGGTTTTTAAGTTGAACAATTGCATAACAGGAAAGAGACACAATTTTAAACGATCGTACGTTTTTCTAAGTTATTGAGGAAAAAAGTTTTGTGTAAAAAAACATTTGCAATGCTCTATTTTGCATAATAACTCTTAAACCAGTACTGTTAGGAGTATGTTATTTAGAATTTTAAAGAATTACGTTATTTAGAAAATTAACATTTTTTAACAATGAAAAGTTCAAATTCAAATTATTCGGGCTTTGAAGTTATGTAGTTGCGAAATCTGAAAGTAATGTAGATGTTTATAACAAAGCCCATAATCTAAGGTTTTCAAACCATATTTAATAATGCATCTGTTTTACACAGGCACGAAGTTATACTTAAAATTTCAAAAAGTCAAAAAATCAGCCGAAATTGATTTAAAGCCCCTGCAACTTACAGGCCGAAAGATTGACAGACAGACTGACATCTCTCTAAAAAAAATTTTTGTTTAAGTTTCCGCTTTATGGAAATGTGCGTTCCCATCGAAAACTTGACATGCGATATTTGGTACCAGCTTGTTACCTCCCTTATTGTATGCATTTTTGTCGGTAAAATTGATCTTCTTTATTAAAGTACAGAATTGACTCAGTTTGTTACCTATTGAAATTTTTAAGAATTTAGAAGCTGAATATAAGACGCAATGATGAACCATTATTATTTTTGCATGAAATTAAATGTCCTAAGATTGCAAAATGTTGTAACACTTCAAAGTCTTCTAATTTAAAACCCGAGACCTGAACTATAAAATTTTATATTTTGACATCTGGCAACTTAAGTGTTTTTAAATATTAATAATTAATTTTGTAACAAAAAAATTTCAATGTAATAAAAATTAAGATTGGTAAGAAAAATGTGTAAAATCATTGTTAATTTTAAAAACTTTGTGTTTTTTTAAAATTTAAATTAGGAAAGGAATTGCAGAAAATCAACAACAATTTGAATATTTTGTTTTTGTTTTCATAATTTTGCTTTAGTTTTTTTATTTGTAGTTTTTTTTTTCTGTTTTAATTTTATGATTTTTCTAAGCTTAAGGATCTACGCAAATGTTTATGTTTAAATATATTTGTATTGATGTATGTATACTTGTATAACAAAATATATATTATATGTGTATGTATAAGCGTGTATAAAAGTAAAAATTTATCACTGTTTTAGAATATAACTGTAAATATATATATATAAATTTTTTTCTTTTCTTTTTTCTAATATAATTTTTTTATTCATTTGTTTTTTTTCTCTCATTTCTTGTACATTTTTTTTTTTTGGGTATTTCTATCCGATTATCCTGGGAATAATAATAAATGTAAAAAAATGAACCAAAAAAAAACAACAAAAACAAAAAATGGTTGAAAATTATAGCATCAACCTCGTAGCTGGATTGAAACAAATTTCCAAAAACGGGAATGTATTAAATTTATTCCGTTTCCGAAGGACGAAACAAAGTAAGTATAAAAAAAATATATTTAAAATAACTGTATTTATTTTAGTTATTGTTAATATTTATTTTTGTAAAAAAAAAAAAAACTCGTAAATGAATGTTTTCTAAATACGTACTTTTTCTTTTGTAAAGGGTTTCTGATTTTAATATTTTGTTATGATTTTGGTACAAACAAAAATGAGCAAGAAAACCTTTTATTTTCATTTAAAAATGATAATCCTGACTATATTTTTATTTATAAATTTTGGGAAATAAACATTAAATTTTCCTTTCTCCCTTTCGTTCTGATCAACAAATGTTGAATCAGTTGCTGAAACGAAGACCCCTTTTACACAGAATATGAACCAATATTTATAAATTTAAAGAATTTTTATTTAAATTTCTCAATTTCTATATATGTATGTATGTTTACATTTAATTCTAGAGTTACCTCTACATAGAATTGAAAAATTTTTATTCAAATTGATTTTAAAATGATAATTTTAAATTTCATTTTTGAATGTGGTTAAAATTTGAACGAACAAAGAATAAGCAAGTTTAAATTAGTCACTATAATTCTATATTTGAGTAAGTTACGTACATCTAATTAGGAATTTAGAAATTTATTCTAATATTATAAATATTTTGTTATTGCGCGAACCAAAAGAATACCTCAAAAATGGTTTATGTACAACTCTCTCTATAATTTCTCTGTGATGTTTAGACAAATAAAGTGTAAATTTTTATATTTAATATTATGTTTTGACTAGCTTCTTTAGTAATACTAAAATAAATATTGAAATAGTTAAAGAAACAGTTCATTACAGTTCATTATAAGTCAAAAAATAAACATAACATTTCTTTTCATTTTATTGCTGTCACTTATCAATCATTAAGATTTTTAATTAAACACGATTTCATTACAATGAAAGAAAAATACAGACCAAGAAAACAAAAAATTGAACGTGTTAACTATGTGATACCCGTATGAAACGTTTCCAATAGTTATGTTAACAAAAATTATTGGTATTAAATTTTTGATTTGAATGATGGCTTTAGTCTTGAGAAGTTTGGCTCTTCTACTTTTGAGATATGACAATCTTAATTGTTAATATTAATGGCAGATCATGTAGGATAGCGTAGCTGCTGCTAAAGTTAATGTCATTATTATTGATCCTATTATGCAAAACTGTAGTCTTATTATAGTGTCCTATAATTTTGTTCATCATATTTGAAAGCTGTAGTCTTTATAGTTTCCGATAGCCCACGGATCGCCAGACAAAAACTGAAGCTTAATCGACTCAGAGTCCGACGCTGAGCTAAAATATATGTATATCTTTATAGCTGTAACGTGTACCAACGGAATGGTGCATTTATAACAGCCTTTAAACGTTCATTCACACGACCATAAATAAAATCAGATATTGTTTTTAAAACTGATAAGAATTCTCAACATTAAAAGTATATATATCTGAAATTATGTAAAGACAAATATTCTATTCTTAATGTACGAATATTTAGGGTGAGTTTCAAAATCATTCGATATAAAAAATAATAACTATGTAAACGAAATGGGGACATGGTCTGGTAATTTCTAAATGAGCAAAAGACTTAGACCAAAAATCATTCTTAACACAAGATTTTTGGGAGGAGAGCTTCCAATAATAGTCCTGCCAAGTCCTTTTCATTCTGAGTTGATGATCACCAAATAAATTAAAGAACTTATTTTGTTTTTCTATTTTCAAAGAAGACAAAAAGGATCTAAAGCAAAATTATCCACATATAATAGTACAACTTTTGAAAGAAAGAGTCTTGAAGAACTTTTTTAAGAACCAGGTCTGCAAGAACCCTTGGAAATGTTGAGCTTATTTTGCTCTTTGTTTTACATGAACGTACATGGAGCTTTTGCTTTGTTATCAACAACGGAAAACTATATCATTTGAGTAATATTAAGAGTTTAAAATTAGTTTTAAAAAAATTAGGACAAAAACAAAGCTGACAACAAGATTGCTTTCAAAAATATTGTCCAATTTTCATTTCAAAATTTTTATCAACTTTTCAAAATTAAATACATATATTTTTTTAGTTTCGTTCTGTACTAATATTTCAGTTACAAGTAGAATTTTTCTTCGAAAGAAACTTTCAATAATAAATTTAATTTAAGAAATTTTTAATAAAATTTAAAATACAAAAAAATGTTGACCTTTTCAATTTTTAAATTTCAGAATTTTGAAAGAAAATTGCCGATAATTTCAGGTTTTCAATTCAATTTTTTTCATATTTTCTCTTATTCCCTAATATCCTCTTTTTGTTGTTGTTAACAAAATTACGGACAAAAAAAATATATATGTACATATGTACAAATGAAATTTATGCCATCTGGTTTAAAAATGTTCCAAAATTACCTTAATATTTTTTAAAAATGAAATAAAATTAAATTTATTTGAAAAATATTTAATGTCACGTATACATACAATATACTGTATACATACATATTATGTACACTCAAATTATATTAAGGACATAGTTTGGACAATATGTCAATTTTTTTTTTGAATATTTTAACACAATAGGCATTCAAATTGATATAACGCACGTGTTTGCATAGACTTACATACTTTTATGAACGAATATATATGTATATTTTAAATATTGTGTGAAATCTTACTGTTATTAAGATTTAATGTCCAAAAAAGAAAATATTTCAACATACGTTAACTATTTATTTCCTTTCTAATAATTTTCATTCATGAATTCATGAATTTTCTACTTCATTTTGTAACCAAACAAGAATTTTCTGAAATATAAAAATATTTGTAAGAAAAAATTATCCTATATTCTATTTCTTATTTTTTATGTTATTAGTGTTTCTTAGATTTTCAATATTATACATTCATATTTTCTTTTATTACGTATTTGAAGAAAATGCATGCATGTACGTATGTATGTATACTTATACTGAATTTAAAAATGAAAAAGCTATTAATAAAATTCTTTTTTAGATGCTGTTGCGGGCAATCACGAACAACACATCCAACAATACCTGGTATAGAAAGTGGATCACCAGGTGATATATGGGTACCATATAAACATACACGTCCTCAACCAACAGATGCTTATGGAACAATTGAATTTCAAGGTGGTGCTCATCCAACTAAAGCTCAGGTATAATATATAAATAATAGCTACAATAAATATGAATCAAAAAAGTGATTTGTAAAGCAGCAATTTTCCCTTAAACAGTTAAAAGTATGATTTAGAGAAAAAAAAAACAATTTTTTACTTAAGTTATTCTCATTCATATGCACAAAAATGGTTTTATGAAATTTTGAAAATATTGCATACTTTCAGGGGGGGGGGGGGGGGGGGGAAATAAAAATAGAAAAAACTCACATACCGAAAATGTAATAATTGATTTTGTGAGAATAATAATTGATTGATAGAAATTTGAAAAAAAAAAATTTGCAGTTTCAGAAAATATGAAGAACCAAAAATTTGAATTTCACTAATTGCGAAAGGCGATAGACTGAAATGAGAGAGACGTGGAAAATAATTAGCTTCCAACTTTTCTGCCATTGCGGGATTTGAATAATATTTTTCGTCAAAAAATTGCATTTTAATGTTTTTTGGGGTTACAGCTTTTAAAGAAGGTGGGGTAGTAAATTTTTCTTCTAGTGAAAATTCTAGCAAACATCTATCTGTATACAAAATTTTAAATTTCTATCTGGAAGGGATTAAGAAATAAATTCATGGACGAAAGGGCAGACGGATAGAGTGAAACTGAAAAGCACTTTTTTATAAATTTTGGTTGAAAAGTGCTGAAAAGAAACTGAAAAAAAATAATGATAAATAATTTTCATTTTATATAATATGATCTAAATATTATACAAACATAAATATAAAAATGTATGTGTATGGAAAGCGTATCTCATTTATATATATGTACGAGAGTTTTATATTAAACTATAAAAAAATGTTTGCAAATATCTTTGGCATAATACTGAAGTGCAGTCGTGTAGAAATTCAATGAAACGATAGGAAAAAAAAATCTATTTAACAAATGTGTATGAGAAATTGAGAACCTTATGTTGCCATTATTGTACCATGAAATATCTCTCACATACATAATACAATATAATGCAATTATAAAATTTATTCTATAAATTTTATAAGAGAATTAATTTTTCTTTTCAATTTTTTTGTCCTTGTGTTTACTTTTTAATTCTGTTTTAAACTCGTTAAAGTTTTAACTTATAAGCACTAGAAATGAATGATTGAAAGAAATGCATCTGTCAGGTGAATTGAGTTATATAATATTTTTAAATTCAATTATATTTAATATTTTAAAATAATATAAAAATCGATATTTAAAGAAGAGATTCATAAATAATTTTTAATGAATTTTATGAATGTGACTATTGTTTATTTCAAGAATAATTGAAAATGTTGACAAGAAAATAAAAGAAAGGAAGGAATAATTGGTAAATTTAACCAGAGGCGCAAGCTTATAAGAAACACTCATAGTAAAAATGTTATCAAATTTGAATTAAATTTATCTCATTCTGAGAATTTAATAAAACATAATTTTTTTTTATCGAAATTATTGAAAATTCACATTTTTATGCTTTCAAATTCATTTTCTTTATTAGATACTCAAGTAGAAATTCAATGAAACCATGCAACAACTTGGGATATCTTTCAAAAACATAATCTAAATTTGAAATCTTTTATATAACAAATTTTTGATTCAAATATGCAAAATCTATGAAACACCCTATTTCAAATTAAACTTATTTTCTATATAATTTAATATGGTTTTTCTTTTTTCTTAACAGTATGTTCGTTTATCGTTTGATACCCGTCCGGAATTGCTAGTTCAACTTTTATCAAAAGAATGGAATCTTGAATTACCTAAACTTTTAATAACAGTACAAGGTGGTAAAGCTAATTTTGAATTACAACCAAAATTAAAAAAGGTAAGTGGAACTGAGTAAAATTAAAAAAAGAATTTAAAAGTTTTGAATTTTGATTTAAGGAATAAGTATATATACTAGAAAAAATGAACAGGGAAAAATTTATCAATTCAAATTGGAAAATATTATTAACACTAAAGTAATATCAAGGGATTTATAATCTTAATCGAGAGTTAATAATATTTTAAGTTCATTTGGATATGCTTGAAGTTGTATCTATATACTATTCGACTTTTCAGTAAATTTACTCAAGAAGGTTTGATAAAAAAATTTTATTTTCACATGCTACATACGAGCCATTGGATTGTTATTCTCAAAATACTTAATCAAAATTGTTAAACGTCTTATGATAACTGCAGAACAACTTCATTAATAATTTACTGATATACTTATATCGTATCATCTTGAAATTGGTTTGAAAAACTATAAACGATTCATATTATTACTTCTTTTACGGCTTTTTTTGTTATCTAAAGAATCAATTGCGATTGCTAGTTCAATCGGGCAATAGAACCCGTATATAAACATTTTTCGAGCGATTTTGTCATATTTTATTCTTAATTCTTGCTCTGTAAGAGTAACGCGTAGTACACAAGAATAATTAAACAGAAAAAGAATATTATCCTGTTAAAAATTTTATTGTTATACAAATAGTACAGTTCAGGATACTGGTTACGAAATACGGCTACACCTCTAGTTAGTCTACATCACACAGCTAGATGAATGTGACTGCCACTTTTTTCCTATCACAGCTAGATGTGATTGAAAATAAGTAGCAATACCTTTAAGAAAAAAAAATCTTTTCAATGCTTTTTCAAAAATAAGTCCTTGTTAGGTTAAATGTTTACTAACGTTGAAGATGAAATTTTTTGTCATTAGTGTAATGGACTGATATGAAAGGAGAACGGAGTGAAAATTCATTTTAACTTTTTAATAATTTCGAGTAAAACTTTTTTTCACCAGAAAAGTTAAAATATTAATTTTATCTTAAAAAAACTTTCAATGTTACTTTTTTAATAGTTTTTTTTATTGTTTCTTAGTTGAGCAATTTTTTTTTGTTCAAACCAAGAAAAATTATCGATGGAAATCATAAACAGTATCGAAAAACTTTTTGTTTAAAATACCGAAAAATTTGCAAAAAATAAAAGGAAAGAAACAGAAATCCAACCTTCAATCTGTTTTTAATTAGGTCTCAGTTATTAGATTGAGTCGATCTTTCATGGAAAATATGGAATTTTTTAAATGTAGTAAAGTTCAAAAATATTGTTTGCGGTTAGAATGTGCGTAAAATTCATTTAATAGTTTTCACCTTTACAATATGAACTAAAAATTTTTTAAAAGCTTTAAATTAACAGGAAAATTTTGTTAAACAAACTTATGACAGTTATGACGTATAAGCGTATAATTTTTAATGGTATAGGTGGAAAATTAATATATTTAATGTATAGTGCTTAATTTTATAATTCGTAAGAAAAATTCCAGGGTCGCATTTTAAAAATGAGTAATTAAATTCAAATTTCTACGTTTCTCATTTTTACAATGTGTTAATGGAATTGAATTAATCCAATTCAAATTGCTATCGTTCTATACGATATTAATCATAATAAAATTGTATTTTATTTAAATTTCAATAAAAATCTACAAATTCTGTGTCTACTTAGTAAACTATGGGCCGACACAGAAAGCGACTTAAAAATTCAATAAAAATTTCGTTAGCAAAAAAAATTGAGAATTACTTTTAAATGCTTTTTTTTCTAATAAAAATCATTTTACGTAACTGACCGCATGTTGCCTACGTAATTGTGGCAAAACATTTTCCTTGAGAAATTTTTATCATTCTTGTAGCAAACTAATGAATATGGAATATAAGAATACATCAACCAAAAATTTTCTGGATGTGGTTGTTAAAAACTCATCAACGTAATGCTTTTCTTGCTGAACTTGTTCCTCTTATTGCATTGAAGGTTAAAGATCATATAAACATTATGACAGAGCACAATGTATTGAATGAATGCTTTAATTTTAAAGTTGGTTTCAAAGAAAATTCCGAAAATTTTCTTATACATTTTAAACTGGAATTGTACACAAAAGTGCTTTCAATCATTTCTGAACAAAGAAATTATTCGATTTAGAAACCATGCTATGTGAAAGACTCAATAAAATGAACTACATACGCACATATGTGTATTTTAATCAAAAAATTTACTTTAGTATACAAATTTGTACTAGATTATTTTGAATTTTGTAAATTCGTAGTAGAAAATTTTTTTATACAAATACTTTCATAATATTGGACTAGATTCTGTTCTTGAAACGTATTTTTTTTAGAAAAAAATTAAAATTGTAATCATGAAAAAAGTCTTTCAATTTAATTGCGTTAGAAAAGCCAATGGGAAGTAAAATAACAAATTTCCTTTTAACAGCTTGAATCTTACTTTTTTTGTTCAGTTTTAATTCCAAATATTGGGAGTACATACTACACAAATGTTACTATTATGAGATATCCCATAGTAACATAATTATTTTATAAAACTTAAATTAAATTCACTACTTATTTAGTTGAGGCAAATACTTTTTAGCACTTTTCCAAAAATTTTTGAAAAAAAGTGCTTATTAGTTTCACTCTATCCGTCCGTCAGTCCATCAGTCCGTCCGTCCGTGGACACTTTTTTTGTTTAAAAAATTTCTACGTACATAATTTCTACAATGAAATTTAATACGTACATAGATCTTTACTGGAAACTTATTTCCGTAGAATAAAATTTTTACCTATCTCCCCCCCCTCTAGAAGTTATACCCCCCAAAACCCTAAAAATGGCCTTTTTTAACTATTTGTTTCAGGGGATTGCTTCTCCTAGCGCGGTATACTATAGTTAAACTTTAGAAGTCCTTTTCTAAATTTCTATCTAAAGTCCTTTTTTTCCAAATTTTTGATGTCGTTTTTCTTCTAGACCCCGGCCTGTAGAAGCTTGAAATTTTAGGGGCTTTTAGACATTAACAAATAGCTTCATTTCGTTAAAAGAAAATTTTTTTTCATCTCCACCCCCTCTCAAGTTATCGCCACTTGAAATTTGTAAAATTTGAATTTTTGACACCTTATATTTCCGAAACCGCAAGCTTTTTCAAATTTCTATAAACGCAAAAAGTTAACGGTGAATTCCATGACATTAAAAAACATAATTATTTTTCTTATCTCACACAATTAAACCTTAATATCGTGCATTATGTTAACCCCACTTTATATTAATTTTTGCTTCATTTTAAAGACTGCATATATGCATCATCCTAAATATATGCAATGCCAGAAGTAGTTTCGTATATGAATGAAAATAATTTTAATAGTGTGATAGGAATACATAGACTGTATTAAAATGCAGACTTGTTGAAGGGAAAAATGCTACAATACAAACCATTGGTTTGACCCAACTTTATTTGGATTACTTTCACGGATTAGTGAATTTATAAGATCCGTAATTTATAAGACCCGAAAGGACAAACAATTAAACATTTTACAAAATGTGAGTAATCATGTAAGGCGATGGAATTAGCTCGTGAAATTTTTATTGCTGAAAATTGATACTACATGAGTTGTCTGGTAGGAGAAGAACTACTTCAAAAATTAACGAAAAATTAGTTCGAGACGAATTACTAATTTGTAGTAATTCCTGTAAATTCGTTATTTTCTTCTTAAAACTATTTATCATCTAATAACTAGGATTATATTATTTTAGTATTTAAGTACAATATGATACGAAGAAACGTTTTAGTGTAAAGCTGTTGTTTAACGTTTTGGTTTTTACTAAAACATTGAATATGCACACGACATTATGTTAAACATTGCGTCCTCTTTTCACCGTTTTCGATTTTTAAAGCACATTTGTTCTTAAGACTATCTTCTGAAAAAGTGATATATATACGAGTATATATAAAACTTGCACTACATGACGATGATTACTATTTCTTACTTCATCAAGGATAAATGATTTGCAGTCAAGGATAATTACGAGTACAAGCATAGCGATCCAATAAAAATGTAATCAAAAAAACTTTTCACCGGGTTTACGGGTATAATTTACTAAAATTTCCTTTGTCTATTTCAAATATTTTTAAATATTTATGAAATATTCTCAGAATTCAGTAAGTCAAGAACTTACCACTTCATTTCGAAGGCTTTCCGAGATATTCGAAGGCTAACATATATGAAGGCTAATAGTGCTATCATTCCGACAAAATTTAAGTATTTCTGCTGCTGTCATATAATTTTTATCATATCACAAAATTGATATTTTTTACCAATTGCGCTTTTTGATATAGCTTTCTAAAATGACAATAAATTACCTAAATTTTCTCTTTGAGTTTACACACTTGAAAAAATCTCTATAATAAGATTTAATAAAAAGTCCAGTAGCTCTAAGTAATACCTATGCTGCTTGATAACAGGATTTATTCATCCTTGTTATAATCCTGTAGTCATAAACAATTTAATCATATTTTTTTTCTTCGTTAAAAAAAATTCCCTTTTACATATTTGTGTTACACAAAAAATTTTCTTGTTTCTAAACTAATAGTGAATATTTACATAATGGGAGATTATGTGATGGCACCAAATTTTGAATTTCGAGTTTTGAGTGGAAACGCACATCTTCATAGTATAGGAAAGGTAAATAAACTATTTTTTAGAGAAATGCCATTCTGTCTGTCTGTAGGTATGCGAAATTTTATATGTGAGTTTTTTTTTGCCTTTAGTACAAATCGATTAATTTTTGGGACATATCAGACCTTCGGAACTGAGCCTGTTGTCGATTTTACACTTTTGCATATATAAAGGGATGTAATCGACCAATTTCCTTTAAATTTAATATTTAAATTCGGAGCATTACAATGAACAATGAACATATAAATATTTTGAAAAGATCAGGGTTTGGAAATCGAACTGTTGGCAAATTTTGCATCCACGGAACGGATTGATGAAATGTTTTGAAATTTGATATTTGAGTTCTGGTTGTTACCAAAATCAACTAAGGAACTTTTCAAGGAATCGGTGTGGCACAAAGCTAAATTCTCCTAAGAGCCATATTTACATTTTTCTAAATATGTTCAATAGGAGGTGTTCAAAAAACATTTTCATAATATTTTGTAACGCTTTCACTAAACTAGGTAATACATTTTGCAATCGGTTATGTTCTGACAACATCAGATTTTTTTCTTTTACATAGCGGTATTAATCAATATCAAAGCTATCAAATGCATTCGTCAATCACTTAAATTATAGGAAAGAATATTTGAAAAATATACAAATATTTTTTCATAATAAATCTACTGAAAAACAAATTATTCAGTATTCAAATATGTTATTTTTGTATGTATGTGAAAAACCTTAAAATTCTATCATGCGAAATCTGTTTTCTTTTAATATTTTCCTTTTAAAAAAGTATGCGGTTTTGACAAATTTCTACAAATCGCAAAAAAAATTTCTTTCAATTCGGAAATCAGAACCAAATTAAATTGAAAAAGTGTTTCAATATTTAACAATTTTCTCTAATATTTGGCAGAGATGTAAAGATTTTCATTTTCATATGTCGAAATAAATAGTTATTAACATCCATTAAGTAAAATGTTAGGCTATAAATTACTTTAGTTTTTTTCTTTGTGTAAATCAATTATATTCCTTATTGATTAATTTTTTTTCTCTATAGAAATCATCATTCTCCTATCTCTGTTTTTGCATTTAATGTTAAAAAATTGAAAACTTTTGTCTAACTTAGAAGTAAGAATGATAATGCTTGGCAATAATATTTCCCAAATAAGTAGAATGTATATACGACTTTATAAAATACATATGTACAAACATATACATATACATAATTATGTTCTGAATCATATTGAATCCATTTATTCATACATTAATGTTATTTACATTTAGAATTTATAAATGATTTATAATACTTACAAAGAATTTGAATTGCTAAAGAATTAATTAAATTAATGTTAGTGATAATCTATTGTAAATAAATATGTAGATATATATGAGGCAGTGTGTTGTGTAATTAACGTAAGGATAATGGTTTATGTATATGTCATTGATAACTTTTATCATTAATTAGAGTAATTAGTTAACAATATAATCATATTACATCTATATAGTTATACAAAAACTTTTATGAAAAATAAATAAAATTAGCTAGAAAATTGGAAAGTACTTACATGCTTATGTATATGAAAGTGTGAATATTTTTCGATTCTTTAAGTTTAATATGCTTTTAAAAAAACATTTTATCATTGCTTTCTAAATTCCCAATCACGAATAATTCTATATTTTTCTAGCCTTTGTCTAATTCCCGATTTGTGTTCAGTTAAAACTTTAAAGAGTGCAAGGTTAGAAATGCTAGAAAGAAAGTTTCTTGTCTCGTTATTGCATCCCTCCATTCGAATAAATTATCAGTTAATATGCTCTATGTTGTTACAGTATGTATGCTCTATGAACTGAATTTGTATTCTATTTTCAATTCTTCTATTTACTTACACAGTTCATCACATAAATTTCAGGCAATATCAATAATTACATTAAATTTCGAACCTTAACCCTTTGCACTCCGAGTGTTTTTTTACTCAAGCGTGCGGCAACTCTGTGACATTTTTGCGTTGGTGCATCTGAAAAATGAACTTCTGTTTTAATAAAAAAAAAGATGTGTTGTTTTGTTATAAATTTATTTATTTAATTAATGCAGTTTGTGAAAAAAGAAATACAATTTGATATGTATTTATATTTTGTAATTCAACTTAGTGTGATCCTTGGCTTGTTTGTGTCACAATATTCGGTTGTTTTTCGTCTTCCGGAATTACCTTTCCTTATTCTTATTATTTTCAACTAAATTGTCTACAAAATATTCAACATCAATTTCATTATCACTTTCGTTTTCACTGATCTCAAGACTTTCCAAATAATCTCTCTCTTGCATTTTTTCGCAAGGGTAAATCTATCTAATATAAAATAAAGTTCAAAATTCACCAAGAAATAATGAACGCACGCTACGCTGGCTTTTCTAAATGCACTGAAAGCAACTAGCGCAATCAAAGCATATGGCGCAATAGCGGCGCCTACGGAGTTAGTGCACTGAAAGCACTGGCGCAATAGCGGCCCCTACGGAGTGCAAAGGGTTAATGTAGTTCTCAAAATAAAAGTAAATTATTATGCATGTGTACCAACGACGCCTACGGAGTGCAAAGGGTTAATGTAGTTCTCAAAATAAAAGTAAATTATTACGCATGTGTACCAACGAATTTCACAAAGTATTATAAATTCAAACTGAGTGATGTTTGTTAAAACGGGAAAAGATGTCTGAGATATAGATGCAGGTATGTTTTTGACCAACCTTTAAATCTAATTCGATTTATGTGCCGTACAACTCAAGTAACTTAATCATATGTCAGAGACAGTAATCCCTACCTTATTTGAATTTTGCATAAAGCAATTTGGTTGATATAACAGAACTACTAATGTTCAGATAGATTTTACTAATACAATTTCAATAATAAGTCCATTGTTCTAATGAAATTTTATTCTTGTTGCATAAGTTTTTACACTATACTAAAATGCAAACAGGAGCTATAGAAAACATTCGTATACGGTTATAAAAAAAATTGACACGGTCAACTCTATTTTTGCTTGTTTTTTAAATATTTTTCCGCAATTACTCTACGCTTAGCATGAATGAGCTACGTACATATATAAATGGAACGATAAACCTCACAAAATCAATTCACAAGTAGCGGGAAAGTTACGTAATTACGAATATTTTTTCTTTTATGTTTTTGATTTATTGACTTGTGATTTTTTGTAAAGGAAAATAAAATATTTTTTTCTTTGCATTGGGGAGAAAAGTTTTCATTTTTTATTTCTAGATTAATATTAAATTTTATGAAAATTAAATACACATTTTGAAAATGGCATGCTTGAATAATTTCTTCTTGGAATCCTATATTTTTGTCTCTTAATTAAATTTCAGTTTTTCTTTTTCATCATCGTCTAGGCATCATACGAGTATCAAGGAAAGCTATAATAAAACACATCAAATTTCAATGCAAGAGAAAAATTTTCATGTTGCTTTCCTCACAGAATTATATTTCGAATAAAAATATCAAATAAAATTCGAATTAATTTTTATTTTATTATTTTTAAAAGAAAATTTTTTTTTCTGATGAATTTAAAAACGATGATGAAGATTATTATAATTTAAATTTTTTATTTCATAAAAATGAAGAAACAGTACAGTACATTATTTCAAGGTTATAGAAAAGTATAATGAGATCTCAAGTTGGTTATCAATATTGGAAGAAATTTAAGGTCTATAATCTCAAATCGTTTTAGAGTACAGTAATAGAATAGTATATAGATATATCGTTTTTGTCGGTTAACATCAAATTTAGTAGATTTTTAAAATAATTTCATGAAAATTCTTTGAAACATTAACAAACTCACAATTAATAATATACATGTAATGATTATTTCGTGTTGTTCCTTAGCAATAAGATTTCCGAGAAAAGACATTTGTGTTGGTTAATAAAAATCAAATAATTGTTGTATCAATCAGTACGAAAAAGGGAATAAGTCACTTTAATATACCAGACAATTTTAGAGGCGGACTTTTTTTTAATTCAAATCCCTTTCAAATCAAATCAGATTAGGTCTAGTATGCTCTATTATGAAATTTCATAACATATGGGGCCACCGATAATCGTATATTCTATCGTTAAACATGTCATCCAAATTTTACTTTCCTTAGAAGCAGCGTTTTCTAGCCAAAAATTAGTTTTTTTATGTATACCCTATAAATTCAACAAAAAAATATTGCATAGCCATGCCATGCTACCATCTTATTGTTTATTTCTTTATTATTTGTACAAATTTGAATTTAAATGAACTTTGCTTTAATTTTTATTCCAGGAAATTCGAAAAGGATTAATAAAGGCTGCAAAAACTACTGGTGCGTGGGTTTTTACTGGCGGTACGAATACAGGCAAGTAAAATTTATTGTATTTTAAAATAGTAAGTTCAGTAATATATACAATATATACATTGATTTAATTCAGTAGAACATGGGTAACTAGAAAATCAAGATATCGAGATCTTCTAAACTAATTCACAAAATTATGTGAACTTTTCTAGTACAAGAAAACTACTTGCAAAAAGGTTAAAATTCTCGGACTTTCATTCATCATTAACCCACTAATAAAGATTTATCTTTATGTAATTACAAAATGTTTAACTATTCAAGTTGATATCTTACTGTCACATCAAGTGTGTAATTGAATATGAACTATGATACGAGTTTTGTGAGAATTAAATAGGCATGCAATTGCCGTTTTTTTCTAATTTTTCTAAAAAAAAACGCTCATACGCAAATAACAACAAATTTTTATTTTATAATTAAATCAAACAAAATAAAAGTGGACAAAGGAAAGAATAATGATTCGAATTTTTTGAAACGCCTTTCGAATGGAACACTATAAATAATATTCCTCAAAATGCATACGAAGTTCTGGAGAGAAAAATAAAAAATTAGTTGCAAAACTGGAATCAACTCAAAAATAAAATTAAAAAAATTTCTGTTCCAAGAATATTTAATTAAAAAATTATTAAAATTTTTATATTTAAATTAAAAAATTTAATTAATGTTAAAACCACAAATGATTTGTTATAAAAATTTTATTTCATGAGCTCAAAAAATATTTTTCTAAGAACTTTGTGTGCAAATTAAACATTTTTAATAATATTATGGTACGTTCGACAAAAAAATTTTTATCTTCCATTGCAAAATTTGTGATATTTCTGAAATTATAGGAAAAAATATTTTAAATATCGCACTAGCAACAACTATAACTTTCATTTAATTTCAAGTGCAACAATGTAATTTCTAGAATAGCATATTCTCATCATAGACTTAAAAGTTTTACAAGTTTGTTATCTATCACATTATTGAAATTACATACATTTATTCATGTACCAAACAAATTCAAAAATTGCATATGATTAGGATAAGCAATGTAAACAGTCTTTGAAATAAAAAAAAAAATTAAAGATTCGTTAACATAATGTTCTGATTTAAAGATTAATTACGTGATGTTAAGCAAAAATAATTATATCTTTTGATGGTATAACATTTACCATTATCTTACTGCGTTTATAGAAATTTGGATAAGCTAACGGTTTCTGAAATATAAAATGCCAAAAATTCGAAAATTATAAGTTTCGAAAAGCTTGAGAGATGTTGGATAAAAATTTTCTTCCAACGAAATCAACTATTCAATAGTGTCAAAAAGCCGCTAAAATTTCAGACTTCTACAACTTACGGTCTAGAAGAATAACGATACAGATCGAAGTTTTGTAAACATGGCTACGGATAGACGAATAGACGGAGGGACGGTCAGAGTGAAACTTAATATTTCACTCCTTAATTTCAGTTGCAAGTGGATCTTGCTACAATTTTATTTAATTCATTTTATTATAAATGAATTGCTTTGAATAAAATATTCAAATTTTTATTAATAAACAAGTTCAAACTCCCCCCCTCTTCACTTGGTCTATAATACGTTTATTTTTAGGATCAAATAATAATAATTTTAAAATAAGGTCGAAATCCAATACTTTATTGGGTTTCCATTGAGTTCTTTATCGGAAAATAAAACATTCTTCATATCTTAATAGTAGAAAAATTTTTGTTTCATGTTCAGATTAATGGCACAAATTTATAGGACGTATTAAAATATTTCTTTTTTAAAAAAATAAAAAAATTTGAAAAAATTCCAATTTTTTCAACTCAGATTAGGAAATGTGATTCTATTCCTTTCGAGTACCATAAAGAAACATTATATAAACTTCTGAAGAAAAACAATAAAATGTAAAAATATATTTTACACTTGAGAGATCTCAAAAGAATAAATAGATGGAAAAAAAGCGAATAACAAGTAAATTCCTTTGTGCCATAAAAGATAATAAAGAATTTTGTAATTTTCACTCATCTTTTATTGTTAAAAACTGTCAAATTCCATTATTTTTTAAGTAAAAGTTATTTTCTGCTCTTTTCGAATTCAAGACGACTCTTCGCACAAAAAAATACAATTGATGATTGATTTTCCAAAAATTGAATTTCTTTAATATAGTGGTTTCAATTGTTTTATTGTTAATCAATGTACTCAATATCAGTTTTTTGTTTTTATACTCGTTCGAACGTATTATTTTCATACCCGTTCGAACGTAAATTGGGCATGATCAGGGTACTGGTTCGGGTAGCCGCCATACAACTTCAAAATTTATTTGGCTATATATCAGAAACTATAAAAGCTGTGGAATTGAAATTTCACACAAACAAATATATTATTAGTAGGGTCAATGTGTCTGATAAAAGTCGTTTGAATTTCTTGGCTCTTTCTGGTAGCTACCATACAACTTCAATAGTAGTTTGGCGCACACAGTATTTTGAAAAACGCTGTACTGAAATTTTGCATAAATTAATATGGTAATACGGCAGCTTAAAGTCATAGTCTGTCCCATAGGCAGGTGTGACATATTTATTCGCATATAGCAGGGCTATATGCGAACAAATATAGCAGGGCTAACACAATAAATAGAATGACATAAAACTATATATATATTTATTCAATAGAAAAAATAAACTTTTGTAACAATTTTCTGACCCCCTTTCAGTAGTGTCGCGGCCCACAGTTTAAGAAGTCCTGGCATGTAGGATAGCGAATTCGTACGGATACCACAGAGCTGATAAGGTCAGCTCTATTTTTTTCCCGTTTAAAATAAAATTACAAATATTTCGCCGCAGCGAATTGGAAAAATGTATTTCTTCGCATTGTAAAGGTGATTAAAATACTGATATTGATTAGCATTTTTGACTCTTTTCTTAAAAGAGTCACATCAAATTTTAACATATCATACATTTTTTTGAAAACAGGTTTGAGATCGAATCTATGTGTCATAATTTTCTGTAAATAGTTATATTTGTTACTAATATAACTATTAATAGCAGGATACAAAGTGCTTACAATAGACTATTCGTCCTACATTGGTACTGGTATTGGAACTGATACTACAAATTACCGTACTGGGTCAATCTTAATTTCTTTGTCAAAAGTTCTTCAAATCGTATTTTTTTAGTTAATTCTTCGCAGCATCTTTGCTATGAAAACCGATATTCTTCTGAACCAAAACTCAACACTACCTTTTAAAAAGCACATTGAAAATACACCGTTCTCAAGAAGAGGACGATGTTTAAAAAATTATATTATTTATTTTGAAGTTCCCAGCTGTAATAAAAACAAAATTATCTAGTATTGATAAGTAATTTTATACTATAGGAAAATTAAATAAGCGACTTATTCGATTTCAAAACCTTCTATTATTCGGAAACGATATGTAGTTATTAAAATTCTGGTTGTGTTTATATTAAATACAATTTGTGTATAAATTGCAATTTAAAATATGTGAAAAAAGTTTTTATTTTTCAACCTGAAAGGAATAATTTTTATTAGCAGCAACTGAAATTACAACATCTTGTTCAACACGTTGTAAATACTAAAATTTTATTTATTTTTTCTTGTTTTTCATTCTGATTGAAAATTATGACGTATAAATTGTGTGGTTGTTTTCTTTTCTTATCAGATTTTCATATTGCTTTGCTTTACTTTTAGAAAAGTTTTCCTTTTTCCATCTAGATACATATGTTCAACTCAGTTAGAATATTAAACTTTTTAAAGTTGAAATGAATACGAGTACTCTTCTGTGTTTTTTGTACTATTTTATACTTTATGGTTTGTTACGTTTATTTTTCTATTATATAACTTTGATGATTTTTCTATGAAAAAAGTTTTATTCCGCTTTTAACTGCTAAGAACAAAAAAATGAGAAAAAAAATAATAGACTAAGTTTAACTTTACTTTTTTTCTATTTCTTGTGCTTCTTTGAATTTTTAGAAGTGTATGTTGTATGTCTTGATATACACACATATCATACACATACATACATACATTTTTATTTGTGTTCTGTTGACTATAAAAAGGAAAATTATTAACTTTTCTTTTTTAATTTAATTTGTCACAATTCATCAGTCTTTCCGGGGATTTTGACATCAATTTGATTTTTTTTTTATTATATTAAATTTCATTTTTGTATAAATTTAATTTTGGATTTTGACAATGTATTTTAGAAGCAAATAATAATGAATATTTTAATCTTTATCATTTTCCTGCCATAAATAAAAATCAGTTTCAGAATTTTGAAATAGACAATTAAATTTAATTCGGAAAATATGGAAACCATAGTGAAATAGTAAAATTTGCTTAAATTTTAATATTGTAATTAAAAAATATTTTCCAATTTTCTTAAATAGGACGTTTGGACTAAAAATTCAGTTTGGAAGAATTCAATTGTTTTAATGGAGCTGAAGATATAAATCCTAGGATTGTCAGTAAACAAGTTAATAATGAATATTCAAATAAATTAAATTATACAAACTATTCGGTTGCCTTGGCACAAGGCATTATTCGTATTTTTATTTAGTAATTGGATCCAATTAGTAGTATGTAAAAAGAAGATTGATGCGGATTGCAACGACAGGAATTATAGAAATTATTTGATTGGTTTGATTTTAATGCAGAACTACTCTGTAATAAATAAATAGATAATACCTCAAAAATATTAAAAAAATTCTAGAATCTGAGCGGTCAGCGAATAACCGACCCCAAGATGTATATTTTCTTATTTAGTGAAAGTGTTGCATAATATGAAAAAATTCTTTTAAACGCTTCCTTCAAATTTCAAAAACGCTAGTAAGCTTCTAGTTAACATACCCAAAAGAACGTAAATTCTTAGTCAGGTTTCATTTTATCTCATCCGAATCTTATAAAAAGTGCATGGTACTCCCAAAAAATTTGTAAGTCTATTCATTGTTTTACCTTCCTGAACTGAAATATGCAATTTTAAGGAAATTAGTTGATTTTTATCTATTTATATGCACAAAAAAATAAATGGCCTGAAGCAAAGGTCAAATTGCTGACACATGATTTTTTTGATTGACAAATATGAGAAGGTTTCTCGTATATAGTAAAACGAAGATTGTATATAAAATATTATATAAACATTTTCTTAAAAATTATTAAAAATGTAAAATTGCTTCCTGCAAAAGTTGATTAATCGCACCAAATCCGAAATAAATTTATAAACAAAATTTCATCAAAATCAGTTTAGCTGAAGAAATGTGTTTGCACCGAAAACTCATATTGAATGCAAACTTATGCTTCAATGAAAGCAATTTTTGAGGCGATCGCATTGCAAATCATAATTAACATCTATTAGGAGCCAAAGCATTTGTTAATAAATCTGTGTAACAAAATTCTCAATATCTTGGTAACCATTTCCTGTGTTACAATAATTGTAAATTGGATTTAGTTTTTTGACTTAATTTATCCTATGGCAAAATTATGTAAATTATATAATATAACGATAGTTACTTTCTTGTTAAAATCTAAAATTCGATCTAAAATTTAGTAAATTTACTTCAAATTCTTGTTCAAATCTCTTTATCACTTGTTTTGCCCATTTCATGATATTTTAATTTCATTATTACTCATATTATTGTCTTTTCAAATTTTAGTACTTAATCCATATGCAACAAAGCATGTGTACATACATAAGAGCTACATAATGCTCTTATAGTTTTAAATATCAAAGGTATTCTTTTATTTAACCAACCTTTTAATTTTATATAACTTATGCAAGAATAGTGTAACTCATGTACACCTGTCAGTTTATTACTATAGAGATGCTGTATTATTTGTATATTGTTTGAAGTATGTATGTACACTTTTACTGTAAGTTATTATATTTGTTAGAAGCTTACATGGACTATATTACAATGTTGTTTTTATATTTTAATAATAACGAAATTTATATAAACTTTAATATGACAATGATAATTGAATCTTCTTTTTATTCATTCATGACATTAAAATAAAGTAATAATAAAATCATTAAACAGAAGCAATGAGTAAAGTGTCCTTATTCTTCTCATCATAAATTTTACTGAAAGTAACTATGTGTACATAATATGAATGAATTGAACAATAAGGATAATAAAAACCACACGAAAAAAATAGTACGACAAAATGACGAGGAAAATATTCTTGTCTGTATGGTAACATGTCATAAAAAACAAAAATCATATTGGTACTCTTGTCTGTAACCCTCTTGTAACTTTTCATCATTATATACAAAGATTTAATAATATTGATTTCATTTTTTATTTTATATCATTTCATTATAGGAGTAACCAGACAAGTTGGCGATGCATTATCATCAGAAGGTCAACAACGGACAGGACGTGTTGTTAGTATTGGTATCGCTCCATGGGGAATCGTTGAAAGAAATCATGAATTACTTGGACATAATCGTGAAATACCATGTCATAGTATTAGTTCACCAAGGTAAGACAATAAATGGAATTTTAGAGAATGTCATTTACAGTACTTTTATAGAATTATGTTTTAATAGAAATGAGTAATTAAGGATCAAATTGATTGTAATTGTCTACTTACTTTCGTCGTTTGCGGAGGATATAAGAAAATAAATAATGCATATCGTTGGAAAACACTTATATAAAATAGCTTAACAGAATCGTTTTTAGCACTTTTCCAAAAAATTTTTAAAAAAAAGTGCTTATTAGTTTCACTCTGTCCGTCCGTCCGTCCGTCCGTCCGTCCGTCCGTCCGTCCGTCCGTCCGTCCGTTCGTCTGTCCGTCCGTCCGTCTGTCCGTGTGTCTGTTTACAAAACTTCTACACCCTTGAAGATAGAAAGCTGAAATTTTGTACGTACATAGATCTTTACTAGAAACTTATTTCCGTAGAACAAAATTTTTACCTATCTCCCCCTCTCTAAAAGTTATACCCCCCCAAAACCCTAAAAATGGCCTTTTTTAATTATTTGTTGCAATGAAACCATAAGCATTTTTGAAATTTTGCAAACGCAGAAAGACAGTGGCTTGCTTCCTCTAGCACGGTATACTATAGTTAAACTTTAGAAAAACAAAATGGCCGTTCAAATTTACCGTTATCTAAAGTCCTTTTTTTGCAAATTTTTGATTTCGTTTTTCTTCTAGACCCCAGCCTGTAGAAGCTTGAAACTTTAGGGCCTTTTAGACATTAACAAATAGTTTATTTTGTTAGAAAAAAAATATAATTATTTTTCTTAACTCACACAAATAACCCTTTAAATCGAGCATTATGTTAACCCCTCTTTATATTAATTTTTGCTTTATTTCAAAGACTGCATATATGCGTCATCCTAAATATATGCAATCCTAGAAATAGTTTTGTATATGAATGAAAATAATTTTAATAGTGTGATAGGTATCCATACTCGTAGACTGTATTTAAAAGCAGAATTTTCACTTGTTGAAGGGAAAAGTGCTACAATACAAACCATTGGTTTGACCCAACTTTATTTAAATTTGAATGAGAAATGCATGTCAAATACAGATACGAGAATATACTTTTCGTCGGTGTCGAATTCTGAGTAGAAATACTCAGAATTGATATATACAGAATTGAATGTGATCCAACATCCAAGCAGCAGTTCGGGTTAACTGCCACTCAAGCTCAAAAGTTAAATTACAACTGTATCTCTAAAATTGTAGGAGATAGATTGTTAAACTTTTTCAATATTATCGTTATCGAAAATATTGAAAAATTTTGGTAGTTGCCCATAAAACTTCAAAAGTTGTTTAGTCATGCCTTAGAAACTATTTTGCTAATAATTTAAATGTTAATTAATTATTTTCTGTAAAAGCCTTTGACATGGTATAAGTTTATGTGATAATTGCCATATATGAATAAAAAAACACTAAAAATAAAGTGCTATGCGAAGCAGTGTAACAATTATCAAATAGGATTTAAAATCATTAGCCACAGAGTTGACACGATCAAGTCTACATGCTCCCAATTAATTCTTCATATGCAGAAAGTAATCCTATTTGATAAAAACTGTGTGTCATTGGAAATTTTCACAAAAAATACTTTTAAATTTTGTTTCCTTTAAATTCCATTTACAGCAGAAGCCCAACTCATATTATTATTAACAAGCTTTATAACTTTTTCAAGTCATAAAATTATGGTTCTTTTTAGCACTTTTCCAAAAAATTTTTTGAAAAAAGTGCTTATTAGTTTCACTCTGTCCGTCCGTCCGTCCGTCCGTCCGTCCGTCCGTCCGTCCGTCCGTCCGTCCGTCCGTCTGTCCGTGTGTCTGTTTACAAAACTTCTACACCTTTGAAGAGAGAAAACTGAAATTTAATACGTACATAGATCTTCACTAGAAACTTATTTCCGTAGAACAAAATTTTTACCTATCTCCCCCCCTCTAGAAGTTATACCCCCCCAAAACCCTAAAAACGGCCTTTTTTAAATATTTGTTGCAATGAAACCATAAGCATTTTTGAAGTTTTGCAAACGCAGAAAGGCAGTGGCTTGCTTCTCCTTGCGCGGTATACTATAGTTTAACTTAAGAAAAACAAAATGGCCGCTCAAATTTACCGTTATTTAAAGTCCTTTTTTTCCAAATTTTTGATGTCGTTTTTCTTCTAGACCCCAGACTGTAGAAGCTTGAAATTTTAGGAGCCTTTAGATATTAATAAATAGTTCATTTTGTTAGAAGAAAATTTTTTTCCATCTCCACCCCCTCTCAAGTTATCACCTCTTGAAATTCGTAAAATTTGAATTTTTGAGACCTTATATTTCCGAAACCGCAAGCTTTTCCAAATTTTTATAAACGCAAAAAGCTAACGGTAAATTCCGTGAAATTAAAAAATATAATTATTTTTCTTAACTCACACAATTAACCCTTAAAATCGAGCATTATGTTAACCCCTCTTTATATTAATTTTTATCTATTTCAAAGACTGCATAAATCGTTCATCCTAAATATATGCAATCCTAGAAATAGTTTTGTATATGAATGAAATAATTTTAATAGTGTGATAGCTATACATAGACTGTATTTAAAAGCAGAATTTTCACTTGTTGAAGGGAAAAGTGCTACAATACAAACCATTGGTTTGACCCAACTTTATTATTCTATCATTTATTTTTTTCCTATTGCAGATCTAAATTGGCCGTGCTAAATAATCGTCATGCTTATTTTTTACTAGTTGATAATGGTACACAAGGAAAATATGGTGCTGAACTTATTTTAAGACGGAAATTAGAAAGATTTATATCAAATTTGAAATTACATCCGTGTAAGTATAAAATATTTGTATAAAAAATACACTAAAATATTTTTCAACAAAGAGAAATAGGAAAAAACATATTAATAATTTTATCAACATTTTGAGATGATTCCATCTTAAATTTATCGAAGTATTGGTTTCACTCTATCTACCCTTTACAAAATTTCTAACCCTTTAATCTTATTTCAATAGAAGATAATTTTTACCTATTTGCTTCTTTAAGAACTGTAGCTCTTTAAAAATTTAAAAATGCCATTTTGTGACTACTTATTTTAAAGAAGCCATAAATATTTTCGTAACATTCAAATTTTGTGAACGCAAACAAATAGTGGCAGCTTTGTGAATATTAAAAATACAAAATGGCTGGTAAATTAACTGTTATCTAAAATGTTTTTTTTTAATTTGGTATCATTTTTCTTCTAGATCTAGACAATAAGTTGTAGAACTCTGAAATTTAAGAAGGTTTAAATATTAATATAGAAAAAATATTTTTTCCACCTCCACTACTATCCAGGTATCGAGAGGTACATTACATTTCCGAAGCAGGAAACTTTTTAAAATTTCGTTAAAGGCAAAAAGGAAACAGTGGCATAAAAAAATTATTTTCTTACCTCTCCCAATTAACCCTTGAATTGGAGCAATTTTCGAAAATATGTAAAAGACTTTTCCAATTTTTTTTGCCTAATCCTGAATTTATGCAATATTTGAAATATTTTGGTATATGAATAAAAGTAATTTTAATAATTTTAATAATCAAGTTAGTCGCATACTTAATTGTGTGAGAAATTCTTGTAATGAAAAAATTTTATTCTCTTTTCAAATTTTATTATCTGTTTCAGAATGTAGAGTTTTCAAATATCGTTTCATAATTTTCATAGTAATAGAAATTTTCATAAACACAATGCCGCAAAAACATAACGTGATTAATATCCAATATATTTTAGCTATTCTATAAAATTATATTAAAATATTCATGTAATTTAACTGTGCTACTCATATTAATTTCCCTGTTTATTGCAAAAAACTAGCGACGTTTGTGAACAAATTAGGTCAGAAAGATTTGTTATTTAGTGAAAACTGCTGTTACGTAAACAACACAAATATAATGCAGTTTTGACTATATATTGCGATATACTGCATTTGTGAAAAAACCGGATATCTGCAATATTGTCAACAATTTGTCAAGTTGTTTTTGTAAGAAAAGTATTGGTAATAGATTTCAAAAAAATGATGACGATTATGAGCGCTTCGATTTAAAACTATGAGAATAAACTGCCTATATGGAATCTGCCTTCTATTCAACATATTTTATATATATAACGGGAAAAAACAATTTGTTTATGAGAAAGTTGGTATATGTACTTTAGTAAAAACAAATAGTATTAAAAATTACTACGTAAAGTTGAGATCATTTAAAAAACGATAGCTCACTTTTAAAACAATTACGTTGACCTTTTATTTATGGAAATGGAAAAGGGACATATGAACAAATATAAACATCCATCAGTAACTTTTTTTTTGTTTTCTCTTTTAAGATCAACCTTTTTTATTGTATATTGTAAGCTGTCAGACCTCTCTTATATTATATAGACGAATCGATTAAAGTTTCAATAAATGTTAAATCCGTTTTGAAGAAACAAAAAATACAAAAAACAAAATATCCTTTTCATACGGAAATCCCTGATTTGCTACTCTCAACAGAAAAAATTAACCAAACAGAAAGAAATGCTACGTCATTGTATTTCTTAATCTTGGTCCGTTTTCTCATACAACATATTATTTATTATACGTAGATAATATAATATGTTGACGTATGTTTTACGTGTATGTTTATGCATTATGTGTGTTTTTATATTTCTTGAATATATAGGAGCATTAAAATCGAAGCTAAGTTCATACTAATGAATTTAGATTAAATTAACAATTTATAAAGCAGCACATTGACAAGTGGAGAAATGATCTAATGAAGTAAAAGTTTTATAAAAGTTTTGTAAACAGACACAAGGCTGACGGACGTTCAAACGGACAAAGTAAAACTAATAAGTACTTTCAATCAAAAATAATGTTCCTAATAATAAGTTATGTACATTGTCCAATTAATGTCAAATTCATGTGACATAATTATTGCAGTTATGTTAATTTTTTTACGACTAAATTTATGGAATACAGCTGATTGGGTCATTTATTATCATTCAATGTATTTTCAGTTTAAAGAACCTTTTTCACTACCTCTTTCCCTTTGTAAAAAATTAACGATGCTGTAAAATTAACAATGGAATGCCTAAAATTGAAATTTTGGTAGTTTTGGGAGGTAATAATTAGAGTGGAAGGGAGATAGGTGAAAATTTTCTTCCAGAGAAATAAATTTCTCAATTCTAGCAATAGTATAAAAATTTCTAATTTCTAGCTGAAAGGTAAAATAAAAATTTTATATATTATGGGTCTTTAAAAAGAAGATAGAGTGAAATTTGTAAAATGAAACTGGGAAAAGTACATTTTGAAACTATTTATGATTCAAATTGAATCGGGTCAGTAAAAAATTTTGAAGATAAATCTTAAAACTCATAATATCCCGAAAATTATAATTTTAACGCACTTTTTTCGAATTAAAAAGCCAAAACATCTTCTTATAAAAACTATGAAAATTCAAAATCAGTGAACTTTCATTTAATTTATGATCGCATGTATATAAAATTCCTGAATAAATATTTAACTCTTAGCATTTGCTTCATCTTTAGAATAAAAACTCATTTGTTAAAAGTTGTTTTAAAATCTTTCATTGAGTGAATACTTAATCATTGCGGTTTTAAGTAAAAGTTAAAAAATGACTACTTCATTGTTTATTTAATCCAATATTACATAATACCAGTGTTTTTATTTCCTTCCTTAACAATATCATATTTGTGCGGTATGACTATTTTTAGCCATATTTTTTCTATAAGAACGTGCCTTCAATATTTCAAACTACTGAGATTTAGGAGAATCATAATACTAACCATATTAATTTTTCTTATGTAAATATTATGTAATCCCTAAAGAATCCTTTAAGCCCTGAAGTAAGCTGAATAAAATAAAAACATATGTTATAAATAAAAAATAATTATGTATTGTATGTTCATTTTAAGAATAAATAATTTTTACATCAAGTCATCAACAATATGGTAAATAATTTCTAAATAAGTTTGTATAAACCATTGTGGAAAATATTAACTACATATATAGAAAATATAATGTAGATGTTATTGGGCTTCTATCTGAATTATATGAGTTGTAAGTTTCATGAAAATGAATAATATGTGGCCATACCAGTAAGGCCGCACCTAGGTTGACCCTATTTTTTAGCATTTTTTTAGCATTGTTGTATTATTCAGAAAGTTTCTATAGTTTGAAAGTTACACAAAATTATGTTATTCCAATTGCATTCGAATTTACTAATATCACTTCAGACAGTTAATTTTACTTACAATTTTTATTATAAATTCAGATTTGATAAATTTTTCACCAATATTGTTCTATAAAAAGACTAGAAACAATATTCTCTTACCACTTCTGCATAAAAATTGCGCTACTGGCGACGATTTTATTTGTAATTATTTGGCTAAGGAAAATTAAAAGGTCAAATACTAAACGATTTTACATTAAATTTAAATATTTTAAATTTTAAAAATTTTCAAAATTATTGAAATATGCTCAAAATTTTAAACAGTTACTTAACTAAGTCATTAAATAAATTAATAAAATTTAAAAAAAGGAATATTAATTTCAATGAAAAAATAAATATCTGAACTTGTTGTATAGGTCAAAAAGCTGTCCTTTTATTACTATATTTAAAATTCAATATAATTCAATTTTTTTAACTCAAATTGACGTGTAGCTGTTCACAAATTTGTTCACATACATATTAATACTTTAATATTTTACATCTTATTTTACTCATTAGTAATTCATTCATGAATGAGTTTCCTTAATATCCTTTCGTGATTTTAATTGAAAATTCATAAAAAGCGAACATTTATTTTTACTTTTTTGAATAAAGGATAATATTATTCTTACTAGGTTTTTCCAAAGTTGAAAATTGTGACAAAAAAAACTTAATTCATAAATAATTCAACTTATTTTTAGCATTTTTCCAAAAAAAAATGAAAATAGGCCTTAAATAGTTTGACTTTGTTCGTTCGTCTGTCCGTTCTTGTGTCAGTTTAAAAAACTTGTGCACTCTCTTAAGGTAAAAATAGCATATTTTGCCAAATTTTGACTAGTTTTGTATTAGATGCAAAAATATTTTTTTTCTTTCGCGGAATAACATAGATGAACTTTAAAATTACAAAAGGATGGTTAAAATTAACTGTTATCTAAAACCAGTTGCTTTTTTTTCAAATTTTTGATATCTTCTTCTAGATTTTTTTTCTAGACTCTAGTATCTTTTAAACAGTTATAAATAAATTATTTGTTCAAAAGAAAATTTTTTCCACTTCCTTCCTCTTCCAAGTTGTCGTTTCTCTAAATAACCAAAAAGCAAGCTACCAAAAAATATAAATCTTCATCGTAACTTGCTTATGAATGTTATTTTAAAAGCTAACATAATTTGGTAGATTTTCTTTTCAGAAAAGATTTTTCCCCTTGTTCAAGGGAAAAGCGCTACTTTACGAAACATTCATTTGATCCGAATTTATTTATAAAATCATTCCATCATGAATGGAATAATTGAGTCTGAATTTACAATTTATATTATAAAAGAATTTTAATTTTTCAGCATAAACAATTCGTGTTTAATATATGCAGAATCTATAAAAATAATAATAAAAATAAAGAAGTTGAAAGCAGTATCTCGGTATGAGCTCAGGCTATTAAAATTTTTATATGGACGGAGTATTTACACAACACCATTCAGTATTAAATCCAGTATTGAAGTTTCAGTAGAAATTAAATGTAATTAAAGTGCCTTCCCGTGTAACCCATATGATGAAATGTTTTTTACAAGCCTTTTAATAAAATTATGTGGGGGGTAAAAATTATTATTCAATATAAATATTTGCATTATCTAATAAAAAAATTTTGACTCCTCGGAAGATTTTTTGTGCAAAATTATTTGAAAAATTCATAAATGCATGTTATCAACTTTTTATAGAATGCAATGTGAAACGGGCATATTCTAGTTTAGGTTATTTTTTCAAGGCCCTTGTCGATTCTGCATTGTCTTAGCGATTTCTCGAGATAATTCTGCCAGAATTTGGCAAGTCTACAAAATTTTTCAAATAGACTTCATGTATTTTTCATTTCATGAACATTATGTTAAGAAAATAAAAACATTTATATGTATAAAAGTATATAATTAAAGTTATGTGTTATACATTTATAGTTACACATTCATGTACACCAGTTGTTTGTTTAGTAATTGAAGGTGGAACGAATACAATACGTGCCGTTCTAGAATATGTTACTGATACACCGCCAGTTCCTGTTGTTGTTTGTGATGGATCCGGTAGAGCTGCTGATTTAATAGCTTTTGTGCACAAGTAAGTATGTTTTTTTTTTGCTCTTTTAACATTTTTTTGTTATTTTTCTATATTTACAATATTTTATTTTTTAAATATTTTTAATAAATAGAAAAAAAATTGATGAATTTTCTTTAAAAAACATTTTCCCAATTTTACAAATTTTTAAATTTAAAAAAAAACTAACTAAAGTAGTAGACCGTGTCAACTTTGTGATACACACCTATATCAATATTTTCTGCATAGTTCAGTGTCTCTTATCTTAATGCACCACCATATACCATTGTATAAACCCTCATAAGTAAGTACAAAGTTTATATGAAAACAATGTGCCCAACTCAACAGGTTCTAAGAACTCGATGCTGATCAAAAATGTATACCTTCATCTATGTATATATTTCAAGCGTCTATTTCTTAGCGTTAAAAATGGAACGGAAAATTTATAATACCCTTCTAATATTCGCTCGTACATGAGTTAAAAAGTTCATTAATGTCATAAATTTTTTAGTCAATTTTAATATAATTAATCAATTCATTTAATTTTATTTATATTATCTAATAGATTGTGTTCTGCCATTTTTAGTTCAACTTAATTAAGTTTTTCCATTCCAGAAAGTGCAAAATTTTTGTACGACCAATGTGAGAATTTTCAACGGAATTTCGAAAAACATTGTTCAATGGAATTCAACAAAAAAAATGTTTCATTTAAAATATTTCTGTTAAATTATTTAATGAATTTTGGTGGAATTTCACTAATTTTAGTGTTGTTCATCATTTCTTTTTACTGCAAAAAACAAGAGAGCTTTCACAAATAAATTGTTTACTTATTTATTTTAGAAACTCAGGAAATTTATTAGCTCATACAGAGTATGTCTAATTCCATATTGAAAAAGTATGATTAAAAGTATACTTATTCAAAAATCTGCTTTTCATTTAAAGTTTATTTAAGAGAAATGATCACATTCTTTAGTTTGTGGTGCTATAATTTTTGTTATAAAGAATTTATTACATTTTTTAAAATTACAGTGCAAAAATAATGAATAAGATCACTTTTTAATTAACACATTGCCGACCGCACGAATTTCAACTGAACATAAGAATCCACCGCGCATTTTTGACATGCGAACAACTAGTGAAGTTCTCAAATATAAACAACAATTACGTATTTGTAAACAAAAAATAATCTAATGTTAATTAGTATGCTTTTATTTTAATTCAAGTGACATAAAATAGTATTTTGTAAAATTTAGTATTTCTGTAAAGTATGATATCTTTCGAAACATGTAAGTTTGTGTAATGGTACGCCTCAATTTTTAAAAATATAGGGAGTATATCCAGTTTTTCCATTAGAAAAACTGACTCTACATTGTCTGTGAGAATATTTTTTCTTGCCGCCAGTAACAATTGGGACAAGCTTGTGTTTCTTCACATCCATTGAAAGCCTATCTGGTGGATCAAACCTTGGCGATGGTTTTGCTTTTTCCCTACTTGTCGAAGGTTCTTCAACCATAATGTCCAAACTTTGCATATCGCCTTCTTTTATGAGTTGTATTGCAGCTCATACCGTTATATATGGAGGGCATCAAAATATATAATATAATAATATATATATTTAATATACTTAAAACAATGTATGCAATACTCCATTGCATTATATTGTCATACTGGGAGATTTCTCCGATCAGTCGTACACTGAGATTTTTTATAACGGGAAGATCTCCCCGATCGGTCGTACACTGACATTTTTCAAAACGGGGAGATTTCTCTGATCGTTCGGCAATGTCTTAATATTGAACAACAAAAATTGTACCTTTTACTTCATGCAATATAAATGAAACATCAAATATTAATTTTCCCGACTGTTTCATGGACTTTGCAGCATTCATTAAAATAAAATAATTTCTATTCAATTTCTCTTATTTTCCAAAATATTTTAAAATATTCTTTAAAGCCATTTGAACTTTACCATTTGCATTTCAACTTGTAAACTTCAACAGAATCTACTTGTATTTGCATTATTAACATATTAAAATTTTCTATTTAACATGGCCAATAAAGTTTTAAAAAAAATTTACCAAAAATTAATTTGCAATAAAAATTCATCCAATATGTTTTTGTCTTTTATACGAGTAATATGGATTGAGTCGAAAAATATTTTTATTGAGAAAATTCTTGAATTCTACATATCCAAAGCAATGTTGTACAATTCAAATATGTGCATATGTGTATGTTTTTCCAAAAACAATAAAAGGAAAAATAAAACAAAAATGAAAAATGAATAATAAAAAACCTTTTGAATTCTTCAAATGGCCACAACAATGAATATTAGACAGTGTTAATATTCAACGTTCGTGCTACAGAAAAACCAAACAGAATGGAAACTCACTAGGATGATTATTTTGTACGTGCTGTGTTCAAATTGAATAAGATGCTCTATACATGCAGAGGTTTTGAAACAAAGAAAGAAAAAAAAATTCTCTTAAATAGTTTTTACATACGCTACTTGAAAATTCACAGTTCATCCGTCACATTTGAATGTTTTCATTTTATAAATTCATTTTGGAAAACGTTTGCTATTTTATACGCTTCACACTTTTAAGTGAATGTTATTTTTATGTTAGAAAATAAAATATCAAATAATTTTAGTTACCCATAGTTTTATTAGATTTTATGTTTAAATTGTAACATTATTTTCACAAATTTAAATGCATAGTACTATTGAAAAAGAAAAATTTTATTGAAATATTGACAGTTGAGTTTTTTATGCTATTACAAAAATTGTTCACAAAAAACTTAAGCAGCACTTAGTTTAATTTTGAAAATTGAGACAAATTTTGAATTATTTGAGATTAAAAGACGTAAATACGTTTCAGCCGGTATAAACCGACTGAAGCATATCCTGCATCTTTCATTCTTGTATAGCAATTACTCGAACCTGTAAAACTATTATAACTATAGAAACTTTGCGCATAATTTTCCAAATATTTAAAATTAGTTTTTGGAGTAGTATGGCAGGTACACGAACCTTTTTAACTTACCCTTTGTCCGATTTGGTCCAATTACAACAGCGAACGGTTTTAGCAGAGAAGAAAAAACTTGTAAAAGCTTAGTGTCGATTGTGTTATTCGTTTTTGAGCTATCCTTCGAATGAATGGGCAGGCTGGCGTACAGACATACCTCAGTACCTCAACGCATAATTTTACGCTGAACAAGAATATACAGCATACATTTCTATACCACAGACGACTCCTTCAAGTGATTACAAACTCCATACCAAAGTTAATATATTATTTTTCACGAAGGTTCAGGGTATGAGAATATCACATGAATTTAATTGAGCCCGTAACTTTGTTTCGATTTACAGTTAAGAAGGTATTTTTCAAGAAGTATTCAAGAAGTATAAGTTTTAAAGAATTATTTAAGAAGTATATTTCAAGTAAAATATTTATTCAAGTGCAGACTTACCCATTTTACATTTTATTATTAAAGTACGTTGTTGAAATTACTCCATCAAAGTTTCTTCTTAATTTTAATCTTGTATAAATTCAAACTTGCAATTATACTGGTAAGCAATTCAACAACAATATTGAAAATGTAAAGATGAAATTAAGAACATTTTATGAGAATTTATGAAAATCACTAAAAAGTTAAAAATGATTATTTAAATTTTAATTTTGCTATAAATTACACCTTTTATGGCCATTTCAAAACAATAACTTCCATATAGCTTCTCTATTGCACTCTGCTTTATTTTATTTCTTAATTTCTTTTGTCACTGTTACCTATTTCTTAATTTATTGTTACACCAAGTAATTTTCAAACCACCAATTTAACATTTTCCTTGTGAATTCCATTCTGAACATTGAGGTACAATTTGGGTTCTCCTTAATTTAATGCCCAACTAACCCCATCATTTTTTCATTAGTTTTTACACTAGTATCAGTAATTGACTTGAATGACGTCATGTTTGTGAGCAAAAAATATTTGTGAAAAAAAATTAAAAGGAAATTTCTGACGTATAGCTCGATCCTCTCATATCTTTTAAATAGCTCTTTGCTACTAAAAAAATAAACACATATTTTTCAAGTTCATGTTTAAATTTTCGAATAAATATGAACACATTTATTTTTTAAATTACTTTATAAAAATATTCATTTAAAATTTTAGAAACTTGCGTAAAGCATACGTAAACTTCAAAACTCATTACAAAATATTAAGAAATTCTTCTACGAAAGAATTTTTATGTAAAAATTTTCACTCATACCTTCTATGCTTAATTTGTGAGAAACTCACCTCTGAAATTCAAAGTAAATTCATTTTAGCTATAAAGTTTTTGAACTAAATGAAACATGTGCGTTTCCCAAGAGCGCCATCATTCACAGAGAGTCTGAAACTAATTTTAAACTGGAAAAATTTTATGTAAACTCCTTTAAAACTTAATTTAAATTTACTTTTTGAATTTATATAACAAATTAAGTAGAACAAAAATTACAAAATTAAATAAACGACACATGGACATCACAAAGAGTTTAAATCGAAAAGAAAAGTCCAAACTTTTTACAATCATACCAAATTTTATTTAGGTATTTAGTTTCTTTAACCTCTAAGTTAAAAATTAATAAATTATTGAGAAATATATTAAGTTTTCGAATATATTTTGCTGAAAACTTAAAAATTCAGGACAGCTCAACTCTTTCTTTAAATTATTTGTTCGTATTTTATGTAAATTAAAAGTTTTAATATAGTGTGGTATAAAATTAGATATTCTAAAGAGAAAAGTCAAGAAAATGAGTTAGATGTTATTATGAGTTAGACTTCATTAATTCTAAAGGACTCTCCAAAATTGTTATGTTGAAATAAAACCTATTAAATTACTTTATTGTAGATATGCTTCTGATGGAGATGAGCAACCTGTACTGGAGTCAATGAGAGAATATTTAATTGGCACAATACAAAAAACATTTGAAGTCGGTTTTGAGCAAGCAGAAAAGTTATACCATGAACTCCTTCAGTGCACTAGAAATAAAAATTTGGTAAGTTAAAAAGAATTTAAAATAGTAATTTAATAGCAGAATTTTAAAAGCACTCTTATTGCATGGTTGACTAAATAAACTTTAGGCATTGCTTTTATTTTCGAACTTTTTTGGCCGCCAAATTTCATTATATTGAATTTGAGGCTCTATCGGTTTTTTTCGACTCATAGCACTTTAAGAAAACTATTCCTATTAGTACATTATTAACAATTTTTAAACAAAACAGAGAAAAAATTTTTAGTTTGAATATTTAAGCTCTTTTTGATGATAAGAGGAAGCAAATAATGAACTTTCGTAAACTGAACATTAAGAATTTTTAAATCAGTTTACGAAAGAAATTTTCATATTTTTATGAAGCCCTCTCGTTTAGTTAAATAAACTAATCGTTAAACTAACGTTTAGAACAACTAGTCAGCTATGTGTTTATAGCATTAATTTTTGTTCCTTGTTTCATAAGATTATTTCCATACCTTTATAAAAGCTATATTGCCGGATAGAATACGCTTTCCTAAAAGTTTAAATTTCTAATCAATAGAAAACTATCCGATGAAATTGCTTCTCAATGTTGGAGTTTAATTTATGTGATTTTAATGTGATCTTAATGCATTTATTGTATTTATCCCATACACGATAAATACAAGAAAGCTTACATACAGATCATAATGTAATACGCTAAACGCTTGGAGTTATGAAAATTTCTATTATTTAAATAATATGTTTACGGAAATAAAGTAATATTTGAAGATTACTTAGCTATAACATAAATATTCTTAAATTCTAATAATTACATTTGATTTTGCTCAATTGCTATCAAGTTTAAAGAGTCTATTGTCTTCACAAGAAAGTTAATAATGTATTTAACAAGGTTATAATAAAATTATTATTGAATTTATAACATAGATAGACAAATAGGTAGATTTTTCAACTAAATTATGAAATAAATGAAAATTCATGACATTGAAAAATGATGAATTTTAGAATTTCAATATAAGAAAAAAGGTCTCTCAAAATTTTACATCAGCAAAAACTACCTAAAGAAAATTAATTTAAGAAAAAAATTAATTTAATTTTTCATACTCATTATTATTTTTTAGATTACCGTCTTTCGAATACAGGAGAAACCAGATGGTGAAGCTCAAGAATTGGATCAGACAATATTAACAGCCTTATTTAAATCCCAACATTTAAGTCCACCGGAACAACTTAGTTTAGCATTAACATGGAATCGTGTTGATATAGCAAGAACAGAAATTTTTGTTTATGGTCAAGAATGGCCGTCAGGTACTTTTACTTATCGAACAAAAATATTTATTAATAATGTAGTCCCTTATAATAGCGACAACTATTCGTAAATTTTTTTCCAATTTAGTAAATCTATATAATTTTTTTATTAAAATATTTGACTGAAATTTATCTGTTTTGAAAACAAAAATTTCTTAAGGTGCACTCGATGAAGCAATGATGCAAGCATTAGAACATGATCGTATCGATTTCGTTAAATTATTATTAGAGAATGGCGTTTCGATGAAAAAATTTTTGACAATACCCCGTTTAGAAGAATTATATAATACAAAACATGGACCAGCTAATACTTTAGGGTAAATTAATTCAAAACATAAACATCAACATTTATGTTGCAAATTTTAATTATAACTTTCTCTTTTTTGATTTATAGATATATTTTAAGAGACGTTAGACCACATATACCAAAAGGATATGTATATACTTTGCATGATATAGGTTTAGTTATTAATAAATTAATGGGAGGTGCATATCGGTAAGTGAAAATTTTTAAATTTAAGAAATTTTTCGATAATATACTGGCCTATTAAAGATTCACCTATTTGTAAATTCAAAGATTATTTTGAAATGAAGACTTTGGATAACTTATTTAGTCTCATAATTCTATTCTAAATTGAGAATTTAATCCTAAATGTTAAACAAAAAATCATTTGGTAAATTTACTTTCTTATGAAAAGAATGTTAAAGAATGGGTATAGACTTAATTTATTTTACATATGAATTTGTTTCTAATAAGTGCAGTCAATTAATCATTTTGGCTGAATTGCTTATTTGTCGTTCTAGTATAGTAAAAATATAGATTTACCATAACAAGGTTGAATATTACAATTTTGCATTTACAAAATTACACTGTTGTCATCAGCAGAATTTTTATCAGTCACAATTTGTATGAACTGAGAAACTCAAACCTTTGGATTTAGGCCATAAAATCTGTAAAAATTAACTCATTCCCGTTTTCTTATTGCGCTTGTTTTATGTAAAACATGTCATAGTATAAGCTTTCCTTGATGGTGATTTTGGAATCAACGTGCGGACTCATTTCATTATCATTTAAATGTTGCTGGAGTGATATTTTCATATTTCATTCGATGAATGACGAATGAAAGGGTTAAACTTTGAAAACCATTTCTTTTTTGTACAAAATAATTTAAAAAATTTTCTACATGGAAAAATTTAAAGAGAAGAAAATCTTTGAACAAGATTTTTATACACAATAATTTTCTTTCGCTATCTAGTATGTAATTATGTAGGTAATTTTAAAAAATATCCTCTTCTTAGAATGTAATACAGATATCAAGAATAAAATAAGAGGTCAATTAAATAAACTTAAAACTAAATCAGATTTATACCTGATATTATTTTATTATTAAGATTAGAATCTTTTTGTCTGTCCATTTAAAGAAATCATTCCTTTATATTGGTATTTATTAATCGTTTACTCCTATATTAATCGTTTACTCCTGGTTTTTAAAAATATTTTTATTATTCTAAGAAAATATCTGAAAAAATTTTCTTTAATTATTCTTCTGAAATTCATTTAACACTAACAAGAAAATTTATTAAGGAAAATTTTCAATTTAAAGAATTAAATTTTGTCAACATATGGAATGCTAGTTAATACAAAATAATGGTTGTATAATAACTTTTTATTAGGGCATATTATATTATTCTTAAAAATTACATAAAATTATATTTGCATTACATTTACTGAAAAATATATAAACAATAAAATATAAACAATATAGTGCTTATAGAATAGAAAAACTCTAATGAAATTTATACCAGTATAATTAATACCAGTTTGCACATGAGAACAACTTTACTGAGAAAAAGGAATTTGAAATATTGACAAAAATTTGTATTTTGTTAGTACATAAGTGAAAGTTGATGCTAATCCATTTATTTTAATAAAGTTTCATTGTCTTTTTTATTAAGTAGTCAAAAACTTTAGGTAAATAACCTCTAGAATTGCTCGGGTACTAGAATATAGTTACATATCGTCGACAAAACTATGATAACATGTACATAACAATTTATGAAATGTTCAAGAGAAGCAAAAAAACTGGATAAAAAAAGTGAACTCTTTCGATATTACACATTAAGTCTTGCAAATAATTACATTTAGTACCAATAGTCTTTAATTCATCTTTGTGAAGTAACTCAAATTTTTTAATGCGATTGCTTTAACGGTTTTATTTTCCGCGCTATTCAATCCATTCTTTACCGAAATCTAGTTTTATATTAGTTCCATTTTGATCATATTTAATTGATTTTATATAATTAACTCTATAGCATTAATTCTTCGGGTTTGGCTAATGTCATGCTAAATGATGTTGTTGTTGAAATTTTGGCAAAACTCGTATATAGAACTTTTGTTACGCTGAAATTAATTTTGGTTGCAGTTTTGGTATACTTACAATAGTCATAGTGGCTAAATTGATTTATTTTTTTTGCTTTTATTCTGCAGTTGAATGAACAGAGTCAACTTTCATTTTATTTAAAATCTTTAATGTGTTTTGTTAAAATCTTTGTTATATTGTGATATTGTTCTAACCATTTAAGATTTCACTACTGAAGTAAGTACTGGTGCGATTGGAATTCAAATGTGGATGTGCGTGTTTGACTAAAACCCTTATCATTTGTTTTGCAAATTAAACTGTACGTGACAGCCCATATTTTTTCTAATATGAAATTAAAGGTTGGACAGGTTTCATTTCGAAAAATTTTAATTAGTATTTTAATTACAAGATTATAAACAAAATACATTGTTAACCGTATTTCAAATTATACTTTCTCAATATGCAAAAAAGTGAATTTCCAAAAATTTGTTGACTCTGTTCAATAATTTAAACATTCATTTTCGTTAGATAGAATAAAAGGTTTTTTAAATCTAATATTGCTCTCGCATTTCTATTGTTCCTACTTATGCTTAACAAAAACTTAAAATTACATTTGGAAATGAAATTAAATTAAGAATGAAATATAAGCCCATGGACCTTAGAAATTCATTGTTTAACAGTTTAATTACATACCTTCCAATTGATTTAATATTGCATATTTTCAGGAGCTGTAACTTGCGAATTTATTATTCAAATTATTGTGATCTGTGATTCTATTAAAGTTAAACTGTTATTTTAATTATAATTATAATTAAATTAGAGCTTAATGAAATTTAATATTTCATTTTTTTATTTATTTTTGAAGTGAAATAAAGTCTTATTCAATATTAATTATTAGGAGACAATATTGATATTTGATTAGGAGACAATATTGATATTGAGAAAACGAAATGATTATCCCCTCAACGATTACCCAAAAACAAAAATAATTAGAATTCTTAAATTATTTTTTTTAAATTTTCTGAATAAACGAAATATTCACTTGCCTTAAGTTAATACTATTTAATATTTTAAATTTAAGTCTTAAAATAATGAAGAAAATTTTATAAACATTCTTTAAAATGAATTAATCACAAAAATAAAACATATTTTTTCCGAAATTCCTTCTGGGTATTTGCCAAAAAAGAGCTTGTCTTTTAAAAACATAATGTTTAATTTTTATCAATGTAATATAATCCTTTAATTATAAATAATTTATTATTTAAAATTTCTATAATTCTTACATTAATTGAACGTAAATTCTTAAATTTAATGAAACGTAAATATCTATTTATGGGGCTCTGTGTGAATTGAGAAAGAATTATAAAGAAATTATTTAAACTAAATATAATTTACTATATTGTGTCAAGTTTAAACTTATGCAGAACAATATAAATTCAGGATATTTCAACGTTTCAATAACTTATATTAGAAACTATCGAATACTTTTTGATATTTAAAGGTTTCCAGAATTACTAATAAGGAAGTTTTACCAAACAAAAACAGATCAATATTCAGTATCACAGTATTACCAAACATCCAATTTCTTAAATTTCTCATTGTTTGAGTTTATGTATAAGTTATTTATATAATTAACTCAAGTCAAATTCCATGACGTCAGGCTATTGTTAAATACGATCTACAATTCTAAATATTTCTATAAGTATGCGATTTTAAAAAATAATTGCTGTTATTGTTACTTTTCATGTTAATCAACAATATTAATTTATGTTTGAAATCAAGTAAATTTTATGAATCTCGAAATTTTACACTAATAGAAACTTTTTACTGCGCCTTGAATGTTTTCATGTAAATATATTGCCAATTCATGTAATATTTTGACATACTTGTGTAAATTTGTTTCATTATTCGAATTTTGTATCGATGACGTGGCCTTCATACTTTGTGGAAGAATAGCATATGATCAGACAAGAAACTTTTGTTCTATCTTTGAAGGTCCTTATTAATAAAGGACATTTTAATCGAAAAAAGTCTACGATATCACAAAGTGTACTCGTAAATTAATTTTCGGGAAATTCTTATATGCTAAAGTCCCCAATTATTCTTGGTTAAAAAAGTGATTCTTAAAGAAGATTTCTGAATTTTGTTTTTTTTAATTAAAAAATTTAATTTTTTACAAAACCCTAACATTATTGGCCAATAAATAAATAATTAAACAAAATATATTTATGGATTTTTCTATCAAAAATGATTTAGTGCTTTCATGATAAATTATATTTTATGAGATAATGATAATTTTTACTTTTTAGGTTTCTAAAATTTCGGTTAGCAATAATTGTACCCACAAAATTAAATAACACACCCGTTCATTTGCCTTATTTGTCTTTGCTTTATAGGTCTCTTTCTAATCTATGGTTAGGGGAACGATGTCTGAATAATTTTTGCACAATGCTAAATTAAATTTTCTGTAAAATTTTGCATTGGATTCACACTTATACTCTAAAAGATTTTAATTGTCTTAGCTATTCTATAAAATTATCACATACAACCTCATAAACTTAATGTAGAAAGAGCTTTGGAATTTGTTTGAAAACATTTCATGACGATTTTTAGTTTTATGTAATGCGAAACCACAAAATAAATTAAATTTCTTTAAGGATTTAAGAAAAAACCGAAAAAAAGCATTCAAATAACAACTGAAAAACCTTATAATATAAATTATCCTAGAAAAATTTTAAAATTCTGAAAGACCTTTATTAGTTTTTCCTACTGGTTTTGTAAACTTTCACTTTATTTTTAAATTTAATGCTTGGTTAAAATTTAACCATCACCGACTTTAATCATTTTGTTTTTTCATTACTTTCATTGTTAAAGAAAGCAGGATTATTTAAGGATTGCGGTCTCGTTTTTGTGAAATTATAAATAATATTATTATTTTTGAAGTAACATTAAATTTACACTCTAAATTTTTAGCAGTATTACTCAATAAACTACTTACATACTTTGAGTTTTGAAATTCAAAATTAAAAAAATCTGAATTGGTCAGCACATAATCGACCACAATATGTATTGTGCCATCCGAATTCCGCGAAAAATTTGACAGTTAGTTCTGATAACAACCAGAACTCACATATCAAATTTCAAGAAATGCCATCCATCCTTTACATGATATGGTAAAAAATGTGGAAGCGGTTCGGTTTTTGAGCCCACCTTTCCAAAAAATTTTAGATTCACTATTTTTTAACACCCCAAATTTAAATATTTAATTTTAATTAGTTTGGTTGATTGTTTCTTTTTATTCGGTAAACTGCAAAATCGGCCCGCAAGAAGACCCAGTTCCCAAGGCCAGATATATCCTAAAAGTTCACCTATCCGTAACATAGTTGAAATAAATTCACTAATAAAATTTCATTTCAATTTTTCTTCAATTTTGTCAAACTGAAAATTTTTGGCAGGTTATCTCAAACTAAATTCCTTAATTATTCTCAGTTAACTTGTATTACCACATCTCTCTCCCTTCTTTTGCAAATATTCAAATCCTAAATATTTCTAATTATCCAGAAAAATACAAAACAATTTTACTAACAATAAAAATTTTTCATTTATTTTAAAGATCATATTATACACGTCGTAAATTTCGTCCAATTTATGCTAAGGTTATGAATAGTTATGCAAATGCCCATCGGAAATCATCAACTTATCAACGTTATGCCGGTGCAAACTCTATGAGCCTTGTTACTGGTTTATTACCATTCACCTCAGAAATGGCACTTTTTGAATATCCGTTTAATGAATTGCTTGTAAGTATAAAATTAAAAATTTTAGTATTGATTAAAATATTTGACTAGCTGTTTAAGATAACTAATTATCGAATTTAGGGTTTAAAATTTATTTCATCTATTAATAAAACTTCCAAAATCAATCCAAATTATTATTTCATACAAAACTACTAAAAATATTCTACTGCATTTTTGCATCGCTCAAAATTTTTATTTTCATTCTGCAAATTTCTTATATTTTGTGCCATCATAGTAATTATAGAATCGAAATTTTATTAGTCAAAAATTACATGAAACCTGAATTTCCAAATTCAAATTTCAATTTCAGTTCTTAACAATTTTAAATGTCGTTGTCATAGAAATGTTTTTGGCAACATTTTTTTTTAATTATTTAATTCAAATTTGAAATTTGGAAAAATTCACAATATTTCAGCAATAAAAATTTTCTCAATTTTTCTTTTCAACATAGCTAGATACCTTTTTTCAAAATTGATGGAAAATTAACAAAAAAGAAAACAATTGTTGTTTTGTCAAACAACATTGTAACTGTCAAGTGGCAGTTACTAGGTATATAAATGTTGATTTGAAAGAACATCCTTAAAAAAAATAATTATATTTAGTTGTTTGGCATCAACTACTTCGTGAACTCAAATAGTACATTATGCACTTGTAGCAATAAATTTACTTTTTTAAAACAATAAATTACTTAATTAAAAAAAATTAAAATTTTAGAAATAAAGAAAAGCAGAAGCTTTTAAAATTTTAATTATGTTGTAACACGAATTATGCACATATTTACATTAGTTTACCTCCAGAAACATTAAGAATCCCAAATGGTTACAAAATGTTTAAAATTAAATTCGCAATATTGTTACTCATATAATAAAACAAAGTTTAAGAGCTTGAAAACAAACCTTTGATTATCCTGGCCAATCCTAGCCAATCGCTAAGGATATCCAAAGAGTGACATATTTTAAAAAAATTTAATAACTTTGAACCAAAACCATTTCATTTGATTGGTTTGTGTTTACAATAATAATAACTCATTTTGCTCAATTTGCTAACACTATCACTCTTGTTTTCTAAATATTAGATGAATATGAGTCAATTTTTACCAAACTGAGAGTTCCGAAAAAAATTATTTCTTATTTGTATAATAATATTTTATTTTATTTTACTGAAGATGTGGGCTGTATTAACAAAACGTCAAGAGATGGCAATGTTAATGTGGACACATGGAGAAGAAGCTTTAGCTAAATCACTTGTTGCATGTAAATTATATAAGGCGATGGCACATGAGGCAGCTGAAGATGATTTAGATACAGAAATTTATGATGAATTAAGAAATTATGCTAAGGAATTCGAAACTAAAGGTAAACTAGAAAATTTTTTTAATATTTATTTAAACAAAAATGCAATAGCAAATTTACTTGTCTGGAAAAAAGTTTTTAATTTAAATATTTTAATTTTTGCAATTTAATATAGGAATAAAATTGTTAGATTTTTGTTATCGTCAAGATTGTGATAAAGCTCAAAGGTTATTAACATGTGAATTACATTCATGGTCAAGTCAAAGTTGTTTGTCGTTGGCTGTTGCTGCTAATCATCGTGCTCTATTAGCGCATCCCTGTAGTCAAATAATTTTAGCTGATTTATGGATGGGCGCACTTAGGACTAGGAAAAATACAAATTTAAAGGTAAATAAAAAATTTTAAATTTTCAAACTAAATCAAAACAAAAAACTTTCACTCGGTATGACAAATCACTTTGTTTTTATTTCTTTCTCGAATTTTAGGAGCAATAGTCTATTAATGTTTTTTAAGAGCATTAATAATATTGTAAGATTGAAAATTTATGGCTGTCATAATTTCGAAAAAGAAAATTATTAATGGTCATAAAACCAGATTTTTTATTTGTGTTTATTTTGGAAAAAGATAAAGAAATGAAAATTGTAAAGTGAAACATAAAAAAAATATTTTCAATTGTGTTACTTAGTGAAAAGCTATAAATGTCTTTGACATTGTAATATATAGGGATGGCTTATTATGTAGGTACACAAAAACCGAGAAAATATTCGTGGTCATTCAGACAACATTTATCTTCGAATTAAAAATACTAAAATGAATAATGTTACAAAATACCAAAACAATTTGATAATTTGAAAACCATGTAAAGGAAAAAACTTCTTATACTAAGTTACATACTGTACATACACATATTTATATACATATTGATAATAATAAATTTCATAAGACTGAATATGCCGTAAGGTTACAGTCCTTTTAAACCAACATACAAAAAAACCTGTTCTGAACTCATGTTGATTTTATAAATTCAAAAATGTCTATTTTAAAAAATAAGACTTTTACAATGTTGAAAAATAATTTAAATTTTATTTTGTAAACCATCTATACAATGATGTGTGTGTATAAATGTGTGCGAACGTAGTTTTACCTTTATGTACTCCTGATTTTTACGTACTGCTGATTGAATTTCATAAAAATAAAATAAAAAAATGTAGAAAATGTAAAAGACAAGGAAAAGTAGAAAATATGTTTGTGATGAGTTTTTTTATACAAGCACATCTTACAAGGACTAAATTGAAATGTTTTTTAAAATCCTTTTGAAATCTTTACATTCTTCTACAGATGAATTGAAATCAGGCTAATTTAATAATACAAAACTCGAAAATTGTGTTTTACGTGTATTTCTTCCCGAAATCCTTATCACAGTAATAAATTTTATAATTCAAATATTAAGATTATTCGTAATAGTACTTAATTCTCATATATTATTAAACAACAGCTTGATCTTAACAAATTTTTATAGCCGTATAAACGTATATTCGATTTTACTTTGCCTGTCCGTCGGTTCATCCATCCCAAAGACAACTCAAAAACTAATTGAGCTAAGTTCTCCAAATGTTCACAAACGATTTATTATAGTAAATGCCTTATAGTAAATAAAGCTCATTTAATATGTATATGATCTAGGTATTGGTTCGCATAGCTGTCATACAACTTCAAAGTTTACTTGACTATAGTCAAGTAAACTTATACTATGATATAGTCAAGTAAACTTATATTATAGAATATGTAATTTTTGGGATACAGTGTGCTATAGTATTAAATTTCGTACAAATAAAGATATTATTAGGGTCATTATATTTGATAAAAGTTATTGAAATTGCTTGGCTCCTTCGGGTAGCTGCCATACAACTCGAAAAGTTATTTGGCCATATCCAGTGCTCGAAGTGAGGGGGGATGGAGTGGGATGCCATCCCAGTACTTTTAAATAATTGGAAATCCATCCCACCACTTAATAGGAGAGAAAAATGCGTTCCGGAACATGTTTTTTCAAATTTAAGAAAATTTTCTAATGAATTTTAAAAATTTTTTTAACAAAAAATTAAATATATGTAATTTTACATAAGACCAATTTCAAATAGTAACGTATAATTTTTTTCTATAAATGAAATTTTCGTTACTGCATAGTAATCTATGCATTTCTTTGGTAACAATTTGCACAGTTTTTGATTCAATTTTTAGTTGATTTAATTTTGAATATAAATATTCTCGTTAGTTTACTTCCAAAGTTTGGTAAATTTTGTTGAGTTATTTTTTTAAAAAATAATAATAATAAATAATAATACTTTTTTTTTTTTTTATTTTTTTTTTTTTTTACCATCCCACCACTTTGAGTATCCCACTTCGACCACTGGCCATATCATAAAAACTGTTCAACCTATAGTACTAAAATTTTCCAAAATAAAATATGGTAAAATGGCAGCTATATTCATTAAAAGTTGTTGAGACCTCATGAGCACTTGTCATAACTAACATACACAAGTGTATTAATAGGGCTGTTATGTGTGATATAAATCGTTGAAATTTGTTGACTCCTTGTGCTAACAGCCATACAACTTCAATAGTAGGTTCGCCATACCTTAGAAAATATTGAAAGCACAGTACTGCAACTTAGCATAAACTAATACGACAACTTAAAATCATAGTCCGGTATAGCTTATTTACTCGCACGTAACATAACAAATACGTACGGGTATCATGGAGTTGACAAGGTCGACTCTATTTTTCTTGCTTAATTATAAATTTAAAATATTTGTTGCACCAATTTTTTTTCTCATTTTTTTTTGAGTCCTTGTTGTGTATTGGTATATAATCTATTGTTGAGAAAAGACTCAAACTTCGTTCCACGTTCAAAATACCGCCAAAATTTTCAAAAGAATAAAATATGTAATAGCTTTGTATGCACGAGGTTATGCTTTTGAATGTATTGTAAACAAAGTGTAAAAATTCAGATCTCAATGTAAGCCCAAAATATCGGAATATAAGTTTGTTTGGATTTTATAAATTTCTAAAATAGTTTAGACTGTAATTTTTTTAAAATTATTTAAAAAAAGTTTTACTTTAATCATTACAAAAAATATTATTATTTTTATTACACCTGCTTAAATATTTATATGCTTCAGAATTTTCAGAATTTTCATCTTAATATTTTGATAATATTAAAATATTTTCAAATATAATTCAAGTAAAGAATTCAAGTACATTTGGGGCTATTTAATTTCTAAATGAAATATTTTTAAATAAAATACTTTTTGTCAACTACAGCTATTTTATAATTATACTCCTAATATTATAAATTATATTTACATATTGTATAAAAAATTTTATTTTATATACATAGGTGATACTAGGACTATTATTTCCACCGTTTATTAAAAAATTAGATTTTAAATCAAAAGAAGAATTACAATTAATGCCACAAACCGAAGAAGAGCATTTAGAAAATCAAAATTTAGATTATGATGATCTCGATAAACATCATCCTGATGCAGAGGTAAGTTAATTCAAATGGCCAATTTTGAAATTACAAAAAAAAACAAATTTTGATTTTTTTATGTTCAGTTAAAGAGTTTCTCTTCTTAAATCTCTCGTTGAAGAAAGTAAATTTTTGAAATTTAATAATAAAAAAAAAAAATAAAAGAAAACTTAAGTATCTCTTTATCTCTCTACTTTTCTCTTTATTAGTAAAATACAAAAATATTTTTTATTTCTCTTAGTTTTTTTTCCTTTTGTATTTATTTTTAATTTTTCTTCATTTAATCATTTTTTCCTTATTATTTTTTTTAAAATAATTTTCAATCTTTTTATTAAATTTTTCATTAACAAAATTATAGTTTTCCTTTTTTTTTATTTTAATATCCTGTCTAAAATTATTTCTATACATCTTCATTGCGATAAATTGTAAAATGAATATATAGAACAAAAAAAAATTTAGAAAACAAAAAAAGGATTTTCATAATTTTTATAAAATTTTATTTTTGTTTTCATTAATTTTTTTTCATTTTTTTTGCTATGAACTACTCCACTACTACTACTACTACTCCTACTACTACTTGCTATTAAAATACTTGAAAATATTGGAAATATCATATGATTTTTTTTGCAAAATTTGAAAAAAAAAAAAATTTAATAAAACGTTTAATACACTTTTTATTACAAAATCAAATAACAATAATTATTGTCACAAAAACATTTGAAAAATACAAAACAACAACAATCAAATAACATACAAAAAAATATCATATAAAATTGAAATGTGTATATGAAAACAAACAAACCTATATGAATTTATTTAAAAAATAATAACAACAACAAAAAAAAAAAAAACAAAAATTCCGATTATAGAATGCTCTTACAAAAGCAAAACGATCAATTTCATTGAAATATCGAAGAGGAAATAATTCAGCACAGGTACAGTGTTAGTTTTTAATATCCTTTTTTTTCTCTTTTGTTTTTTCTCTTAATTTTTCTCAAATGTATTATAAACTTATTATAATAACAAAAAGAAAAAAATAATTGTAATTGCATCCATTTATTATGTCGTACTTATTGTACCGTTATTACCTACATATACATATACATATATAATAAAATTACTAATTATTATTATTATTGTCAATATAATGTAAGAATTAAATACACATAGAAAACATAGGATATTGTTAATAATTAAAAATTGATTTATTTTGCTTATAACAAGAATGAAAGTGATGTGACGTTTCAAATTAAATAAACGAAATATCACGATAATACCTAAATTAGTCGTAATGATCTAGCCAATGAAATCCCACTACATCATCTAAAAATAATATGCTTTCGAATGTAATGCAAAAAGTAAGTAATCGGCCGAAATTTTAATTGTGTTGAAAATTATATTGTAATGAATTTGTTTCTTATTAGTTAACCGATAGCTTATTTACACAAAATTTCGAATTTCGACAAAATGTCTTAGCTTCTATAATAAATAAATACAGTAATCCATGGCATAAAATCATCTTCATATTATTGAAAAATTCTATTTGCTCGTATATAAATTTTTAATACCATTTCCTCGTTTTAAGTCATTTTTTAAAGTTTATTTTCATAAATAACCCAAAATTGAAGTATTATGAATTTTACTAATACAACATTATAGTTGCGGAATCAATAAGAATGTGCCTATTACACTACTAATTTATCTTAATGGAAATTTCTTCATGCAACTGCAGAACAGATGGATGACGTAATCAAAGGAACGAGTTAAAGGCAGAAAAATTATTCATTAAAAAAATTTTTCTCCTCGAACTGGACTCGAACCAGTGACCTACCGCTGTCTAGGCGGACGCTCTACCAACTGAGCTACAGAGACATGAAGAAATTGCCAAAATTGAAGTGCTAACCTTTTTTTGACTCACAAAATTACTATAAATTTATAAAAATTCAATTTCGCTTCTTATAGTAGAAATTTGCTTCCTAAAATCTGAATTTTTAAACAGTTTACCAATTAGTTTTATATAATGTATAACAATTAGATCTCAAATTAATTATTTCTTTTTATATACAATCAGAAATTTATTTTGTCCTTCAATGAAAATTTATTTTTCAAATTCGATTTCTTTTTTCAAATCAGTTTCAATATTTATTAGCAAAATAATTTTAGTCTATATTGTTCAAAGCCACGTTTTATTTAATTTTATTTGAAATCAGATTGTAAAACATAATTTCTACGAACGCAAAATCATTATAATAAAAATATGCTATACGAAATCTACCCTACTTTGAACATTATAGAAAATATTTAATATGGCACTGCAATTATAGTCCCGCTGAAAATATAGTTGTTACAAACAATATAATGCAATATTGTTGAACCCAGGACAGAAAAACATGTTGATATTTTTATTCAAATTATGCTGTCGTCACATCACTTTCATCCGAAAAATTATTTAAAAATTATATATACTCGTACATAGATAGTGTTATCCTTGTAAATATTTGCTCGTTAAATGTTGTATATATATATAGTAATTCAATGAGTCGTATATATTGTATGTACATGCAAATAAATATTACGAAAGCAAAGAATATTGTACATAAATAATTATTTTCTTGATTTAATGCTTAATATTGTGCTACATATATGCATATATATATTTATTTATTATTTATAATATAAAAGCTATGCATTTAATACTTGAGTACAATAAGCCAACGTCAATTTAGTATTCGTAACGTAGATTGTTATTATAACAAATTTTATATGTACATATATGTGTAAGTTGTCTATATGTATATAATGTTTCGTTTTAAAAAGTAATGATGTGTAATGTTGTCCTGAAAATGATGTTTTTTTTTTTGCGATATAAAAACCTACAGTATAATATTGTGCATACTTTGTTCTTCCGCGTTTTTTCAAGCGCAATTATATAAGAAGGAAAAAGGATATTTACTTCGATTGAAAATGTCGCTTATTAAAAATTCATGATTTATTTTTTATTTTTCTTTTCAATTGATTGGAATATTGCGATTTAATGTATAGAATTGTTAATATAACTGTTGCACTAACAATAATTGTATATTTTATTCAACTATTTAACTATATTTCCAATAATGATATAGGAAGTTATGAAAAAAAAACGCATTTGTTACTTATATTGTAAAGTTTTCTAATTTTAATATTAAATATAATAAAAAGATATCGTGTACAATATAAAAACAATGAAAAATTTAGAAAATACGAGTATTTAAGACCATGACGTTCAAATTTTATTAGTATACTACGGGAAAATTCTAAAACTTACAAAAATTGAATATCATTAATTAAAAATAAAAGTGAATTTTTAAGTCTATTATTTAAATATTAAATTAGAAGGAAATTGTCATTTACAGTCGAATTGACCAATTAACATGATATTGATCTAACATTGGCCTGATAATAACGGCAATCAATGTTAATTCATTGTTAGTCTAATTCAAGCTAAAGCATTTTTATTTTAGAAGCATCTTAATTTTAAATGCTTGTTTTATTTGTAATTGAATCTTGAACGCAAAGTCGGATTCGTAAAAAACCTGTTAGTTACATCGCAATTAAATTGCAATCACTTTTGTATCAAATTTAATTTATATAAGATCAAACTTTAAACTTTAAATTTTTAATCGATTTGAATTTAAAAACTTTGAATAGTTTCTAAGCAAGAAGTTGAAAATTTCTAAACAGGTTTCTAACTTACACGACTAATAAGCGGGATATTCCAATTTTCCTGTTTTTGTTATAACAAATAATTCTCATACTTCAAACAAATGTAATTTCGATCACTAGTTAAAAATTACAAATTCCAAGACGTTTCAGTAGTTAAAAATTTAAATTTTTATTTAGATTTTATTATCAAATTACATAATATTATTTTTGATGTACTAAGTGGAGTTGAAAAGTTCAAATTCATTCCCCAACAACTATAAATTTTAAATATTTTCATAAAAACACTAGAAAACTAATATTTAACATAAAATGCTATGTATACCAAATAATTATGTATTTTATTTTCTAACCAAATTTATACAAGATCCTTTTTCTAAATTAATAAAATAAATTTTTTGCTTTTTGCTTTAATTTTCTAAAGAATTTTGTATAAAAAGAATTTGCTATTTGTTGTAATTGGCATTTTTAATGTTTTTAATTGGTTTGCAAAACAATAGAATTTTTTTTTTATAATTTCATTTTAATTTAATTTCAATAATAATTTTATAATATTTTATAATTTTAAACAAAACACAATATCAAAGTAACACAAAATTATTACATGGGTACGATAACCCGTTCATTTTCACATACATATAAAAATACAAAATAAAGCCTTGTTTACACAACATCTACATAACTTACATTACCAACATATTCTATACATACAGCTACAAAAGAGAACTCTAATATACCATTAAAAAATTTGATGAGGTTATAACATTTTATTATGGTAGTTATGTTCATACACGTATATACACATATTTAGTAAATACCACACGTAAATTTCTGCTCATGAATTCCTTTATGAATTCCACTCATATAAACTATGAGAGTTGTCTAGTGTCTCTAAAACTAATTTTAACTAAAAAGTTTGTATAAAAATAGCACATTTCCTTTTAGCAATATTTTTGCCCAAGTAAAATAAAAAATTTATTAGCATCTCGATGAACTGTTAAAATTTGAGACTTATCAAAATTAATGAACCCAAAAGGGTTTGTTTGAAACAAAAAAGGAACTTAAACTGGAAAATATAAAGAAATTTTCACTACTGAGTTAATATCTAAATTTCTTTCATGTCTTGTAAATTTTATCTGGAATTCATGAAATGTATGATTATATCTAATGATATCAATTAGAGATTAATGGCATAAGTAATATCTAAACTAACTAGAATTGAAGTTAACTATTCACCAGCGAAAACTTTCTGCACTTTGTACCTAACACTGATTTTAAAGTATGGTTATACGGCCATTAAAGTGTAGTTAAAATGTTATTCTATGATAATGTATATTCATTGATACTGATAATATTCAGTACTAGATTTTTTTCAGTATAAACGAACTAGATTTTTTTCAGTATAAATATAATAAAAAATGTATAAACTTTCTGTACGTAGAAAGTGAAATATTTATTTTGAGGGTACGAGTAATACTGTATATGACCACAAAAGTCCAGATTATTTATCGCATTTACGGAAAACGAATAATTCGAATTGAAATCAGCTAGTTTTCATTTTAAATTTGACCTAATAGAACTTCTGAAAATAGATGACCTCTTGAGAATTAATAAAATAATGGAAAAATATCAACTTGTATACCGTATTAATCACAGTCAATATTGTTTTTTATAACATAAACAAATATTAGAAGTTTAGTATCTGCATACAAAAACAATTTTACTATTTACTACCTTGGTAAGGGTATCCCTTTTAAAATTATGCGATATTGTGTTAAGAAAAGTAACAAACACAATCCATTGAATTTGACATAATCCGGAATATAGAGAAAATAATTTGAACGTTTTATGGGCCCAATTAGTGTGTTACGTCTCAATTAGCGAATTTCGGATTAAGAAATTTCATTTTTTATATAAAACATTATTTTTGACATACACTTATACATAATATCATTGTGTATATAGTTTATAGTGCTATACAGATGGCAATTTCTGTAACATTCTGTAACATAATTATAAAAAGAACTACTTTTTTGAGAGGCGCTAGTGAGTATTAAATTTTTAATTTAACTAAGTACAAAAATATTTATAAAGTCACAAAAATTTTCTTCCATACCACTATAAACTATAGAAACAGAGTGTTTCACATAAGGTGGCAACTAATTTCAGTCATGATTCTTTCATCAATTTCCAGCAAAAAATTGTGAGTCATAATAGAAATTAGTTGCCATTTTATGAGAGGCAACCTGTATTAGTATTAATATTAAAAAACTATAATTTTATACATATATATGTATGTGTTTATGCATATACATATTTTTCAAAATAAATTTTCTTCTTCAATTGAAATTATTTTAAATTTTTATTATTTTGAATTTAATTATGATTATGGATGTCATTCCTTTCTATGTATTTTGTGTATAAATTTTTCTCATTTTTCATTACCTATGATTCTATGGAAAATACCCTCTATGAGATATTTCTGTATAATTCGTAATAAATTTTTATTCTATAAATTTTTGAAAGCCAATACCATGTTTGAATTTATTTTTTACGCAAGTTATTTGATTCAAAACTGTTCATTTTTTACATTCCATCATTTTCAGTTTTCACTGTTGCGGTAATAAAATTGTTTTTAAATAACTACCTATTTTGATCTATGACTAAACTTTTAAAAAATAATTATTTACAAAAAAAACTTCAAAAATTGTAGAATAAAAATTCAAAAATTTCTTTAAAATTTAATACAAAACTTTTTCCCAAATAATTTGATTTTCTTTTTTGTAATTTTTTAGTTTTTAACATTTCATTTCATTTCTGTTTTAATTTTGGTAATATTTTATTCAAATCTCGAAACTTTTGAATTTTCACGAACAATTTTTCTTTTATTTCAAATTTCATGTTTTTCATTATAAAAGAAAACAATGTTGGCTTGAAAATTTTTTAACAGGGAATTTACTGTAATGTTTTAATCACATCTACAAGGGGTTAGTTGAGAGGTCGAATTTTATATTTTCGATCATATAAATGTACAGAGTGCAGAACTTATATTTATATAATATTTTAAACATACAATTTATTTCAATTTACTACAAAACACACATACAATTTTAACACATACAAAATAAAGACTTGTTGTAGAAAATGTGCTTAAATATCATGTAGTGGTAGTTAACGTACGTTTGCCTTAATAAACATTATATTCATACATTTATATATTAACATAGAATATAGTGTGAAGAATAAAGATGAAAGTATATAATAGGAAATAATTTGCAATAAGCATCCTTAAAACAAAACACACAAAACTTTCTTCTTTTAACACGCTCTTTTTTACTCTTTTCTTTCTAGATTTAAAAAAAATGTCCTTTTGCTTTTACTCAAAGTTACACAGAAAAAAAAAACTTTCAAAACTTTATTTTTGTCTTCTATTTTATTTTACATAATTCATGAAATATGCATTTAAAAATCATTACACTTAAATGTGATCTGAAAGTATTAAGGAGTAACTAAAAGTTTTTTACGATAATTTAATGTAAACATTTACTTATGTAAAAAATATAATTTTTCTTTTTAGTTTGACTTAATGACAAGACACAAAGTTTTTTATTATCATTTTTTTCTAGGATTTCACTTAAACGCTGAATAAATGTTGTTCGTCGCATGAACCAATTATATTTCGAAGTGAAGAAGTGTACTGACATTACCGTTCAAATTAACGGGACTTATAAATACTTATGTTGGCAAGCATTTCGTATATATCGAATGTTTGACGCTATTTGTAATATCCTTTCCAGGTTTTGGCACCATACCGAGACAAAAATTTTTTTTACTCCGCATTACTTGGGCTGTACATTGTAATGTAGTTGCTGATATGGTATTTATTCACCAACTTGTTAAATTAGAACTTAAAACTTGTTAAACAAGACGTTGTTAAATTAGGTTTCATTAAGGAAAAACATTTGAAATTGGAGGCTGTCATACTGGTTATGACAGGAATGAAGGAATGTTCCGTTTTATGAAATCTAATATTTTTAGCACTTTTCCAAAAAATTTTTAAAAAAAGTGCTTATTAGTTTCATTCTGTTCGTCCGTCTGTCCGTCCGTGTGTCCGTGTGTCTGTTTACAAAACTTCTACACCCTTGAAGATAGAAAGCTGAAATTTTATATGTACATAGATTTTTACTAGAAACTTATTTCCGTAGAACAAAATTTTTACCTATCTCCCCCCCGTTAGAAGTTATACCCCCCCAAAACCCTAAAAATACCATTTTTTAACAATTTATTGCAATGAAACCATAAGCATTTTTCAAATTTTGCAAAGGCAGAAAGACAGTGGCTTGCTTCTCCTATCGCAGCATACTATAGTCAAATTTTAAAAACCAAAATGGCAGTTCAAATTTACCGTTATCTAAAATCCATTTTTTCCAAATTTTCTATGTCGTTTTTCTTCTAGACCCCAGCTTGGAGGAGCCTGAAATTTCAGCTTTTAGACATTAATAAATACTTTATTTCGTTAGAAGAAAATTTTTTTCCATCTCCACCCCCTCTCAAGTTATCGCCTCTTGAAATTTGTAAAATTTGAATTTTTGACGCCTTATATTTCCGAAACCGCAAGTTTTTTCAAATTTCTATAAACGTAAAAAGCGGTAAATTCCATGACATTTAAAAATATAATTATTTTTCTTAACTCAGACAATTAACCCTTAAAATCGAGCATTATGTTAACCCCTCTTTATATTAATTTTTGCTCTATTTCAAAGACTGCATAAATCGTTCATCCTAAATATATGCAATCCTAAAAATAGTTTTGTTAATGAATGAAAATAATTTTAATAGTGTGATAGGTACACATATACTGTATTTAAAACCAGTATTTTCACTTGTTTAAGGGAAAAGTGGTACAATACAAACCATTGGTTTGACCCACCTTTATTGATATGTCATATATGTATCATCTAATCAGCATTTAAGATTTTAATATTTGAATATTAAGTTCTTTTTAAAAATTTCACTCCCGCCTAATCTCATCTAAGCAATTAATAGTCGCAAATAATTCAGTCATCTTAGCTGAATACAGGCTAATAGACGTAAGTTGTGATTAATCAGTAAATGATATTTTTATTTCTAGATCATGTGGCTTGATGGCTAACGCTTGCTATAAGCAAAAAGCAAATTAAATTTTAATGTCTTACAGAATTAGACATTAATGTCTTATAGATTTTTGAGGAATGCCTCTCTAATGTATATTTTTATCAAGCGTTGATATTAGCAAATTTTTGCAATATTCCATTGTATTTTACTTTCAAGCAAAGTTTGTCTCAAAACTATTTTTATTCTCTTCGTTTTTAATGCCATACCAGTACCTGAATTGTCTCTTCCTAAAATCAGAAAAATTTCAATTTCGAAAAAAACCATTTTTTTTTAAGTTTGACCAGCCAGATTTTTTTTAAAATCCACTATGGTATCAACGACAAACGATCAAAATTTCATTTGGGAACTTTCGACCAAAAGTCAATCCTACGACAATTTGTTGATTTTCTATATTCGTATGTAACACGTTTAAAAACAAAATGGCGGCATTAGAATATTGTAGTGTTATTCACAATCAAATATGATATGGTACTCAATGATTCAGATCATATTATTAATTTAATTTTAATTTTTATACTAGCTAATTTTGTTTAAATGCATATTTCTTAATTCCCTCTCTCTTTTTTCTCTTTTACACAATTTACACAATGCAGCTTTCATCTTAGTTATCTTTAGTTCCTCTCTTCTATAAAATAAAATATACTTACTTTTATTTGTATTTTGTCTTTTATATTATTATCTCTTTTATCTTATATAATAGATTCTATTATGACAGAAAAAAATTACTAACAAAACTATTATTAAATAAAACAAAAATTTATATTAAATTTTAGAATTTTTTTTTTAAATGCTCGTTTTTACTGTATATGAGAAAAACCAATGTAAGATGAATAGTTCGTCTTAAATGTTAAAATATAAGATAACGAATTCTTTTTTATTAATATTATATAACCATTAATTATCATAGATTGTACAAAGTATATATATATACAATTTTAGAATTTCAAATAAAAAAGAAAGTAATTATAATTCAATTTTATTTAAAAAAAAAACCATAAAAAAAACTAAAACATTACTGAAACAAAAACAAAACGTTTGTCTTATTTTTTTTCTCTCCCTTTCTCTTCTATGGGAAAAATTTATATTTTTTAGGCCCTTTTAGCTGACACTTACTCGCTGCGAGATACAAAAGTTCAAGAAAATGGAAAAGTAAGTTTTTTTGTTTCATTTATTTTGTTTTTTTTTTATTGTTTTATTTTCTTTTAATTTTTTAATTTTAATATTTTTTTTTAATTATTTCTTTTGTTTTAAATCAAAATATTTTTTGTTTAATTTTTATTACTAATTTATTTTAATTAATATAAACAATTTTTAATTAATTTAATTTTAGTAAAATTTTAATAAATAACACTTATAGCATTCAAGTAGTTTTTGTAAATTTTTTAAGCTTATTATTTTCTAATTTTTCTTTTTGATTTTCTTTATAAATAGCTATTGCCTCAAAAATAGCTTTTATGTAACAAATATTAAATACATTTATATTTTCTATACATTTTAAGACATAATATTTTTTTAATATATTTAAATTAAATTAAAAAAAAAATGCTGAGAAAATCACAAATTATGCAATAACATAAGAAATATTTAATTTTCATATTTAACCCTTTCGTTTCTAATGCTTTTTCATTTATATTATTAATTTTATTTATATTGTATATTTATTGTATTAAAGTAATTCTATTTAAATAGTAAGCTCTAAAATTATGATAGATTTAAAATTTACTAACATGGGTTGTGACTAATAAGTTATTAGAAGTAAGAATAATTATTAATTTTAAATCTAAACTAAATAATTTTTAAAAGTGGTAGAAGAACATTGATAAAACCGATTACAATCAATTTTTTTGGTCCGCAAGTTACAATTGGATTCGAAACCATAAACATTTTTTAAATTCCGCAAACGGTTTTCTTTTTTTCAAATTTTTTTTGCTAGAAGGGAAGTTGGGAAAATTAGAAATTTTAAAAGCTTTAGACACAAATTTGTCGGAATTAGAATCCTTATATTTCCAAAAATATTATAAGTTCATTGTTTTAATACCCTAAATTCATGAATTAAATTTCAACAAACTTGGTTAATTATTTTTCTTTATATGCGTAAAAATAAAAATTTGGACTGTAGTAAATGTTCAGTTGCGGATACCTGATTTCTTCCAAATGTTAGAAGGTTTCGCGGACGGTTGTGCGAAGCTTATGTATATGTAGAATTTCAAGTTATTCTGTTGAATATTTTCTTCAAAACCATCAACAAAGTAAAACCAAGTCGTAAAAAGGTCCAGTTCTCGAAGCCTAACATATCGTGAAAGTTGATCAATCCAATCTATCTTAACTAGTTATGTGTCGAATTCGACCATTATTTTAACGCTTATTTAATTTTTTTCTTTATCTTAAATGTATGCTATATTTTTAAATATTTTGATATATAAAAATTTTAACGAGGTTTCCAAAAAATGTTTGTTAAATTTGTATGAAAATTACCCACACTAATATAGTTCGCACTAATTAAAGTTTCTACATATACCGTTAACCTTAAATCGTAATATTTGTTATTACTATATAAAAAAGTAATAAAATGAGAGCGAGCCATCATTTTTTTGTTTAACTCGCGCCATAATTATTTCAAGGAATAAAACTTCAACTCCATGTTAGTAGGTTAATATAAAGGTCTCTAATTATTTTTCTTATAATTAAAAATTTCACTTCACTTTAAATTAAATTGTTAGTAAATAACATTGGAATCACAAATTAAAATTTTTATTATATAAAGAATGTTTTGTTTTTCATTCATGTTATTTAAAAAATAAACATTATTCTATTTTCCAAATGATTCTGCTTATTTTTTATTAAATACTTATTTAACTCAAAATATTATATAAAACAACTGAGATCAATTGAGATTTTCTTTTTAATAATAAAAAAGAAATTCTCAAATTTCGACGTAAATCTAAAATTTCGATTCATTATTAATAATAGCGCACTAAAATTTTACTCAAATTATTTAATTTTTTTTTTTGAATTTTGTTATAAAAACTACACATGAATCAAACAAAATCCCAAAAAAAAAAAATATTCTCTTATATGAATTTAGGTTGGCCTAACCGGAGCCGATGCACCAACATCCGCTAAAGTTAGCTTTGAAAATCAAAATAATGAGGTAAATGTCCATAAAAACAAAAACAAACATAAAACAGAATTGCAAACTGAAATGAGAGTAATAAACACATAATTGAGTTTAATTTCATAATTTGCAAAAGTAAAGTCGAAAAAGAAAGGAAAAATATTTTCGATCGAAATTATAAAAAATTATTTTTACTCAATTATATATATTCAGTATGGTGACATGTTCACTATAATATAACATTAATATTAGTAAGGGCTTATCCTGAGAAGCGAATCTCTAAATGATAGAACCTAATGTTCATCGTATAATTTATTATCCTGTTTGCGTTTATAAGAATAACTTCTAACTTTTTGCCATAAATATCAATGTTGCTCAGCCATTTGCTTCTCAGATTACGTGAAACATTTTATTAACGATTCTCTTTAAGATTCGTTAAAGCTCGTCTTTGATCAAATTTAATATGATTTCTAATGCTATGTAATTTTATATAAATGAAAGAATTTTTATTAATTTTATATTCATTTTAATTGCATTTAAATAATCTAGAGGACTTCCCAAGCTCTTATTCGATATTGTTCAATAACAGGGTTTGTTGATTAACTGTAAAAATTCAATTAAATCTCTAAAACTTTACTTATTTGCACTTATTTTGTAACTACAAACTGAATTCTAGAAACAACAGTTAATTTCAATTAAATTATAATTTATTTTTATAAATAGCGTAATATACACTTGTTAATGTGTACGGCATAATGTTATAGTGAACATGTTACATAAATAATTTCAAATAAACAACAACAATTGGGACATTTTCTTCAATTTTTCAAAATTTTTTTTTTAATTCTTTTTGTTTTTTTTATATTTCTAATTTAAAAAGTCGTCTACTTAACAACACAGAAATTTATTCTCTATTTTTAAAATTTTAACACAAATTTGAACATTAAAATCTTTTAGAATGATTTTTAATTCATACAAAAACCAATAACGAACAAAATTGTTTTAGCACTTATTTTACCATATCCACGGCTTATAAGAAAATACCTGATCCCACATGTTAAAAATTTTGAAATAATTTGACAAAAAATAGAAAATATTACTACTGTTCATTCCAAAAATATAGATTGAAAACTAAATGAGAGATATTTTAATTTTCAAAATATTTCTGTAAAAATTTTTAGTATTATGAATTTGGTAGGTTTTTTCCACTATTTGCAAATTATTTTAAAATTTTTCTAATATTGGATAAAGAGTTTTTCCTATGAGCCCTCGATAGACTCTTGAAACATAGTTCACAATATCTTATTTAACATAATGGAATATTTAAAATAATATACACAAGAAAAAATTAAAGGTTTTCGAAAAATTTTTAAAATCAAAAATTAAAAAATTTCAATACAATTGAATTTTTCGGAACGTCAAAGCAATACTACAATGCAATGCAAATTGATTCGACATTCGTTACAAAAAAACGCCGTTTTCTCTTAATACGAGTACATTTCTCATTCATATTATATGAGTGCAGTTGTTTTTAAGTAAATCTTGTTATTATCCCCCAATTCGATATCAAAAATTGCATTTTACTCTTATTGTTTAATCACACTAGAACTTGGCATTCGATCTTCTTTTTCTCCAAGAGCTTAATTCTTTAATTTTAAATAATTTAAGGTCAATTATAATGAAATAAAAAGTAAACTTAATAATATGATTCTATTAATATGGGGATGTTCGCCTTGCCCAACATCTGAGTCAGATTTTATCAACAACTGCAATTCAACTGCTGCAAAGAGCCTTAATTTGATATTAATTTAACAAAAAATATTTGTGAACTATAATATTTTCATTCCATTTTTCATATGTTTAATAACACTAACATTTTAAATTTTTTATTTATTCAATAATTTTACATATAAGTACTTTATTGTAACACATTTCTAGATTTTTATATAAATTTTCTTGTCTCTTTGTGTAACCTGTATAACACCACATTTAAAATTTATTTTGTTCTACATCATGATGGTAAAACTTTTTTCCATTATAAACTACTTTTGTACATAACAATTATTATTATTAGAAAACTAAATGTTGAGTTTAGTCATCCAATAACAACACAAAATAGAAAAAAAGAAATGAAAATAATTCAAAATTTTTATTTTAAATTTAATTTTAATTTAAATCACAAACACCCTAAGTGAGGGTTTGCAAATTTCAGCTAAATGTTTTAATTAAAAAAAATTAATTAGAAAAACGACTAAAAAGGAAAGAGTAGATTTAGAATTAGTAAAAAAATTTCAAAAAAGTTTTGAATTATTTTCTAATTTTAAGAAAACTAATATTAGTTTTGTTTGTGGCACTAAAAATTAAAAAATTAAAAACTATTCATTTCATGTAAAATAATATATAATGTTTTTGTAAAGGTTTCTCTATCGGATTCAGATCCGTCACAAATTCGAGACTTTTTTAATAATACACAAGACTATGAAGCTCGTCAACTGCAACCATTAAGGCTGAAAAAGAAAATTTATGAATTTTATACGGCACCAATAACAAAATTTTGGGCTGATTCAGTAAGTCTTTTTTTTTGTTTCAATTTTGTTTTTATGACTCATACTAAATTTACTAACATTTTACTATTATTTAAATACTAGATGGCCTACGCGTTCTTTTTAGTTATGTTCACATATACTGTTCTTGTTAAAATGGATACGGTACCACATTGGCAAGAAATTTATTCAATAGCCTATATTTTTACATTAGGCTGTGAAAAAATTAGGGAAATAATTTCGTCGGAGCCTGTAGCAGTAACGTAAGTATAAAAAAAAAAGTAAAAAATAGAATAAAATTCCTATTTTATTTTGCAATATTAATGAAGATTGCAATATTTGTTTAACAGCACAATATTGCAAAACCAAAAAGTATGCATTCATTTATGATTCATCGCATGCATAAATATAATTTTTATAATAACTAGTTAACGGAAGTTTTCAACATTTAAAACACAAACGCAGCAATATTTTATTTTTTCTTTTTTTTAAAGACTTAAGTCATTTTTAAAATAAACCATCCACTTATTTATTAGGAAAGCCTAGATATTAATCACTCAATAGCTCCAAAGTTTGTACTCGTACAAAACTATTATTGAAAGAATCCACTAACAGATTCCCAAAATTTAATGAAATAATTCCATAATTTTCAAAAATTTTGATAAACACCAAAAAGTATGAAAGCCCAATTTTAAATTTTCAAGATTTCTAATTTTTTAGTACATAGTTTGAATTTAATTTTTGTTAAATTAAATTAATTACCATAAAATTAGTACGGTACAAAAGTGCAATCTTAAAATCATTACCATACATATATACAAAATTCAACCTTTTCACTTATATAAAATCAATTATTTTATTTACAGGCATAAATTTTCAGTGTGGGCATGGAATATGTGGAATCCTTGTGACGCTGCCGCAATAATATTTTTTGTGATTGGTTTTTCATTGCGTTTTCGTGAAAACACAATGGATATCGGTCGTGTGATATACTGTGTTGATAGCATTTATTGGTACTTGAGAATTCTCAATATTTTAGGTGTAAATAAATATTTAGGTTAGTTTAAAAATTTTAAAATGTGAAATTCTTTAAGGATAATTCCGAAATTTTTTAATATTTTTACACTATATTGCCACTGCTTTTTTTATTTTTATAGGTCCTTTGGTTACCATGATGGGCAAAATGGTTAAAAATATGATTTATTTTGTTGTATTGTTACTTGTTGTTTTAATGAGTTTTGGTATTAGTAGGCAAGCAATTTTATTTCCAAATAAACCACCAAGTTGGAAACTGTTGCGTGATGTAAGTGTTCATATAATGAAGCAGTTTTAATTTTTCGATTTTTTTTATATATTTTTTTTGAAATTTTTTTAGGTATACTTTCAGCCATATTTCATGTTGTATGGTGAAGTATTTGCTGATGATATTGATCCACCATGTGGAGAAGATCCCTCACAAAAACCATGCCTGACAGGTACACTATAAAAGATATTATGAATACTGTAAATAGGACATTTACCTCGTAAATTTATAACATATATTCAGTAAAAAATATGTACGGAGTTTAGATGACAAAATGTTGAATATTTTCAATTATAAGTTTTTCGTCTTTCAAGTCAAACGAAATTGAAATTTTTTAAAGAACTGAATATTAGAAACCATTTCAATTTGTGAATTAAAAGAATTTTAACTTTTAGTACTGTTGACAATATTTTTTACTGTTGAATATCAGAGATTCTATACATTTTTCATTTATACATAAGGAATTTTCAAAAAATTATTACATTTACTATTTCGTTCGCTAAAAAATTTTATTTTATAATTTATGATTTTTTAGGTCATTGGGTAACACCGATAACTATGGCTATGTACTTATTGATTGCTAACATATTGTTAATTAATTTGTTAATAGCAGTTTTTAATAATATTTTCAACGAAGTGAATTCTGTTTCACATCAGGTATGTAATTTTTAATCAAATTAAATGTTACCTAAATATTAAATTGTAAAATGAATTGAAATTTCACGCAAAACTATAGTTATCACAGTTTTTAGCCATTTTATTATAAATTTGATTTAATATTATGATTCCTTAAAAAATAGCACTTGAGCTTTTGCATATTTTGATTCTCAAAACTAATTTAATAATTTAAATCAAGCAAATTTTGATTATAGGAACCTAATAAATTATTTTTAATAATTTTTTTAATTATAAAATGCATTTAAATTTTGCACATTTTATCGCATTTAAATAGTATAACACGTAAGTATTTTTCCCAATTTATCAAATGTTCTTATTTACAAATTATTTTGAACTTGCAATTCTAGATTCGATATTTGAAATATGTTTGTACAGTTAACATTACAGTTGTATCCTAACCCAATAATTAGAAAAATACAATATAAAAATTTTTGTCGACATTGAGGGCAATATTATACGCCTTTTTAGAATACTTAAACATTTAGTAGTTGTTAAAACAGTAAAAACAACAAATATTCTAAAACCTTAGATGATTACATGTTTTGTCATTTTAGATTTTCCTCGCTTAAAAATCACTGTAATAAGTTAGAAAACTCTTGGTACTGTATACCAGGAAGCGATAGAAACTCTTTCTTATGCTGCGCTTTAATTTACAAGATATTTTTATATTATGATTTAATTAATTTTATAAAATACTAATTTCCTTTTAACAAATCAAAATCTAGAACTTGAACTTTAATAGCTTTACTTTTCATATTGCTACTTAATTAATGCATAACTTTAGGAGAATTCTTTCAGTCACAATTGGAGACGACGTCGAAGTGATGAAGAACTCGGAAGTGATTTTGTATAAGAATTCACAAATCTATAATATTGTGCTATTACACGGTTGAAATGATCTCGCCATGCAAGTTTTATGACTTTTGTTCAAGCAATTTTATAGATGTCGAATTCATTTCGGCCCCAGCTATGAAAAGGAACCAAGAAACGGCAAAAGTATTTAAACTTTAAAATTTCCAAGTTGTAAAATTTTAATTGTAAAAATTGTAAAAAAGAGTTTATAACAAATTGGGAAGATTCCTCCCAAATGGTATATAAAAAATTATATTTATAAGCTTGAGTAGCGGAAACCAAATAAGAACTACTTTCATTTTTACAATCGTTTCCTACTTATTTTACATTATTAATATTTGAAAAATAATTTGCTGAATTTTCGTTCTAATATTTTAATTTTCATTAGATTTTCAGTTATAAAAAATTAATTAAAATGGCTAAGCACTGTTATTTATTTTATTATAAATATATTAATTTCATACAATGTTTTTTAAATAATAATAAGAAAAATAACAAAAATATGGGACTATTTTTTTTTAACAAAAAATTATATATTTTCATGCTAACAACAGTTGTTTGTTATATTTTTAATGGTAGCAAATTAATTGCACTATTATTACATTGTCTTAATTGCTTATCCGTTTACCATATTTTTTTCTTTTACAAACATTCTTACATATAAAGGATTTCATCCTTTCCACATTTTCTATTTCATATTTCTATTTCACCATTTGCTTTCCTTTTTTTTCATATTTTTGTTGTTTTCTTTGTTTTTTTTTGCCTTTCTTCTAACGTCTAATCCCTTTTACTATTTTATTGTGTTAATTAACAAAGTAAATATATATATACTCACATACATGTATATATGACATATGTATGTGTGTATTAATTTTCATACAAGTATGTGTATTTATGCGATTTATATACATTTTAAAAATTTCTATATGTAGGTTTGGATGTTTCAACGTTTTACGGTTGTTATGGAATATCAACAAAAACCAGTTTTACCGCCCCCTTTAATTGCTTTCTGTCACTTTTACTCTTTACTTAAATACTGTATTAGGAAAGCTAAAGGTACGCAAATGGGTGAGCAAAGTAGCGTTGATGTTGTAATACCAATGTAAAAAAAAAATGCAATATAATAAAAAAGAAAGACAACAACAACGATAACAACTACAAAAGCATTTATAATAATTAATAATAAAGTGATAAATTGAAACTGACAAACATGAATGACATCATATAAGATTTAAGAGTCTTTTTGCAGTCATTCTGTTTTGTATTTCTATATAATTCATATTATTACATATTATAATAAAAAGAATAATTGTTCAAAAAAAAAATATTTAAATTCTTAAATTAAATTTTGTTTTTCATTTAATAATAATTTTTTTTTTAATATAAAAAGTTATTTGTGCAATTAATTTTATTTAATATACAAATTAGTTTTAAAGCAATGATTACACTAAATATTAATGCAAAATTGTAACGTTGATTTAATACTACTATACGCTACTACACGGCACATGAATATAATGTATGACGTGTGTTTGTCCACACTCAGAATATACTAGTATTCATTTCTTAGAAATGCAAAGGTTTTGGTCAAGTCAGGCTACTAAATTTTTCTCTATTGAATAGTTTGAAAATTTTTTTCATTGTATTTTAAAAATTTAAAAAGTCTTGCAATGTAGAAATTTGAAAGAGTGAGCCGATGATTTTTCACTAATTTCTCTTCTTTTTAAGAAAACTTACATTAACTTCATAATACGAGTATATTACATATATGCTATTTATAAGCTCAATTTTTTTTAAACTTAAGTGTCTAAAAATTTATAAAGCTGACGTGCGACATTATCCCACCTTTTTGTTAAGGCCTATTTTATTCAAAGACAATGTTCACACATCAAACATTGTTTATGGATTTTGTTTAACGATATCAAACAAAATGTACTCTGCTCGCACGTTAAACAATACTGTATTAGCAACCATACAAATAATTGAAATGCACTATAGCTTAACACTAAATTTAAGATAAGAAAATGTACGCAAAAAGGACCATCATTCCCATGATGAAAAAATTCATTCAAAAAAATCTGATATAAAAAAAAAATCCAAAGAAATATCCAACTTTCCATTCATCCAATGTTTGATGTGCAAACGGTGTTTAAGGCGTGTGGTTATATGAGGTCTTTTAACACGATCCTACTGTACGAATTAATATACTTTAATTATGGCCTATAACTAAATTTAACACAGTTATATAATTATTTTTGTCATTTCTAGTGCCTGTAAATTCAACATTAAAATATTAAATAGAATTTTTCCAAAATTGAAGCACATGTTTGTATGTATTCATATACAACAGTCATCATATTGCGCATTAATATGACGTGAAATCAGCTTTGCTATATTTTTGTTTTAATTTTTTCAAAAAAAGAGACAATAAATTATTGTAATTAATTGCATGTAAATTAAAATACAAAATTTTTTTACATTTTATTTATTTAAATTCTTTTACACTTTAAATTTGGCTTCAAAATATCAACCAAAACAAAATATTTACATATACTCGTATATGTACATAAAAAACCATTATCATCATATACAACAAAAAATATCTACAATATCAAAAATAATAAATTGGAATACTAAATAGGACTTGAAGTTCAACGTGATAACGGTTTAAAATTATTTTTGGAAAAAGATGATCTTGAACGCTTATATGATTTTGAAGAAGAATGTGTTGAAGGTTTCTTTCATGAACAGGAAATAATTTTAAACCAATCTACGGAAGCAAGAATAAGAACAACAACAAATCGTGTTGAAAATATGTCACAAAAAATTGAAGACATAAATCAAAAAGAAAATATGCAAACAGCTACAGTACAGGTGAGGTTTCTCTATTGAACTTATTGCTCATATTATTTTATATGTTTGTTTTACAAGTAATTTTTATAAAAAATATCCAATAACCAAAATAAAAAAAAATATTGAGCCGCATTTACACGCTTTTATTATGTCCTACGATTATTAATATTACTGATTTCTTCTCAAATTTGAAAATAACATCAAAGGACTTCTTTTTCTTCCACCACAATTTCTATCAAATTGTATAATTACCGCGTTTTATGATGACAAAAACTGTGCAGTCTTTAGATTTTTCTATTACTGCAACACCTTAATGCTACCTCCAATATTCAGATATTTTCAGGATTAAAATAGACTTTGGGCTTTTAAAACAGTCTTTATTTTATTTCTTTATTATTGCTTATCATTATAAAATCGCTATATATTTTGATTAATTTAAAAAAGAAATATAAACGACAGAAAGTTTTTAATTTTACGCTCTTGGACGAAAAGAAGCTATTAGGCTAACAATTAAACTAATGGATAAATTTATTTATAATTCATATAATTTATTTTAGAATATTGAATTTCGGCTTCGTAAGGTTGAGGAGTCAACCGATGAAATTTTATCTCATCTAGCAGTAATTCACCGTTTCATGTCGGCTCACACATTAACACAAGAAGCATTTCCAGGATCTTCTGGCAATCTAAACAACTTGGGTAACGAGCTAAGATTACGAACAGTTTCTGTAACAGAACCACTAGAAAGCACCAACACATTGCAAGTGAGCAATGTAAGTATATTATTTCTCCTTTTTTTTTGAAAATACGGAAAAATAAAAATTTTCTCACTTCTTTGTATTTTTGTATGTTCTAACAAGGTAAATACCAATCGTCGAAAGTTTATGCGATCATTAACAGAAGTTCGTTCAGATGCATATATATTCGATGACGGAACTCATTTTGAAGTTGTACCCGTTCCAGAAGAAAATGAAATGATACGATCACGAGAAACGCTTAACCTGAGTGGCGCAGGCGCCAATCGTAAGGCTTCAATTCAATCAGAGGATTCTGACCCCTACACTGGCTCTGGTCAACAACAACAAACCCAGAAACAAAGTTCCATTGGTGAATCTCGAAAGCCACCATTCCTTAATGTTCGGCAAGATACGACAACAAGTACTGAAAGCAAAGACACCTTAACACCATTAGGTCATCCAAATGATCATCAGTTAGATGAACATGGCGATTCTTCAGAAAATATTATGGATATTGATTTCTCAAGTAAGATTAAAAGTCTCAAGTGTGAGCCTTATCATTAAAATTTAATTCATCAATAATTTCATTCACTTTGCCAATCATGATAAGCTCCTAATTGTAAAAAAAATACTAACATTGATGCATCAATTAAAAATTAAGTATATTGAAATAGTCCCAAAACTAATAAGTATATGGTAATTGGATAACCAAAGCGGTGAAAGGCAACGGCGGACGATTTCCGTTGTTAACAAAAAAAGCGGAACGGAGAGCTTTTTTTGCATATAATGACACACACAAATTGAAAGAGACAATATAAAAAAAAATCTGCCGAAATTAGAAATTCGCTGCTGTAATTTCGCTTGATCGTGGGCAGTCCCATTTAAATATGTGTATTCTATATGAATTCTGACATTTCGCCGTCAGAATTCATATAGAATCTTACCATTTAAGATTCTTATTTGAGATTAATAATCTATTATCTATAGGTCTTCTAACACCTTAATACCCTTAAATGCTAAACTTACTATAATTTCAAAAAAATTTTAATTAATTGCTTTATTGCAGATGTAAAGCAACGTGCAATGCGGCAAAGAACTCAATCTGCGATATGTCGAAGAAATTCGGAAAGCTGTTCGAATTATGATATGAATCGATCACAAATGAGTTTAAATCAATTAGCGATGACAAAAAGGCAGTTAAGCTTAACTCAATCTGAACCAGATAGCGGAAACGAGCCAGGTTAGAAAATCCTTTTATAGAAGTATTTTTTTAGCCTTCTAAGAAATAAGTTTCATAAGCAAGAAACAAAACAAATTTCTTTAAATTATTTTTCAAACTTGAGTGAAAACAAATATTGCACTAACAACGAAATTTGCTTTTTAGCAGTAGCGGTATCCGTTAAGCCAGTAATACAAGCAAGGCATCCCAGAAATTTGCTTCTACAATTTCATACTGAATACACTTCAATTACAGACGAACTTGAAAGTGTTTGCCACATGATAGCTTCTCCAACTACATCTATAACAGGTAATGTTGTTTAAAAAGTTAGATAAACATTTTTTTAAAATCATGATATAAACTCATTATTCTTTTTTAGGACCAACTGAAAGACCAAAAACTATAAATGAAATGTCTACTGCCGAATGTGCTGCTTTGATAGAAAAGCAGCATTTAAAGGAATGCGAGGAGAATGATTATCTGATGTTGGAAGGTTTACTCCAAGCTCGTGGATCACAAGATGAAAATAGTGGGACTTCGTTAGAAGTATGCCTATTAATCTTTACGAAAATATTCAACTAATATTTTGTATTTTTTTTTATTTAAGGCTTTTCCGGTGGACCGCCGTCCCTCGCTACGCCGTGAATCAGCCATTGAGCTATCTCCATCTAAGCCTCCGGTCGGCTCTGATATGGGGTTTAATATTCAAAACGATCATACTCTTTATGAACGGCATTCCTCAAGTGAATCACAAACTTCTCGTAACCAAAATCATCAAAATCCACAAAAACAAGGGCAATCACAACCATCTTATTCACGTACAAGTAGTGAACTTTTAAATCCAACTCAAATTGATACAAGAATCTTTCGAAAATCATGTGAAAGTTTGCAAAAAAATTCTAGTACTGAAACAGATTATTCACTACATCCATACCGGGTCATAAAACAAAGCTCAAACGATACAACTGCATCAATGACCGGATCATTTAATATTGACACTCCATCAATGACAGCAGAGCCATCCTTAGATGCTGTAGATCTTAATGCCGCACAAAATTCAACTCACTCAATTACTGTTGATTCTTATACCAGTACAACAACAACCTCCGCTGCAAGTGTTGTTAGTAATACTGGAAATATCAATTCTGTAACTGGCTCAACTTATCATCATAAAGCAACCACTCCATTACGTACAGTACAAACAATAGGAACATCTGATTTACGATATCCTTTATCCAAACATTTATCAACAGATCCAATAGGATTACAACCTACTCAACCTAGATCAGCAATGTTAAAAAAGCAATATAGTATGGATCAAACAAAATACTCACCAAAACGTACAGCTTCAGAATCAGATAAAATTGATGAAGACATTTGTGCTCCGGGCGATTTTACTAAAATTGGTTTATCTACTGCCACACCAATTATTAGTTCTGTTACAACACAAATTCAACAGCAACATCAGCAGCAACCAACTAGTAGCAATTTAGTTTTAAATCAAAAATTATTACCATCCCCAACAACAACATCAACAATATTAAAACCATCAATGAAACTAGCCCCACCAACATCAACCATTAAAATGAGCTTAAATGTCCTTTTAGAGAGTAGCTCAAGTACAGAAGAATCGAAAGATGAAGTTGCTTGTAATACAATAATGCCAACAATTAGTACAAATATCGTACAAGATGAAATTGCAAAACTATCATCAAATATTAAAAGTAGCACCGATTCAGAAAAGGATCCACCATACAACGAGACAATGTGCTGATTTTGAATTAATATTTATAAACTAAAAACTTTTTTTTCTTTTCGTGTTTTGATTTAATAACAGAATATTAAAATATTTTCGCAGGCGTAAAATTTCGTCCCTGGTTTACCTTTACTAAAAGCGAAATATTTTGAGTAATTCTAACGATTTTAATATAATTACAATAATATTGTTAATTTTTTTACATATTGATATTTCTGAATCAATTTTCCAATTTCAATTAATCGAAAATTTTTTACTTAAATTAACCTAATATACTAGCTGTATTCTAATTACTTGTAATATAATTATCTAGTTACTGCAGATAATTTTTCTCAATAAGGATCTTTTCTATATTCTGGAGTAAAATTACTACACAAATATCATTTTCAGAATTATTCAATATTGTTATGTACATGCTCAATGCGAATATTATTTTATTTGTATGAAACAATTACTTGCGAATTACTGCTTACTGAAAAGCGAGTCCTTCAAATTTAAAAACCACTTGCAGTATTTAGTTTTAGACTTACTAAAGTATTAAACTTTTACTCCAGCTAGGACAGCTAAAAAGGTAGCACTAAATTATTGTATTTAGAACTTAAAATATTAATGGAATACAGCTTTCACTTTCAAAGTATATTTGTAAGCAATCTTTTTTGAAGGTATTTTTTATTCTCAAATTTAAAAAAAAAAAAACTTTATTGTAAATAATAATAAAATTCGAATTTAAATTAAAATAAGTTTGTTCACAAATTTTTTTATGATTATTATTCAATAAAAATTAATTTTAATTTATTAATTTAACTTAGATTTAAAAAATATAAAATTAATAAAATATTTTAAAATTTTTATCGTAAGTGTATTAAGAAATTTGTTTTTTAATATAAATTGTAAATATTTAGATAAAAAATATTATATAATGTTAATATAAAACAAAATATAAGATCAACTATTTAACAAAAATAAAATTAAATTTTAAATAAAATAAAAGGAAAAAAATGAGATCATATCGTGTTATATTTGTTTTTTTATGATCTTTTATTTTAATGTTTTAGAAATAATTTTTGTATGTGAATTTGTATCAAAAATATAGCTGATAGTAAATTGAAAACAAAAATAAAAAAAATATTATATTAAGAGTTATAAACGTATAAAATATATATTAAAATATTATATATAAAATTAGTTGATCTAGAAAATTTAATATAAAATTTGTATGAAAGACAAAGATGGAAAGCAAATATGAAACAAAATATGCAATTTAAAATTTTGAATACAAATGGTATAAATCACAATTCTCATATATGAATGTACGTATAACAGATTATCCAGTATTTTTGCCGAAAATTCGAGTTAAAACAAAGCTGTAAATAAAGTTGAATTCGCATATTATTTATAACAGTATTGATTTGCTTTAACAATAATTCCCAATAATGCAGAGAACTAAAATTAAAGTTCATAAATCTGCAAATTAATTACAACTTTATGTTATCATGTTAATTTCATCCTAAACCACAAAATCTTGTAGACGAATTTGTCTACTTCATTTTTTTTTTCGTCTCTTTATTCACTTTTAAGTCTGAAATTTCATTTTTCTTATTTTTCTAATAAAATCACTCAATTTTTCAATTGGATTTTCGCACTCTCTTTGAAAATATCAACTGCTTTCAGAAGTACAAGGAATAATAACTAAATATTATATAAATTTTAGAAAGTACGAGATACGCAATAAAAAAATTCGTTTCATTCGAGAATTACATTATACAAATAAATGGCAGTCACTCAATTTCTTCTTACGAGTACTTTGCCAGAAAAGTAAATACACGATCACAACTTTAAAATTCAATTGACATTAACAACAACGGTTTAAAATAAATTTATCATTAATTAGAAGTTTCAATTTTAAAATTGAGGACAGGTTAATTATCATTAAATTAGATTTGAAGATTGGTCCATACATATTATTGTTACAGAAGCTATAAATTTATTGCAGTGGCGGGAAAATATATGAAAATCAGTTATATTAGAACATAATTTTATTTAAATTGCTTTTATTTTTAAACCATACCTCGTTTCTCCTGAAATATTAATTAGAATGGATAATTATTGTAAAATTTTCTTATTTTACAATTTTAAGATATTTGAATAAATTTATAAAATCAAAATTTACTAAGTCCAATCAGGACAATTAATCACATTTCAATTTATCACATTTTTGTATACGCATGTATTATTTGAATTTATTGAACTATAAATTAAGAATTGTGATACCAAAATATCTTTCATGTGGAATTCTTCGCTATCGATTTTTATTATTTTTGTGTAAGTTTAAAATAATTATTAAACTTACGCAATAAATAAAAAAAATTGTTTTCAAAGTACACATACATATTAAATCAATAAGTGAATATAAAATATTTATAAAAATCCAAAAAATTTATACATACAAAATAATAATTGTTTAAAAAAAATGAACGTTTCTAAAAATAAAGAAAAAAAATTAATAAGTACAGAAAGTAAACAGAATTGTTAAAAATATGATTCAATAAAAAATTTTAATACTAAATAATTATATAATATTAAATAAATACAAAGAATTGAATACTATAAAGTGTGAAACTATCATAAAAAGTTTCTTTAAAATTATATGTTTTGCCACCCATAATAAAAATATAAGAGCTGTTTGATTTATTCAATGTTATTTTAATAAAACAAATTATGTAATTTCGCATAAAATATCAGGCTAGAAGTAGTTTTCATTTATATAGTATCTCATATTTTATTGTAATTGTCTTCGTTCGTATTGTCTATATATAATATACATTCAATCCTTGTAAATTATTTTTTTAAAATCTGGCAATATTTTGTAAAACATGATGAAACACACAATTTTTTAAAAGTTAATTTAAAATTTATATTATTTTTATTACTAATTTAATTAAAAATTTAATGTTTTAATGTAACGAAAAATTTAAAAATCAAATAAAGAAAAATTATCTAGAATAGATCTGATAGGGCGAGCCATAATCTTAAAGCTACTAATTAAAATCAAACATTATCCTGTTTTAGGACATATTCTGTATCCTAAAAATTTGCTATAACAGTTTACATACATTTACAGTTTGTTATTATTGCATTTACTAATATTCTCATGCTAAAGAATAAGATTATTTCTTTTAGATCCTTTATTTGTGAATACATAGGTATTATAAAGTAAATATGTGCGTATTAAATTTACGCCACAATATTGATTGTATGGGTATGAATTTTTTTAATATCATAATTCTTGTATATTAGATTCGGATAAAAATCTAGGACATGTGTGCGGGTTTGATATTTCAATGTCAAATCAGCAATTTCTTATATTAACCTCTTGACAAATGCAAAAATACAGTAGTTTAAACTAAAAATTAAAATTATAATTTTAAAATTACTCTTAAATGATTTTTTTAACATTTTAATGCTAGAATGTGATCACTGTAACAGTTCAAATCAGAAAATGTATACAGGTTTGCAGCAAATGTTTGTACGTATATTATTCATCATTAACATACGCGCTAAAATCTTTGCAAAGACCGAATTTTGATTTTTTGATAAAGGAATAATTATTTAAAGAAACTATTTATGCTTGTTCTCACGACTTAATGTTAAGCTTTAAAAAATTCTATTTATATCAGTTATTAATAAATTTAATTCGAATTTAAAAACAGTTATATATTATAGATTGAAAATATTTATTAATTTATAGAAACTATGTATGTATATGTATAATTTTAATTTTTAATTTCATTTTTAAAATCTTATTTTCGAGAAATTTTAATCGTAAAAATTTTCTATAGGAAAGAAAATCTTATTAATTTCTAAAATGAAAAATATTTATGTAAAAGTGATGTTGATAGTTTATGACAATATAAAGTATATATATGAATAATACATAATAATAAAAAACAGAAAGATAAAATTAAAAAATCATAAAAATAAATGAGAAAAATTGAAAACTTATAAAGCATTATTTTCTAAGGGCTCCAAATTCACTTGTGAATCTAAATTTTGCTCCGAATCATCTTTTGTCGATAGTTCAATTTGATTATTTTCTGAATTAGGAGATTGTTGACTTGTTCGTGCAGCACTTGATTGTCTTCTTAAACTTTGGCGTCTAAATTCTTTAACTTCTTCATGCTTTTTTCTCTTGAAGAAACCGACCTAAAATTAAATAATGTTCATTGTAGATTCCATAGAATTACATTGTGAATCTATTTTAAAACTACTCAATGATATTTTGTTCAAAAATTAAAACAAAAAAGCTAAGATACAAGTGAAAATTATTACCTTATACAAAATTAATGAAATTATTAAATATACTAGAATCCCTACAATAAATGATACTCCATAAATCCAAGCTGAATTGGTTGTCACAACTCTTGTCATTACAATTTCATAAATTTCAGTATGAAAATTAATTGATGAACTCTCGCAATTCGAGCTGTACCATTCATTCATTTATAAAATAAGAAACAAATTTAAATAATTAATTTTAAATATTTCAAAGATAAAGTTACGAAAAATTTATGCAAAATATTGTACTCATATATGTGTACTTACTTATTCCTACATGCAGTATCTTCGACCAAAAAATTTAAATTGTAAATAAAAATATTTTTGTCATATTTTTCAAGTAACTCCCAAACTTTTTGCTGATCAATTTTTAATTTCATTACTATTTTTAATGTATCTGTAGTTCCAATTTTCGATTTTTCTAGCTCATATGTTTTAATTTTCAATTTAATTACTTCATCTTGATCTTTATCAAAAAACACTGTTTCATTTTTCGAAATATTTTGTACAATTTGATGTTGGAAGTTCATTAAATCCGCAAATTTCGTAAACTGACACAAATTTGAAAAAGAGCTTCTTAAATTCGATTGGTATTCATAAATGTTTGTAGACGATGAATTTTTCATGATATCAAAACTATTTTCAAAAACTTCCAATTCGTTAATACCATTCATGTAAAAATTTTCTTCTAATGGTTGTACTGGTGAAAGAAACATCTCATAAACAGCGGGATATATTATTGAAAATGTGGCATTATACAATGGACTAGGTCCAAAATTGTGAACCTGTTAAGAACAAAATGAAATTAAAATTGTGTCGGTATAGTTAAAATGCATCTTAATTTGAAGTGCTTTAGAATCTCTAATACACCAATCTCATTTTATGGCTATATAAATTCATTCAATTCTTACGCAAAAACAAGTTGCTGAAAAATGAGCATTAGTGCAGTAGGTAGAAAAAATTTAAGAAAGCAAACATATTTTTAAAAACCTTCACTTTAAAAATATAGAGATTCCTATATTATACACCATGGGTATAGGAAGAAATATTTAATTTCAAAGCTTGATCATTTTACTGGAGAAAGGGTTATTAAAAATGTTTTATTTATAACGTATTTTATAGAAGAATATATTACCTCAAACGTTTTTTCTAGAACAAAATCTTTTAACTGATTATCATATAAGTGCAATGTTTGCGATTCGATACTTGACACTTCAATTATTTCCACTTTATTGCATCTCAAAATCGTGAGCCTTAAATTATCGTTATTATCGCTTTCATCTATTTCGTTGCTCAAACTTGATGCATGCGCTTCAATTGTTAACTCTGATCCTTCAAAATTTGATATATCAAAAATCATGTTGAAGATTTTCTAGAAATAAATTTTACTATTATTGCAGTTCTTGTTTTATATGTACTGTTGATTACCAATTGTTTATGTTTCATAATATATAATTGTTCATTCCATAAGTTGCATTGCAAAATCGACATCCTTTCAGAGCATGATGGCGGAATTTGAGTTAATGATAAATTATGTTTATTCGAAATTTTTACTCGTGGTAAGTATGCGGCATCAATATAATTAGTTATTTTTACGGAAACATTCAAATATCGATCTTTATTTAAAATAAGTGGCCGACTGGAAAAATTAATACTCTATTTTAGTATATGGTTGTAATAGATATTTTGTTGAAAACAAATGAATTTAAGGTTCGAATATTGATTTTATCAAAATATTTCTTTATTAATCTAGCGCTAGGCTGGAAAAATTCTTTAAGAAAACTAATTTAATTAATTAAATATATTTCCATCGACCTAAAATTTCATTTAATAATAAAGAAGTTAGTCTAGTGGAATTCGTTATCAGCTATTGTAGAACTCAGAAAAATGTTAATAAAGCTGGATATTACTTACTTTATACAAAATCTAAGGTACCGTTGCAAATTAAGTTAGTAAAATAAGTTAGGAAATTTTTCGTGGTTTTTAAACGGGCAAAATAAATTAAATATTAATATAAATATTAAATAATTAATAAAGAAAATCTATTCTATCAGCTTTTCTGGATGTCATTCTAAAAATTTTTGATTACATTACAGATACTTACTTTATTTCAGTAAATATTTCGACCTTCAGATTAGAATTACATACGCTGTTATTTCCACAGCTATGCCGTATAAATAATTCTCTATTAACTATTTTATTATGATCATCCGGATGAACCACTGCACATTCTTCACAAAAATTTTCTTCAAGTTTATCTTGAATATGTTCATAAGTTAATTGTAAACTATAAGATTTTCTATTTTCAGCATGTTCTATATGAATTGAATGATTTCTACATTCTTTTTGATCGGCCGTAAGAACTATTGTATCTATTTTCTGTGTTGAACCATCATTGAATTTTATTCTATTATCAATTCGATCTAGTTTCAAAATCAAATTAAATGTTAAATTTTTCTTTCCTCCAAAATTTTCCTTAGGTACTATTGAAAATTTTATACATGCTGTTATTGTTGTACTTGTTTTAGTGAAATGTATAAATTGAGGAAAATTTTCAAAAAAAAGGTTTACATTCGTTATATCATATGTTCTATATAAGTAAACGGTATCACTATTTAATGAAGATATTGCGATATCATTAACACCATTTCTATCTATATCTACACCACCTGATATTGCATATCCAAAATAATTTGGTCGTGAAGTTGCTTCAAATAGAGGAGCTTCAATAATTTGAGTTGGTCTTGAATTTATGCCTTCTGCACTGCCATGATATATAAAAACTTTACCATTTTCTATATATGGAGCACCTACAGCTATGTCATTGTAACCATCAAGATTAATATCTCCGAGTGATGCTAAAGAAGAGCCAAATTTTGCACGTATTTCTCGTTTTGGTGCTGTTATAATTTTATTTATATTGTTCGTTAATGTTTTACCATTAAAAAAGTAAATTGCTCCAGTTTCCGGTCTATCTTTAATTGAATAAAATGGTGCTGATACAATAATATCAGAAATTCCATCATTATTCAAATCTTCTGTAAGTATGCTGTAACCGAAATACTCATACTTTTGCGTTCCTTTTAGAAATATACTTTTTTTACCAGCCATCGCTTCATTTATAACTAATACAGTTCCCTGCCCTGAATATTTTGGTGCCGATATTACATAGGAAACAGTATTTTCCTTATCGAAAACACCTGCAGATACGGAATATCCCACCAAAGTGTCATCAAAGCTATGATCTAAATTATCCGATTTTTGAAAAATATTACGGTTAACGTTAATGCGAACATACGTGCCAATTAAATTTTTCATCGGTGCTCCTACTAAATATAAATTACGTTCCTTAATCCAGTAGCTACTCATTCCAAAATTAGCAATAGCTTTTAAATTTCGAACGAATTCATTTGAAATAATTTCATTTATAAATGGTTTGTATTTCAATACGGGTTCACCTTCTTTATATACATAACATATTCCAAAAGTTAGAAAAAAACGTCGTGTTCTAATTGAGGGGGCACAAATTATAAAAGTTGATTTATCTTCTGTTTCAGTTTTATCTCCTGATATTGTTGCTCCCAACCATTGTTGATGTTTAATTTCAGTATTTCTTTCCGGCTTATTATTCACGTTATCATTTGGGTCAATAGCTATGACTTCACATGAATTATTAAAGGAAACGGAGCATTTATATAATGCTCCTGGTTCAATAATTGCAGATTGATCAGGAAATGTTGAACTTGCTCTAGGAGCTCCAATTAAAATGCTTTACACATGTGTACAAAAATTAAATTATTATTGAAAATTATTAAACTATTCATTTAAGTTAAGTTACCTATTTTGCCGTAGTAATAAACTGAATCCAAAATAAGATGGTCTGTCTCTTAGTGGTGGATCTGTTTCTCTTGAAAAAGGTTTAGAATGATATATGTTAGGCACTGGTGAAATATTGAATGAAAATATACTTCCAAAAAAATAATTTATTACGAAGTATATGAAGTATAATTTTTGCATTTTTACAAATTATCAGAAAATAAAGTATTTCCTGCGCTCCACATTACAAAACTAGTGATTTTGAAAATTAGTAATATATAAATAAATTTATATCAAAAGGGCTGATTCAAGGGAAAAATACAATACAACCACAATATCCAGGCAATCACAAATAGTTGATAGTTTAAAATGGGTGTACATGTATGCGTTAGCGACGTATTAAAATACAAGTTCTATCATATTATGTAGATTTATTGAAATTATTTAGCTCCTCAATATGAAAGTGTGTGTTAAGAATTTGTTTTGAAATAAAATATCTTGCTAACCATAAGATAAAAATTGAGAATTTTTATAAGAATCATAATGTAATCCTATTCAAAGCTCATGTTCGAACCTTGGCTTTTATAGAAATGCAATATACTCTCCATAAGTACAACTTGGTTGGGAAGTATTTTTCTAAAGTACATAGTCTTTTTGTCCACTGCCACTCTTTTGATTACTTTGCACTGAGCGGAAAGGACGAATTGAAGAAATACTTCCAATATCTCGAATTTTTCCCTGCGTCTGAAACAGAGAAATATATCAGGTCGCAGAAATTCTAACGTCGACTCTATTATGTTGCAAATGGAAGTAAATATAGTCAACTATTTCGTTGTCAGTAACTACGAAGTCCTTTAAAACTAAACTAATGTCAAAAAATTCTAAGAGTCAATATAAAGTATGGGCATCGTATAAAATTTCAAAACTTTTATATAATTATAATTCCCTTAATGAGCCTACAACCAAGAATTTAATAACAGTCAGCAAGAGTTTTCTTGTAATATGAGCCCTATATGTAGTACGAATAATTTCTTTACAATTCTAACCTTATAAGAATTTACTTTTTACAAATATTTAGAAACGGAGGAACCACAGTAATTATATTTCCTATATCCACAGTAATACTTATATTTTCTATACAATTAATTTTAAAGTCGTACAAACATATGTGTTTGAAATAATTTCTTTGTATTTGCATAATTATTTGGAATATTACTTATGCAAACCGTATTTAATTTATGTAAACTGTAAAAATTTTAGAGAAATTAATGATAAAAAAGTTTATTGAAATGAGCTTAGAGTATGGAATTTTTGCATTTTTTTCCTGTATCCAAAACGCAACGGTTACTTATAATTCCATTAAACAAATATTTCAAAAAAATATAGAAATACAACATCAAAATTTATTTTACTTTTATAAACATTGCAAGTATGAAAATGAATTAAATTTTGAAACACAACATGTTTATGGTTGACATTTTCGAAAACCACAAACTTTCTATTACTCAGCGAATTATTTATTAATAAAATATTTAAAATTTTTATATTAAACTTGAGCAGTGTAAAGCTGAATAAGTTTTAGATTTTAAAAAGTTTATGTCTACTTTATTTTAAATTCATTTAACTTGATATGAATTTGAATTGTATATGCGAACATTAAATACTTTCATCAAGTTAAACTGAGCGTATTGATCGCGCTTGGAAAATTTATTAGTGACACACGAACTATAAATAATTTTTTTACAACTACGAACCACACCTTTAAGCTTTACCTGCATATACTGCAAATTGCAATTTGAATATGGAATCCAACATCCATTGAAAATTAAGAAACCTACTCATAAAAAAAAATATTTAATGTACCTTCACCTTAAAATCTTTAAAATGTCACTTTTTTAATAATCTTCTTTTTTCGCCTTACAGCAAAGTAGGCACGTTTTATTACAAGCAAAAACTGAGGAGATATAATTGCGTGTCTTTGATTTAGGAAAAAAGAATAGTTTTCCTATATGTGGAATATGTTATAGACAATATCATAGGGAGGTGTTAACAAAATATCTTCTTAAGTAATGCTAATGAGAAAGAAACAGACGGGATAACGGATTTCTGTTTGTGGGCAGATACTTGCAGTAGACAGAACAAAAATAGAACAGTTTTTGCGGCTTTAATTTACCCTATTAAGCATAATTATATCAATAACATTGAGCTCTCGAACATGACCACACTCTAAATGAAAATAATAGCGTTCAAGCGACAATTAAGAGATAATCTAAGGGAAAAGCGTTGTATATACCAGAAGAATGGCATTTTATAGTCAGAAATGCTAAACAAGAAGGTCGGAAATATTTATAATGTTAGGGAAATTATTGAATTCCTTTAATTTCAAAGAACTTTTTCTCATAGGATATTGGAATAGTAAAACTATTGAACTGGAATGGAACAAAATTTGAAAAATTCATATTGAAAAAAGTTTTTGTTTTTGAAAGCGTAAAATTTGATTTGATGAAAAAATGTACAGCAAAACAATTCGGTATGTAAGAAAATAATGTAAGTTTTCTTACCTTATACCTATTGTTTTCACAAAGTTTACTGATATCCGTAGTTAAATATAAAGATTTGATATCACTGTGCACATCCGGTAACATTATCGAAGCATATCATAATTCTGTTGAAAATTTAAAACATGAAAATGAGAATTCAAGCAACTACGACGGAATTGCAGAGGATATTTATTGCCAAGACAACACTTCTTATAAAAGAACGAACCGAAATAGGATTGCCAAAACGCAGAGAAAGCGTTAACCAAAAAGATAATTATTTAATGAAAAATTGTATTTTATTTTATAAGTTACCATAATATCCTTGGGACACATCGATTTATGTTCTAAAAATATAAACATATCTTAAATTCGGCAAACGTATAGAGAAGAAGCGGCTTTTCTTGTGTGAATTCAAAATTAGGGAATTTTAATATTTGGAAACTCATTCATTACTTTGAAATGTTAAGACTCATCAAATTTAAAATAAAACCAAATGCATAATGGTAAATTCTCCGGAATTTTAATTTGTAAGCGTTTTTACTCAGAAATGGGCTGCTTTACAAAATTACTTTGGTTTAATTCAAATTTATCGTAATATAACTGTGAATTTTTGGTTTGCCTCATGACTGTCTAAAACATTTTCTAAATTTAAACTTTATGAGAAACCTTATTCGTTCTATTTTGAACGTGAATATTTATCACACCTCTATATTAAACCAATCATTAACAAGAATGTTCCAGTCGTTTTTTGAAGCAATCATACGACTGGTTTTAATTCAATTTAAAACTAAGTTAAAAAACCATGTTTAGTCAAAATTATTATTAACACATTCCCTGTCCGCTGAGCCACATATGGTTCAGGAAACGTGCGCTTGATAAGCACTGATATGTTCCTGAGCCATATGTGCGTCAGGGGGTATATGAAACTTCTAAAGCAAATTATTCGACTGGACGTAACGGAACTGTACAGTACAAAAACAGTTTCAGTATGACTACAAAAAACAAATTATTCAAAAAACCCTATTGGACTTGTCCGTCAATTTTGTATTGGGACAGGGACCGTGTTAAGAGTAAGTTTTACAGAAATAATATTAGAATTAATAAAGAAATATTTATTTTTATTACACGTAATTATTCTCAACATAATTAATAACTAAACAGATATGTCCGGTTTCAGAACTAAACCTTTTATATTTTTTACATTGAATCCTCTTCTATTTCTTCTGTTATAAGGTCATCATTTTGGTTTAACTGTAATATACCGCTGACATGACGTGGGTCGAATCCATCTGGAATTGCTGTAATTCTCATTGATTGTCTCATAATACTTTGCCTTTTGAAATCTTTAACTTCCTCATGTTTTTTCCTTTTGAAAAATCCAAGCTAAAAAATATTTAAGTTTTGTCATTTCGGTTTGAGTTACTTAAATAAATATTAATGCAGTTTAATTTATTCACTTAAAATGAGTTAGACTTCTTGGAACACTTACCTTATAAAATAGAAAAGCAATTAGAAAATAGACTATTAAACCTATAACGAATGAAACAGCATAAATCCAAATTTCAGATTTCTGTATGGGAACAGTTTTTATGATAATTTCTTCAACTTTTGATCGAAAAGTGAATATAGTCGGTGTACAATCGTCTCTGTAAAATTAAAAGGAATATTTTATTAAAGAAGCAAGAAAGAACAAAATAATTCAACTTTGATTTACATAATACAGTAACCTACAAATATGCCCAAAAATTTAAAAAACAAATGCTACGCTAATAGTTTTTCTAACAGTAACGTCTATTAATTAAAATATAACTTTCTCTGTTTTTATTTTAATCTGGACGGTTTTTTGTAATACTTACGCGTTTGAACAAAGCTGGCTGCTAGCGATGAAATTCAATTTATATATGAAAAACTCAGTATTATATTTTTTCAATAAATTCCATAAATCTTTTTGATTCACTTTAAATTTGATTATAATTTCAGAAACACTTGTCGATGATGTCTTTAGCTTGTCAATTATGAAAGACTTAGTATGTAAATTTTCGGAAGAAATCGTATCAAATTCGATTTTATTTTCGAACGGAATAACTTTTATGAATTCTGAATATAAACTTGGCAACCAATGTGTAGTATCTATGCAAACACCCTCAATAACAGCACTGCGTTCTTTGCGTGAGTTAAGCAATTCAATAGAACTGTTACCACTATTATTGTTATTACCAATATCATTTATTTCATTTAGATTTAGTTTAACTTCATCATTCAAAAACAGTTTAAGTGGTTGAACTGGTGATATGATTTTACTTGAATTGAAATTTGATACAATTGGATATTGAATGCTAAAATTTAAATTAGTCAGTGTACTTGGTCCAGCATTTTTTATCTGAAATCAAAATTAAATTTGGTTAAATCGGAAATTTATAAAAAATTATATTTAATTAAATTGTATTTTATACAATTATATTGCGTCATCGAAATTATTCACTCCAATATTTAGAAACAGATACATTAAAAAATGGTTATAAATTTTTAAGAATTCGGAAACTGTAATCATTTTAAAAAAATAAATTCTAAAGTAACACTTTTCTCTTGAACAAGTGAAAATAGTTAGAATTTTCGATGCATTTACCCTTAGTTTTTTACTTTAATAGAAATTTGAAAAGTTTGCAGTTTCGGAAAAGCAAAGCGCCGAAACAGAGAAGTTCTGCACAAATAAGTTTCTAGTAGAGACCCTTTTTTGAAAATTTCAACGTTCGATGTTAAGAGTACACAATTTTCTTTAGTTAGCTTTGTAAGCTGACATACACCTGCAGACAGATAAATAAAATTATTTGAATTAAAATAAATTGAATTGCCGACTTTCTTTACAAGTAAAATCCAAAACACAAACAATTATTAAAAACAAGTAATATTTCATAAAAAAAAAAAATCGGAGTTGAGTTTAATTTCAAAATTGAAAATTCAAATACAATTAGTACAACGCGGACATCCACTTCTAACTATCGCCTATAGTTATGGCTGTATACTTATGTGAGAGTTGCAATAATGTTAAAACTTACTTGAAATGTTTTCTCAAATTCTATCATTTGTTCTTCACCTTCATACAAATTAATAAACTGAGAGCCCTCAAGAGATGTTTCAATAACTTCTATATCACCACATCCAACAATTGCAAATGTTAAACTAGCAACATTATCACTATGATCAATTTCATTGCTTGAACTGGAGACAGTCGCTTTAAAAATCAATTTTGATCCTTTCAAATTAGAAATATCAAAAGTTAAATTCAAAATTTGCTGCAAATAAAAAATTCAAATTAATGAAATATTTTAATAAATTTTGTTTTAATTTTAATTTAAGGTAATAAAAAATTTCGATTTTCTATTTAATTTTTTGAGTCTACAATGTCCGATCACTATAACATCAATATTCTTTAACAAGGTAAAATTTATTTTATTTATAAGTAACAAGGTATAATAAGGGTTACTTAAAGCATTTAAAAATAAATTACATTTATTTATAAAAAAAGGGAATTGTAACAAGAAATAAAAATTTTATATTAAATACCGTTTCATTTTGTTGCAGGACCAAATTTTCCTCATTCGATAAAGCACATTGCAATATTCGTTCTTTATTTTGAAGATTCAACATTTTACACTTAGAAGATTCCTTATATAGAGGTATATTTTGATTTGTTGTTATATTTATGCGTGGTAAATATGCAGGATCATTCCCCACCAAATTCTGTGTTTTAAAACTTACTGTTAAATATCGATTCAGATCCACAAGCAGTATACTCCTAAATTTATTTAGAAAAATTTAATATAATTATTTTACTCTATGTACTTCAAAAATAATAATAAAAATACATTCTAGGAAGAGTTCGTCCCCTAAAGTCACCCATATAGCTAACACAGGAAATATTAAACTTTGAACAAAATTTATTATAAAACACGAGTAGCATTATATGAGCGCCCTTTACTTCCAAAAATATATTTTAAAAATATTCACTTAAATAATAATAAATATTACGTAATGTGCCAATACGTTACGTAACTCAAGTTTTTAAATAATCATTGAAATGAATATATTTTTGATATCGGGGTAATTGTTTTATTGTATTTTCGGAATATTAATAAATTTCATGTATGAAATTATTTTTCAAAACAATGCCAATAATAATCGAATAGTGTGTAATTCAAAACATTTTTACGCGGTCCAACCGCATTTTCTATGTATTAGATTACATCCATGAAAACCGAATAAGACAAATTTCAAGTTTTACGAAAATATATAACTTTCACCTTAAAAATATTAATTTAATTGTATTTTGGAAATTCGATTTCTAGACTCTGATTTCCATAAAAAGTTTGAAATTAGTTCTTTTACATTTACACAATCAAAATGTTACCATTATTTTATGGAATGCGTCCGATAGAAACACTTTAAAAAGGGAATTATTAATTTCTATTTGAATTATGCTGAAATCGGGACCGTTTTTTTTATCATATATGTATCACACACACTTACATTATGGTGACGGTAAACTACACACATACCTTCCAGATTTTTCAATTTCAACTTTAAGATTAGAATTACAGGTACGATTTCCATCACATAAATGCTTTATGTATAATTCTTGATTAACTGATTTATATTTGTCCTTTGGATGAATTACAACACAATTATTGCAAAAATCTTTTTCAAATTTTTTTTGAATAAGGTCATAATATAATTTTAATACAAAAGGTTTCTCCCTTTCTTCGTGTTCAATTGTTGCTGTATGTTGACTACATTTAATTTGATTTTGTTGTAAATCAATTTCACTTATAGTTTTTGTTGCATTATATGCAAATTTAATCCTTTTATCCATTGGGTTTAAATTTAATGTTAAATTAAATTTTAAAATCCCATTAAATTCATTTTTTAAAGTTGTAAAGCGTATACAAGTTTTGAATTCAATATTCGGTTTTGTATAATGAATGAATTCCGGAAGATTTTCAAAAAAAATATCTACACTTACAATTGGATATGCTTTATAAAGGTAAACTGTATCAATATTAACAGCTGAAACCACAATATCATTTACACCATTACTATCGATGTCGGCACCATTTGATATTGTAAAACCAAAATTATGTTTTAGGTGTATTTCATCAGAAAATTTTGGTGATTCAAGAATTTGTAATGGTATTGCATATAAACCATTTGAACTGCCTTGATATATATAAACTTTTCCATTTTTTTCATATGGTGCTCCTACAGCAATATCATTATATCCATCTAAATTAATATCACCTAATGAAGCTAAAGATAAACCAAATCTACCATATGAAAATTTACTTGGAGCAACAATTATTTCTTTTTTTTTATAATTGTTAATACTATCGTATATATAAATAGCACCAACTTCATAACGATTTTTTAATGAATAAAATGGTGCTGATACAATAATATCAGAAAGTCCATCTTGATTTATATCTGTTGCTATAACGGAATAACCAAAATATTCATAAGGTTGTGAACCTGTTAATACTCGTTCCCTTTTGTTTAAATTATTTTCATTAACTACAATAACATTACCGACACCTTTATAACGTGGAGCACTAATAATATAAGATATTGCACCATTTTTATTAAGTATACCAGATGTAATAGAATAGCCGCCATAAGAATCACTTTGAGTTACTGAATCAACAAGTTTTCCTTTACCATTATTTAAATTATAATGAGTAAATGCACCACGATTTCCATCACAGGTTGGTGTCCCAGTCAGAAAAATTTCTCGTTCTTTAATCCAATGACTACTAAAACCAAGATTTAGAAACATACGGCTATAATGTTTATATTTTTCATAATCTGAATAAATAATTTAATTAAATTTCTATTACAATTTTTAATAAACAAATATTATAATACCTGGCAAGCTTTGTTTGTACTTTTTAGAATCAGTTTTAATATTTCTTTGAATGTAACATACTCCGGAAATACGAAAATATTTGAATGTTTTAACAAGCGGCGCACATACCATAAAAGGATTATCTCCATTTTGTTTACCTATAACATTTCCTGAAATTGAAGCACCAAGCCATTGATTATCTCTCCTTTCTGTTTCATTTTCCGGCCCATATTTTATATTTCCGTTTTTTTCAAGAACAAATGGTTTGCATTCCTCTTTGTTTTCAGTAACCGAACAAATATATAACAAACCTGATTCATTAATACTTTCTTGACTTGCAAGACTTGAATTAGCTCTTGGAGCACCAACCAAAATTCTAAACTTTTACAGATTAGTTGCTATTAAATTTTAAAATGAATTGAATCAAGAAATTATTTGTACCTATCTTTCTGTAATAATAAACTTAATCCGAAATAACTTGGTTTTGCTCCAGTAGAAATATTTTTATTTTGTGTATATACAAAATTTGGAACTGGAGATATATTATAGCAAATTATACAAAATAATTTGTGAATTAATAAAAAATTTATTAAAATTATTTTCATATTTTTTAATTTTTTTTTGGAAAAAATTTCTTTTAATGTTATCTAAAATGACCAAAACTTTGAACTACACTGATTTTACTTTATCATATCATCGGTGTTTCAGTATTCAAATTCGGTTTATGTTTAAATTTATACAACCGCAAATGAAAGCCGATGTTGAGCTTTCATAACAATTTTGAATAAAGTGAGATTAAACAAATGGTTTGTAATGTAGCACTTTTTCCTTCAACAACTGAAAATTCGGCTTTTAATACCAATCTATGTAGATACTACATTATTACAATATTACTTTCATTCATATACTAAATTATTTCAAATATTTGCATACATTTAGGATTAATAACACATGCAATGTTTGAAATAAAAAATATTTAAAGAGACAATAACATAATGCTCGAATTTAATGGTTGATCGCGTGAATCAAGAAAAATAATTAAATTTCTTAATAGCGAATTACCGTTAACTTTCTGCATTCATAGAAATTTGGAAAAGTTTACAGTTTCGAAAATATAAGGTGCCGAAAATTAGAATTTTACAAATTTCGAGAGGCAATAACTTGAAAGGAGATGTAGGTAGAAAATTTATTGTACTAAAGTATGTATTAGTGTCTAAAAGCTGCTAAAATATCAGACTCCTACAAACCGCAGTCTAGAAGAAAAACGATATCAAAAATTTGGGAAAAACGAATTTTAGATAGCGGTAAATTTCATCAGCCGTTTTTTTTTGTCAAGTTCAAACATGCTACGCCGCGATATAAGACGCTTATGGTTTAGTTACAATAAATAGTTAAAAAGTGGCATTTTTAAGGTTTTTGTGGACTATAACTCTTAAAGGGGGGAGGTAGATAAAAATTTTCTTCTACGGAAATAAGTTTCCAGTAGAGATCAATGCACATATGAAATTTTCTTTCTCCAAAGATGTATACTTGTAGGCATGTCCTCGGACGGACAGGCGGTCAGACAGAACTAAACTAATAAACATTTTTTCCAAAAGTTTTTTGGAAAAGTGCTAAAAATATATTAAACAATATTTCGAACATATGGGACAAAATAAGGAAAAAAATTATTTTTATTTGCAACCTTCATAAATTTATTATTTTTGTGGTTAAAAATTTGAACAATAGTTTAGAATTTAAATAGTGAACGCATTCCATAAGAGGAGTAATTTTGCTTACACATTTTGTGTTTTATTTATTTATTTATTTAATTTACTTTAAAATCATATATTAATAAAATTATATTATGTCGGCTAAGTGCAATTTAGATCCATACGACATATTTCTGGAATTGAGAAAAATACGTTTGATTTTTAGCAGCATTGGATTTAAAAACTATTAGGAGTTTGATTATAGTTTTTTCAGGTTTTGAATACAAAGTTTCATTTAATTTCGAAGCAGGGTTCGAAAGTAATAGCAAGTTATGATAAAAGAAGTCCAACGCAATTTTGATCCATATGCACTTTCTATGATTTGTATTCATGTATGAAGATCAAAAAAGGAACAAAATAAAAACGAACCTTGGTTCTTCACGCTTCATTATTTCTCATAATATCTTGTATCATATGAGTAAAGAATCGCGAGATCAAAAAATTGAAATTTAAAACATGAAATATGAAAAAGTTTGATTTTCCTTCACCTTTCAAAATGTTTCTATCATTAAAACTATGCCATTATTTAAGCGATTTATAAATTTCTCCAAGGAAAGCTACACATATATAAATGAAAAGTCATCCAAGTTTTTTATTAAAGTTATTTTTAAATCTACGTTTACCTTAATCTGAAAACCTTTTTAATTGTACTTATTAATTAATTTGTTCAATAGCCATTTTGAACGCAATTTTTAATAGAACAGAATGTGAACCCTTATATTTTATTTATATAGAAATTTAGAATTTAATTGTGTAACTTAATTGATGAATTTATGGTCAACACTTTTCAATATTATACCCTTTTATGGAAAGAAACTTTTAAATATTTTCAAAAAGACTTTCAGAGGTGGATGCAAATTGGTTTATTCATAAGACTAAACTAAATAGCAAATGAAACGGATTGCATATATGGAACAAAACTGCACTCAAGCGACAAAATAATTTGTGAATTATAAAACAAAACAATTAAAATTCATCTGTCATAAAATTATTTGAATAAAATCCTTCTTTTAGTTGTTCTATTGGTGGGGGACTTTGTAAATCTGTTATACTAAAAGGTCGATCAGGTTCTACGCTTCCATGATGCCGTTTCCTTTTAAAAAATCCAACCTTTAAATAAAATTTGTATTCATAAAATATTTAAATTTAAAGCAATATTCTACCTTATACAAAAGTAATCCAATTAAAAAATATATAATAGCTCCACTCAGAAATGAAACAGCATAAAGCCAGGCAGGAGTTTTTGTTACTGGTTGTTTAATTATCAAAATATCATGGACAGCTGTTCGTATTGAAACTGACACTTTATTTTTGCTGTGACTGTTAAAAAAAATTTATTTTTAATTTTATATTTGATTCTCTATACTTTATTTAATTTTTAAACTAAATTCTGGACTTTATAATGTGGACAGAAATTTTGTAAAAACATAAGATATAAGTCTTATGTTTTAGTCATTCGGTTTAATCATTCGAAGCTATTATAAACTAAGTAGCAATTATAAGAAGCAAATAATTTTAAAAGGAGTTATGGAATTTCAAATTGAACAGTTCCAAAAACGATTTCAAATATTTTCCAAGGTCTTTCGTTTAAATGATTCTTAAATTTAAGAACTCCTACGTGAATTTTCGGGAACATGATTCAAAAAATCAATTTTGTTATTTCAATTCACACTTAATATTAAAAATTTTTTTTTTCTTTAACAAAATACTCTTTCTAAAATTTAAATTTTTCGTTCATATTGTTAACTTTGAAACCGATCCTTACCTCCATTTTCTTCGATTTTTCATAACACCAATATCAATTTTATACAAAAAATATTCCTTTCCAGTCTTTTCCATTATTTTTTCAATATTTTCTAAATCAAGTGCAAAATTTATTGACATTTCCACCTTTTGGTTTTGTTTTGCCTTAAAATTCGGCATTTGGACACTTTTTTTTAAACATAGATTTTGATTTTCCAAATCCTTACATGTCAATGAAATTGAATTATTATTAAACGGAAAACTAATAAAATCATCTAAAGTATCTATTGCTGTTATGTTAAATGAAAAGCGTTTGTTGGCCGAAATATTATTTTCTCCTAAAGAACGTTTCGATATATTCTTTTGATTTATAAAATCCAAAGGATTAATTTCGTTTGCTGTTGTAATTCTATTTGGTTTCCATCGTGTATAAGCTTTTAATGTTGTCATTGGTATCCTAGGAATATTATTTCTAGTTATTAATATTGAATCGTTATATTTTCCAATAACAGTAAAACTTTTGGAATTATTTTGAGGATGAATTAACTTTTCACCATCAGTAGTTGTTGCTGTCGGTAAAGAAACTGGAAATTGAATGTCATCTATTGTACTAGGACCTAAATTTGTTATCTAAAATTTATATTCAATTTCTAACAATTTATACATATATGTTAATTATATTTATAATTTAAATTGTTACATAAATTTCACAGATATAAGAAGATCTTGATGCAAGTTTTATTTTTTTATATTATAAGTCAAATCCCAATAACTAATAAAAGTAAAACAATGTAAAATTTCATGTAAAATTTACAAGTCTTTCGAATCTTTCATGTAAAATTTACCTAACAAATAAATATTATTTGTATAATAACCTTAATTGATTTGTTCACATTTAACACTTTTGGATGTTCATCAGATAAATGAACAATTTGAGGTTGGGAATTTTCTACAACTTCCATAATACTAGATTGTAAGAAATTTATTTCAATTTCATTTACTTGACCTTTTCTAATGGAACTAGATACATAACTGTATGGAATTGCTATTATTATCAATGTGTCATCTTGTAAATTTTTTGTACTAAACAATACTTCAATTTTTCTCTAAAATAAAGAAAGAATATTTTATTATTTAAGAATAATAGAAAAATCTTGTAATTTTATATTTTCATACCGAATCATCCAGTCGTAAGTATAAGTCATCATTACGCCACAAATCACATTGCAATACGAAATTGATTTCATTGCAGAATTTTGGTATTTTTCCAAAAGAAAGTTTATGATTTGAAGTTATATTAATTTTTGGTAAATAGGCTCTACGTTGATAATTTTTAATTTCATATTCAATCATAAATTTTTTATATTTTCCAAGTTCTAAATAGAAGTTTTCTTCCAATTTTTGTAAGCTGTAAAATCAATAAAAATAATATTTATTTAAATGAAAATAATATTATTAAAAATTACTTTTCCATAGAAGTCACATTAATTTTTAAGTCTGGTATACAATCATTACAAGTATCGGTCATTTTAAATTTTTTGTATATGGTTCCCTTTGAATTATGATCATTGACAGTAACACAATTCTTACAAAATTCTTCTGTTAATGGATTCTGTACGATTTCATAGCTCATTTCAATTTCAAAAGGTGTCATAATTTCTTGCCCTTCATACTTAATTAATAGAAAATTAGTCTCACAATTATTTTCACCAGATTCAATTGTTATTCTATATTTTTTTTCTGTAACTTTCATATATTCTTTAGAAAGAAATGTTAAACGATTATCCGGATATCTAGATTTCACCGTTACATCAGAAACTAAATTTTTTATTGATCTTGATTCAGTATTAAAAAATTGCATACAGGTTTTAAATAAATGATCTTTCCCAATTGGAATTTCATCAGTTAAATTTTGAAAAGTTGCAACTATTGAAATGGTGGGATATGTTAAATATAAAAAAACTTGATCAGCATTTGGTGCACCAATAACTAAATCATTAAATCCATTTCCATCTACATCTACCCTACCACCTAAACTCATTCCATACATACTATTAATATTTAAATATCTTGGTGATCTTAAAATTTGTTCTGGATTTTCTTTTAATCCTTCACTGCTACCAAAATATATATACAACAGGATATAATATACAACAGGATTTTCTCCAAATGGTGCAGATACTGCTATATCATTAAAAGAATCATGGTTTATATCACCAAGTCTCGTCATTGCTGTACCAAATCTTTTTGCAGATCTTCTTGAAAATGGTGGTTTTATAATTCTATTTGTAACTTGAAAATCAGATTCAATATTAAATATATAAATTACACCAATTTCATATCGTCCTTTTTCGGTGTGTAATGGAGCTGATACAATTAATTCGTTAATTCTATCATCATTTAAATCATCAAGTAATAAACTATATCCAAAATATTCATATTTCTGTATGCCTGTTAAATTAAATTTCATTGTAGTTTGATCTTGGAAATTGTCAAAAATCAAAACAGCTCCCGTGTCGAAAAGTTTAGGTGCTCCAATAATATAATAAGAAGCAATTGCATTTTTATCAAATTTTCCTGTTACTACTGAATATCCCATATATGACCATGAACCAATACAATTTTCAGAAATTGATAAAAAATTTATGTGCTCTATTTCAAAATCTGTATAAATTGATGCTCTACCATCCCAATGTAAAGCACCAGGTTCGCCAAAAATAGTTTTTCGATTTATTTCATCTTTATATAAACTAAATCCCATTTGAGAAAATTCATATCGATTACATCCTTCTGAAGAATCTAAAATTATTTTATTATTATTTTATTATGATTATATTCGGATTAAATAGATCAAGATGATAAATAACAGATTTAATAGATCTATTTTACCTTCGCTTTTATGTGGATAAAATTCTATTTCCCAATGATTTTCATTTTTATTAAATTTTAGTTCATAACAATTCCCGTCCATAATTTCTTGATCTTCTCCATTCAAGTTAAAAATAAAAAAATGTCTAGGTGCACAAACCGTAATTGAACCCATATCGTCACTGTTACCATAAATTGTGCCACCTAACCATTGATTGTCTGAATGCTTTGAATAATTTCCTTGCGGATCAAGACCTATTTCACTACATCGAGGAGTTTTGTTTTCAGAGGGAATTGTGCAATTGTATATTCCACCAGATTCAAAAATTGATTCATCTAACAAAACAGAATTATCTCTTGGAGCCCCAATTATTATACTGAAATATAAAATGCAATATAATATTATAAACAAATATCGAATTTATTCTCAAAAGAATTGTAACCATAAGTATATAGTCTATTCAATTAAAAATCACTGCTCTGGTTAGTACAAGTAGTTTGGTTATACTAACCGGGACAGTGTTAAAATTAATAAAAATTATTACTCTTAAGGACAAAAACTATTAAGGTAGTTAATTTTGATTTGGTATAATATTGAGTTGGAATTAGAAATCCCCTCCCTCTTTTGCGGGGCTGCATTTTTGAATGCTGTTTCATTAAAATTTAAATACGTACTTATTTTAGTATCATTTAAGTTTCACTTTCATTTACAAGTTCTATTTATTAAAAAAAAAAACATTTTTAATTTTGTGTCATAAATACCGCATTTACTAAAAAAATTTATGGCCATCGACCACGGATGAAAAAGATATCCCCAAATTTTAAGCAACATGAATGAATAAGTAACTAAATCAAGTGTTCAATCACCTACCTAGTAATAATACAAGTAAATTGAAACCACAAAACATGACGATGTACGAATGAAAGGGAAAATATTAAAGATAAAAAATTGTTTTGGAGTTTTCCATCATAAATACATGCAAGCAACATAAAGTAAATATGTTTGTATGTAATAATTACACAAATGTAAAATTATTATTGTTGTAAATTTGTTATTGTATTTGTATGAGTAAACAATGCGGTTTTCTGAATAACAGTTTTGAAAGAACTTTATTTACACAATAACACTTATTTGAATTTTATCACATATTTTTCGACGAATTTTTGAATTATTCTGAATTTTAATTTCATATCCATATTTTTCGGATTGTAATAGGGTTAATAAATTTATTTCTTCATACCAAGTTTCGATAATTTCAAAAAAAATCTATTAGAAAGCTTGACAGAAAAGTTTTTTTAATTTCCTATAAGAATACCATAAACATGAAATAGTAGTCTATCAATTTCCTATACCTTATTCTCAAAAAGTTAGACCTTAGTCAATACTTTTCGAATGTTTTCTTGTTACCATAATATCATGTAGTAAAACTTAATATCACTAGATACATTTAGATCAATACACTCTAAGTGACCACTTGAATGTTGTTCTATTAAAATAAAATAAATAACAGTCCAGTCAATTTTTCAATGCATTTTTATAAGACCTTATTTGGCATTCATTTAATTGTCTTATTTATTAATAAGAAATAACTTTCCTATTGGAAATACTTTTTAAATAGAAATCACATATATTATTCATGACATGGAATTGCAATCTGTAAATACGTCTTATGATATACACACAAATATCTTGTATGTAAGTATGTATATGTAAACAATATTATTGCAATTTCTATAATTTAAATGATTAAACTACTTTTAATTTAAAAATATTTTATATTAAAGAATTTTTATTATGTTTTAATATTTTTTCAATCCCACAACTTGTAAAGTACTCCTGACACAGAGAATTAGTGTGAAATTCCTGCAAAATGTTACCAAACTTTAACCAAGAGTAAATTAAAAGTCCTTAATCATTTTCTCATACCGTTTTGCAGAATTTTCATCACAATTATGAACAGAAAATAATCAACGATTTCATTTCTAATGCACTAGTTAAAAAAATAAATAATATTTTTAATAATTTACAATATAACCTTTTATTTCTTAAAATTAAACTAAATCCAAAATATGAAGGACGATCATTATTTTCACTTTTCGGAATTTTAAAAATTTGATTTGGAACTGGTGAAACATTAAATGTAAACACTTGTATCAAATTCCAACAGTAAATATATAATAGGAAAATTTTTAATTTAATTTCCATTTCTTAAGCAATAAAAAGTATGCACCAGAAAAAAAAACAATTTGAATCAAATATACATATACATACATATATGTATATTAGTATATGTATGTAAATATTGTAAGAATGTTTTGCTTATTTTTATTTCCAAATTAATTTGATCCGTTCAACTCGAAATTTGTACTGTAACTGAAGAGAATTTCAAAATATTTGTTTATAAAATTTCAATCTAACACAATGAAAATTAACGTGTAAAACCAACACAACTACATAAAATGAGCATATCAAAAATGAGAAATAAAATTGATTTATTCATATATAGAGTATGGAACAGCCGGGTTATTATTTGAATTAAATAAGTTGTTTTAAGGCTAACTAAAGTGTATAATAAGCAATACCTGGCAATAAATTCCAAAATATTTCTAAAATGTAAGATAAACGATTTTGTGTACACTGTACAAAATCGGGATGTAGGAATAGTTTCAAAAAATTTAAAAATTTAATATTAAAGAATCTTAGCAATAATTTGTCAATTCTACTTTCTCTAAGATGCTTAAATTTAAAGTATACCAGTAAAATATAAAAAATAAATATAAAAAATATTTTAAAATTTTATTAATTTATTTTTTTTTTAGAAATTATTGTTGTATCTGTTGTAAAACGTTCGATATTATTATTGTAAACATGAACCAATCCATACAAATGATTCGTGTCTGTAATAAAATTTTTAAAGCTTTTACGATAAATTATCACTTACGATTCAATACTCAGAATAAGCTCTAATGTTTAGGCTTATTTTGAGAATCAAGGTGAAGAAATTAGGTGATAGTGATATTTTTATCATAAAAATTTTTAAAATTTATCAACATCACAAATAATTAATATATCCTTCCATTGTATATACATTGTATATATACCAGAATATCACAAATTAAAAATAGATATATGTATGTATAATTTATTTATAATGGAAAGGAGAAGAAAAGAGTTATAACAACAATAATAATATTTGATATAGAACGAAAAATCTTAAATCAGTACAACAAGTCAAGACAGAGAGATTAAAAACAAATCTTCTCAAACTGGCCTCGAACCAGTGGAGGATGTTCTTAAAGGACGTTCTACACTCAACTAATCATATCAAAAAATCTAAAAAGATATGAAGAAATTATCAGCGATTTGTTCTATTCGAACAAAATTTTAAAAAAAGATATTTCACTACAAGTGCCGAAATAAGAAAAAGAGATCATAAAAAAAAATCAAGACTTAAAAAAAATAACAAATTTTCTGTAAATTGTAAGGATCTTGTATATTGGATATATGAGCATTTTGTGAAAACTCCTTAAAGTATTTATTTTGAAATTTGAGTATTAACAGTTCTTAGTAAATTATCTGAGATAAGGGATAAAATTATATTACTTAATATAAAAAAGTGCGGATATTTTGTCACCCCAAGCAAGGCAACCATACGAAATGTCAAAATTTAAGAAAATATGATGCGATATTAATCAAATATTAGCAATAGAATTTTGGGAGTCCTTTTCGATTTCACTATTGAATTTGCTTTCTTAAGTTTTTTAATCATGAATGTTGTCACAGAATAATTTTAATACAGTCTTCGAATAAGTACATATATGTAGAACATTCAAACAGCAAGAACTAAGCACAAATTTAAACATTTTTTTGCGAAAATTGCAAATTTTTTAAAAAAATTTTGCATTTGTATTATTAATATTTTAGCAGCGCTGTAAGCATTTCCGTGAAATTTTTTAAGTTAAGAACTGCATAATACGTCTTGAAATTTAATCCAAAGAATGATCGAAAATATAATGTTTTATTTTTCGAAATTGGTTTTATTATTTTTTATATTGAAATGATTAAAGTGGGGCTTTAAAACTTTTTGATGTAGTTGTTTGAAAAATTTCAAAAAATTAGTCATTCTTAGTTTTTTTTTTCGATTACATACACCACGATTTTCAAAATTAGCTATTCTTAATTTTGAAAAAAAACTTTAGGATCTAATATCTAAATTCAAAACAAAAAAAATATTTCTAATTCATTGTTTTTATAATAAATTTCTTTGTATAAAAATAACGTTTAACGAATGTACGCAAATAGTTTACAATTATTGATTAGTCCTTTTTTCTAAAAATGCATAATAAGTGTTTAATAAAATCTTCACTTACAAGTTTGAAAGCCACGCTTTCGTACTAATAGCAATCATATCATTAAATATGTTCCAAATAAAAGTTGTCCTTTCATTGATTTTAATATCCGAGGACAAGTGTTATTCCAAAACCAATGATTAACAATTTTAGGTTTTTTTAAATTTTTGTATGGATTTATTTTAGGTTTTTTATAGTATAATAATTTAGACATAAAGAACTTATATAAAACTTATATTTACTACAAAAGGGAGAATAAACCCTGTGAATTTATAAAAAACGAAAAAAATAGAATTGACCGTGTCACCTTTATGATACCCGTACGAATTTGTTACCCTATGTGCGAATAAATATATCATAGCTGAAAACGGAACAGACTATGATTTTAGGTTGCCATATTACCAAATTAATTTATACAAAATTTCAGCACGGTGTTTTCAATATTTTCTTAGATATGGCCAAATTACTGATGAAGTTTTAAGGCAGCTACCAGAAAGAGCCATGCAATTTCAACTAATTTTATCAAAAACATTGGGCCTACTTATATATTTGCTAATATGAAATTTCAATACCACAGCTTTTATAGTTTCTGATATATTGTAAAATAATTTTTGATGTTGTATGGCAGCTACCAGAAGAAGCCAAGCAATTTGAACAACTTTTATCAAACACATTGGCCCTACTAATATGTTTGCTAATATGAAATTTTAATATAACAGCTTTTATAGTTTCTGAGATATAGCCAAATAACTTTTACCCGAACCAGTACCCGGATCATGTGCAATTTAAATAGGGTTCTGGCACTTACTGCAATAAATCATTTGTGAAAATTTGGTGAGCTTAGCTCAATTAGCTATGCTAAATCGACTCAAAATTTGACGCTGATCAAAAACATACACTTGAGTCTATTTCTCAGATAATTATTTCTTAGCATTACAAACGGCAAATTTAGTATACCCTTCGAACATACGTTCGGGTATAAAAATTATAATTAATAAAATTAATAGCAGTTTGTAAAAAACATTCCTAATAGTTTTTAATAAAAACAATTTTTGAAACATAAAAATTTATAAACAATTAAATATCAAATGACATTTTAGTAAGCGCAAGTAATACAATTGAGTCTAGAACAGAGGACAGCAAAAAATATAGAACTAACTCACTATTTTCAAGCTTTGTCACAAAGTTTTTAAAATTTTGAAATATAATTTCACATAAAGAGTCTATGTTCTTTTCTAGGTACATTTTATTCAGCTTCAACTGCTTAGTATTTTTTCTTAAATTTTGAAGACAAAATTTACAAATTTTTTCATTAATATTTTCTAAAATAAAATCAAAACAAACTTTTGTTAATGTGAAAATGTAAGTAGATGTAAACCATGAATTCCAAATTGCAATAATACTGTATCAACTGCAGTTTGAGTTGTAATTACTATTCAGTAATAAGAGCACAGAAGCTAATGTGTGCGTTATTACATTATTCGCAGATTCTTGAAGTCGGGATTAATATCGAATATAAGTTTTTTTGTTTTAATAAAACAATAAATCCAGTTCCTTTAAAACTATCAAGTTTGTTTGTTAGTTTAAACTCTGTATTAGTTTAGTTAATTACTTGATTTAATCAATTCAAATATAAAATCTATAGTTTAACAAGTCAAAAAGGATGTATAAAAATTCTTATAACTTAAAAAATAATATTCTTTTTCGAATTTACATGAAGTATTTCTTACAATGACTAAAATTCATATTATTTTTCATAATTTAATTTTGATGGTAATAAGTCCAACACAATATTTGTGTTCAAGTATTAAAAATCATAGTAATAGTGTGCTTTTTCTTAATACAAAATATTAATATAATAAAACATTCTTAGTCCATAAATAAGTATAGCTGAATCCGTACTAGACTTGTAAGCATTAGCCAAATAAATTGGACACTTTTCAATATTATTGGAATCTCATGTTATGTTGCAATCTCTTCTGCATTATTTGAATTTAACATTGGTTCAGTAGCACCAAGATCAGCTGTTTTTGTCATATCACGATTCGGTTTTAATCTATTGAAAAATCCATACTAAAAAAAAATTTTTAAAAATTATAATTGTTTTCAACTTTGTTTTACTCGGATAATACGAGTATGAAAATGTGATTAAATATGCGTACCTTGTACATTATGAAAATCATAACAGCCAATAGTATAAGACCAGCTAAAACTGATAGAACAATAACCCAAATAGGTGTCGAAGAAATTCGATATTTTGATACAATCACATAGTGTGTACCTTTGTTAATATCCAAAGATTCCCTGTTCAATGAAATTTTAATTTTTAATGTAATAAAAATAGACAAAAAATTAAATTAAATTTACCCTGATTCGTCACCGGTTCGTGTAATATTAAATACATTTGATATAAAGAAAAATATTTTTTCATCTATCAATACCTTATTGATTTCATCTAAATTAACAATGAATCTTAAGTCAATATTAATGCCTCGATCAACACTTATACGAAAATTATTAACTTTCATAACAATATCAACACATTCTGATTCATTTGGATCATTACATTGAAATTCTATAACTTTATTGATTGGCAGTGTACCGACAAGTTCATGACTAATTTTTCCAGACAACTTCTCTTCTGTTATACGTGACATCTTTATTTCAGTTTCGTTAATTTCAATTTCAGGTTTAAATTCACTAAAACGTCGTTTTCTCATAGCAAAATTGTGAACATCATTATCAACATTGAAATCATCATTATGATGTTCAGGATCATAACCAAACTTTGAATGATCATATTTATTAGCATCTAAGGAATCAGAAACAGGTAGATATAGCATATTACTTGCTTCATTACCCCCATAATTATTTTCTTTTCGGTTTACTACTTCACCTTTTTCATAATAAGTTGGATTTAAATTATATGAGGCATAATTTGCTTTAATTGTCACATTTTCTGAACTAATAATTGTTACAAATGTTGTTGTTTTTGGTATTAAATATTCGAGTGGAACTGATATTTTAATTGTAGCTTCTTTTATTATACTAGGTCCATTATTTCTAATCTAAAATTTTACATAATTATTAATAATGAAGTACCTTTATTACCTTAGAATTTTACCTCATATTTATTAATGAATTCATGCATACCACTCTTTTCATCTAAGGTTATCATTTCATTTGCATTTGTTCGAATTACATCCACAGAACTATGCTCAATCATTTTTATTGTATCGGTAACAGAATTATCAATTACATTCTTTTCTTTACCGGTACTGAATACTTGTGCTGTGATTTCCAAATATTTCACGTCAATATTACTAGCATCAAAACTTATTGTTATTGAATCAATTTTTCCAGTGTGCATTGGTTGACCTTGATTTAGATCGCACAACAACAAATTCCGTTCAACACTACACATTGATGGTACTTTTGCAAAAGGCATATTATTTGAAGATGTTACGTTTAATTGTGGTAAATATGCAGTTTCACCATCATTCCGTACTTTGTACTCAATACTTATAATATTACTACTTCCAATTACGAACGTCTTACTGTAAATACAAAATGCGCAACTCAAATTTATTAGTCTTTCACGATTCTAAAATATTAACCTTAATCCATGACTATTAATATTCAAATCAGCAATACAAATTTCATTTGAACAACCAGTACTAAATGCTATTCTATAAATCATAGAATTCGGATGGGATGGATCCAATGCAGCACATCTGCCGCAAAATTCTAAAAATATAGTAAATTTTATTGCCTGCTATTTAAAACAAAATTATAGTTTTATAAGTGTACCCTCGGTATTAACAACACGATGGACTAATTCGAAACTCATTTTAAATTCAATTGGTTTAAAAATATCTTCTAAATTAAATTGAATATTGGTTTCATACTCCTTGCACTTATTCATTTCGGGTCTTAAATTTATAACATCATTTAAATTATAGTTTCCATCGTTGAATCTCACTCGTTTCAAAAGAGTATCTGCATCAATTTTTACTCTTAAATCTTGATTTGCTGTCTTTTCAGGATTCTCAGAATTCGTTTTCATTTTAAAACAAACTCTTATTCGAAGCTTTTTTTGATCTTGCTGAATTTCACGTGATGTTGAATCAATTGTACTAAAAATTTTTACAATTGGGTATGATTTATATAAATAAACTAAGTCAGAATTGGGTGCACCAATGGCAAAATCATTGAATCCATTTCCATCGATATCTAAACCTTTTGATAAACCATGTCCAAACATATGATTGCCATTTGCATTTTCATTATTTGGTGCCGTTATAGTTTGACTTGGTTTCGAGTTTAAACCATTTTTACCTCCTAAATAAATATAAACTTTTCCATTTTCGCTAAATGGTGCACTTATCGCTAAATCATTATAACCATCTTGATTAATGTCACCCAATAATGATATACTTGTACCAAATCTTCCTGGATCTTGATTAGGTGATTGTAGAACAGTTTCATCAAAAATAAAATTTTTCCCGAGACTTAAATAAACATATACAGCACCACAGTCGTATACATTAGTTTTAGCATAAAGCGGAGCTGAGACAATAATGTCAGTATGACCATCTCCATTAATATCTTCTGTTACAACAGTGTAACCAAAAAATTCTCCAAATTGTGTTCCACTAAACGTTTGATATTTTTTTATATTATAGTATTTAGATTTATTATCCTTAATGATATCATATATATAGACTTCACCATCATAATTATTGGCACGTGGTGCACTTGAAACGTACAATAATTTTCGTTCTGAATCAACATTAAAATACCCTGAACTGACAGAATAACCGAAATATGAAAAATCTGGCTGATTCCATAAATTTGGATTTGGGACAGAGCTTACGAATTTTTTATTTTCATCTAAATTATATTGAATTTGAACATCACGTTTTTGCATACCACCTAAATCTTTATCTTCCTCAGCACGATAACGAATTACAGATCCTTTCCAATCATATATACCAGGCGCCCCCGTAAGAATTTCATCCTCTTCACCGGTCCAATGCAAACTAAAACCAGATTGGCCGAATGCGTAAACAAAACTATTTTCCCAAATTTGTTGACCTTAAAAAAAATTTTTTTTATTACAAAGAGAATATTTTACATCAATATAAAAATTCTAGTTACTTGTTCCTTTTAATGGTGATATTGTTTTAATAATTGTAGGCTGTTCATCAATTGTATCTGAAATTTTATAACATATTCCATGCATTAAGTAATCATTTCTTGTTTCAGCTTTCATTCTCGGAGCACATGCTATTAAAGGTTCTGAACTTTTTGGACCACCATCTAAAGAGCCGCCCAGCCATTGGAAATCTTTCTTTTTGCTATCAATGGTATGCTCATTGTCTTCGGAATGTTCGTTACCTTTTTTATCAATTAAATAAACAACACAATGCCCGGATGATCCAGATTCCAATGTACATTTATATATAAGACCAGTTTCATTTATATTTCTTTGACTTTCAGTAGATGATTGAGCCCTTGGAGCACCTATAAATATACTAAAAAATTTCATTCAAGACTTGATTTTAGTTATGTTGTCAAAAATATCTTTAAAATAAATTGTTATTGGTGCATTAAAAACTGCTTGATTCTTAAAGTTCGAATTGTGTACAACCTTCTTTAATTAATAAAAACAGAAATAAAAATATCGAAGTTGTCATAATATTAATTAAAGAATTAACCTTACTGTTTATTAAGTAAACTTGGCTTATCTTATCATAAGTCTCACCAAATTTTTATGCTGCCTATGAAATTCTATAGAAATTCTTAATCATTTGCACTTACAGTTTAATATTTATTTTTAATAATTATGATTCATTTTACTCACCTTCTATGCTTTAATAGTAATGTATATCCAAAATAAGATGAGCGAAGTTTGGGAAGATATCGACCAATTGTTGGTTCCTTAATTATTAAATTTGGCATCGGTGATACATTAAATGCTCTTACTATAATTATTAAATTAAATACTATTACTAAAAATTTTTGATAACCCATTTTATATTATTCGCCGATTTATTCATATGTATTATTAACAACCGCACCCGATCAAATGAAAAAAAAAATATAAAAATTTAATCTCAGCATTCGTTAGCGGTCTACAACAAACTGATAACAGTTTTTTGTATATCTAATATTTTGCTCAATTTTGCTCACTATTCAATAAAAGCTTAGATAAAACTGAATTGATAAGATTAGTGTTATCTTTTTTATTAAATTTCGATAAGATATGATTAACATAAGGCTATAGATCCTGAGTTTCTCAAACTTACGATACTCGGTAAGTAGGCCGTGTAGCATCAAAAGTGCTACCACATAGTACTCGAAATTAATACTTACTAGTTTGTGAGCTTGTTTTTTTTTTGTTTTTGGTTTTAATTACCTTTTGATCGAATATGTCTTTCCAACCTTATACTATTTCTAACTTTTTTCAGTAAATATACTTAAGCTTAAATAAAATTCTTTGTATTTATAAATTTTGATATTAAATTTCTTAATTATTCAGTCTGATCGAAAATAGAAAGAACCGAAAGGCGCCATATAATCTTAACAAAATTTATAGCAGAAATTTGATCACCTTTTCACAAAAATACGCGCTATAAAATCAACCTTGTTATCTAGATAACATCCAACTTTGAAATTCTAAATTTCACCGAGTTTACCCCACTTAATGTACCTATGTAAGTGGGAAAATTCATTATTTACCTTTTTCACACCAAGTTTCCCAAAAAGTTCTATAAATAGGTTAAAATTGCCTAAATTTGGGATAAAGAGGAAAGTTATAATATTGGCTATATAAAGGTAAGGATTAGAGTAAAACTACAGCCTACATTTAGGGGATTATTGTTTTGAAGAAAATTTTCAAAACTTAGAAAATTTGCATATATACAGGCGGAGCTTTAAATTTTTCTTTTGAAACTTCTTCTCTTTTGAAACTTCTGAATTAAAAACATGCATAATTATCGTAATTTTTCCATTATTTAAAATTTATAATGGCGTACGCTTTTAAAGTTTCTAATTGAAATTGTGCATTCAAATTGTTTGATATTGGATTAAAATTTTTCATCTCAATCACATCAATCTCATTAGATGTCCTAAAAAAAATACTTATTTTTGAAAATTTATGACTTTTTAAGCTTATGTTCTAATCAAAATTAGAGTTTTTTAAAAGTAAGTGATACAATAGCCAATGTATTCATAAATCAAACTCAATATTCAATAAATTTAAATTATAATAAATATATATAATACAAATAAATAAATATAGATTAAATAAATATAATATAAATAAATATAAATTCAAATTTTCAATATTTTAGGAAACATACTCGATTTCGTCAATCTTTTTGTCTTTCATTCTTTCTCAAATATTTAATTAAAACTCTTAAAAGTTGTGCATTACATCCACAATTTTAGTCATACTATGAATTTCCAAGAAAATTCGAAAACTAGAGGAGTTTTTTAAAAATAATTACGCTTAGAAAGTTATTGCTCCACACAACAACAAAACTTTTAATTTTTTAGGACAACTTGGCATAGTTTTTCTTTAAGTGATAATAGCTCTTGCTAATTTTCGCATAAATGTAAAATACTAGTAGTGACTCTAAAGTTATGTATGAAGGAAGTAGTTTGTTATAAAATAAAAGACAAACTTTTCTACTCAAATTCGACATTGTAATAGTCTCGGCACTAATTTACGGACTTTAAATAAAAAAAATTAATCAAATTTATAAAAAAACAAACACTATTTTATTACAATATTATATTTAAATTCGATTTGAACAAATATTTTTATAAATAATAATTTAATTAATAAATATACAAATACATATATTAATTTTAAATCTAATACTTTGGTAAAAGTAAAAATAGTTTACAAATAAGAAATTAATTTCTTAAAAATTACATACATATTAATATTTTCGTCAAATATTGACACAGCCTTTAATTTATTACTAATAATGATTTTAATTTCTGTTGGTATATATGTATATAAAACAAATACATGTGCAAGTAGTTTTATTAGTTTTATAATATTAATAAAAAATGGAATCCTTTTTTTTAACGAAAAAAAAGGTAATTAAAATAGTTATATTTTTCTTTTTTGTGATGGAATACAAAATTAACTAATTAGGATTTTTTATTCTTTAAATTAATTATTCTAATATTTTTTAAATTAATTCTAATCATCATCATCATCTTCTTGATTTTGACTATTTCTCGTTAGTGTTGCCATTTCTTCCTTTTTGGATCGTTTAAAGAATCCCAACTGTATAAGGATCATAAATAAAATTAATTATATTATTGTTAGAATTTGAATTTCAATTTAAATCGTATCTTAGTTAACAAACCTTATAGAATCCATAAGTCATCAATGCCAGTAATAAAATTCCAGCTAAAACTGACAAAATGTACACCCAAAATGGTATTGTGAATAATTGATGCTTTGACACTATATTATATGGTATACTATTTTGAATAGATAGAGTCTCACTAAAATATACAATGAATTTTTTTAGATATTTTTAACTACAATAAATTAATTGCATAAAATTTACTTAGTTAAAAAATTGCAAATTACCTATTTTCATCACCGATTTTAGTTATATTAAATAGCATTGAAATTACAAAAAATTCTTTATCTTCAATTAAAATTTTATTGATTTCATCTAAATCGACAACATATTTTAAAGAGATTTTAACACTTTCATCAGAACTTGCCCTTAAATTATTTACTCTCATAATAGCTTTAATACATAATGTAGCATCATTGTCAGTGCAATTAAATACAACTGAACGATTTTGTGGTAATGTTCCAAGTAATTGATCATTAAATGAATATTTTTTATGTGATATTTCTGCATAATCTGCATCAGTTGCTTTCATCTCATAAGCGCGTCTTCTTCTTCCTAATATCGTATGTGATAACTCATTTGAATTTTCGTTACGATGAGTTTGTGTAAATTTTTTTTCATATTTTTCAGTTCGGGTATCTAAATATTCAACAGTGCTAAAATGTTGTTCATATTGTTGTTGATTTTGTTGAGTGAATATCGTAGATGCAGTAACACTATTGTCATTAATTTCAATTGGATTACGTATAAGGATTGAATCTTTCTGATAATAGGTTATTTGTAAATTATTTGAAATATATTTGGCAGATAATGTAAAATTATTTGGATTTATAATTGAGATTCGATTTGAAGATTCTGATATTACGTATGATATTGGAATAGAAATGACGATATCAACTTCCCTAATATTACTTGGACCATGATTTTTAATCTGAAAAATTAATTTTTTATTAGAACATTAAAAATAAAATAGCACTATTTAATTTCAATTGGATTAAAATGAAGGTGTTTTATAATATTTTATCTTTATAATTAGGATAAATTGCTATAATATTAAATACAAGTAAAAGTACCTCGTATGTATTCGAAAATTGATATAAACCAGTTGTTTCTTCTAAACTAACAAAGTTCTTTGATGATTCCCCTGTTATTTCCAAATTGCTAAATTCTGTTAATTCTACAACTTCAGAAATTAAATTATCAGCAGAATTGGATTCATTGCCTGTACTGAAAACTTCAGCAATAATTTTCATTGATTTCCCATCAATATTACTTGAATCAAAAACTATTGTGATTGAATCTTTATCTCCATTAAGCATAGGTTGGCCTTGAAATAGATCGCATAATAGTACTTGTTCTATAATTTTACAAGAAGACGGGATTTTTGCAAATGGCATTCCAATTGTAGATGTAACATTTAACTGAGGCAAATATGCTGTTTCACCATAATTGATTATATCATATTTGATTGAAATCGTTTTAGAGCTCCCAAGTACAAAAGTTTTACTACAACAAATATAAAATATTCAATTAAATTTTTTAAATCTTTTAAATAAAATGTAAATTTACTTTAATCCTGTGCTGGTAAGTTTTAAATCAGCGAGACAAACTTCATTTTTGCATCCAGTACTGAATGTAATTTTTTGAAGATTTACTGTTGGAATCATTGGATCTAGTGCTGCACATTTTTCGCAAAATTCTGTAAAATAAAACACACATGTAAATAATTTGTTAAAATACCAAAGTTTTTAATAAACAACCTTCACTATCGGGAACACCATTAACCAACTCGTATTCTAACTCCAATTCAATTGGTTTGAAAATATCGCCTAAATTAAATTTTACAGTAGCATCATATAACTGACAAATATTTTCAGGAGATGCAGTAACTTTCAAATCCATTTCCGTACTACCATCAACAAAATTAACTCTCTTTACATTCTTGTCAACCTTTATTTTTAATTTTAAATCTTGTATTTGACTGCGAGTGGAAGTAGTTTCAACTCTAAAGCAGACAGCAATCTGTAATTTATTTTGATCTCTTTGAATTTCGCGGCTTGGAGAACTTATTGTAGCAATAACCTTAACTACTGGATATGTTTTATATAAATAAACTCGTTCAGCATTTGGTGCCCCAATAGCAAAATCGTTGAACTCATTTCTGTCGATATCTACACCTCTCGAAAGACCTAATCCAAACATATGACGACTTTTAAAATTTGGAAGAATCGGAGAGTTAAGAATTTGACTTGGTTTAATATGTAGACCCGTTGAACTTCCCAAATAAATATAAACTTTTCCATTTCCATAAAAAGGTGCACTTATCGCTAAATCGTTATAGCCATCATGATTAATATCACCAAGCTTTGTGACTGCAGCACCAAATCTGCCTGGCTCTTCGCTGGGTGAAACTATGAACTGCGTTTCAAAATTAAAATTTCCTTGATTAATATAAATATAAACTGCACCCATTTCATAATTCATTCCTATAGCGTACAGAGGAGCAGAAACAATTAAATCTGTCCAACCATCACCGGTAATGTCTTCAGCTAAAACGTGTGCACCGAAATATTCTCCAAATTGATTACCATGAAAAGTTTGTTTCTTGTCTATCGTATATGAACGTCCCATTTTTATTTCAATAATATCAAAAATGTAAACCTCTCCTGCTTGACTTCTGGCTTGAGGTGCCCCGGCTACATAAAGAAGTCTTGTTGAGGAATTTCCCTCAAAAACTGCAGATGTTACAGAATATCCAAAATATGAATCATTAGGTTGACCCCATGTTTGCGGATTTGGGACTTCACTATCGTAAGTTAAACGCCGTCTATGACGATTTTCCAGTCCAAATATATCACGTTTTTGTGGACTACCAAAATCGTCTTCTTCCTTTAAACGATGCCGAATCACAGAACCTTTCCAAGTGTGAATGCCAGGTGCACCAATAATAATTTCATCGTTAACCCCCGTCCAATGAACGCTAAGGCCAGATTCGCCAAAAATGTAATAAAATGATCTATAGTTATTAAAATCTAAAACTTGACCACCTTAAATAAAAAAGAAAATATTTTATTACTAGTGTAAAAAAAATATTTGAAATTGTGTACATACTTTTCAATCGAAGTGGTGAAATTTTATTTATCACAGTGGGCTGTTCATCAAATGTATTCGGAGTCCAATAACATATACCATGCATTAAATATTCGTGTATAGCATCAGCTCTGAAACGTGGAGCACAAACAACTAAAAGATCTGAATCTTTAGAGCCGCCATCCATTGAGCCACCTAACCATTGATTATCCTTCTTTTCGTTATTCCATGTATAATCATTATTTTCAAAAAACTGATTTCCATATTTATCAAAAATATATGGATTACATAGTCCATTTACTAATGAACATTTGTATATTGAACCGGTTTCATTTACGTTACGTTGAGATTCTAGATGAGATTGGGCTCGCGGAGCACCAATAAATAAACTGCAAAGAAAAACAAATTGTAAGTAAAATTAAAATATTAATCAAAGGTTTTATCTTTAAATGTACATATGACGTTCGAAGCAATTTTCAGATAAATTAAATTTAAAGTATTGCCTACTACGAACAAACCTGAATAAACTAAAATAACTTAAGTAAATTTCATAAACTCTGAAAAATTAAGGAAGCCTAACAGTATTGTGTTCTAGTGTTTTAGTAAATTCAAAATTTATAAAATCACTCAGATGATTTTCACTCAATTTCTTGGAAGAAATTTTCATATAACAAATAACAAAATAATATATTGTACTATAAAACTCAAAGCAAAAATATTTACCTAGTCCGAATATAACAGTTTATCAAATTTTTTATTTAAAAAAGCTTTTTAATATTTCGTGAAATTGAGTGAGAATAATTTTGTAGTCAATACAACTGTTTTGCTAAAATAACAATGATTCATAAAAATACCAATGTGCTTTTACTTAAAATTTAAAATGAAAACACTTTAAATAGATTTAAGAGTACGCAAAAAAAAGTTTTGTTATTATAACATTATAAACTGTTATACGTATATTACCATGCAATAGACTTGTAGGTACTGCATGCGTTGATAACATATTCTCAAGTTCAAAATATGCCAATGCTTTAATCGGAGCATAATTAAAATCGAGAGTGAGCTGGGTATAAACAACTCCAAATTAAAATATTGTGGTTTAAATTTATGGTTTTATTAATTTACATAAATTAGCGCTAACTGTTAATATAACATCAAATAATGTTAAAATTGATTTATTAATTATGGGAACTATACAAGATGTTGATTTCGTACAAAGCTTTTCGCTTTTTCTTAGTATTTATATTACTTATGTATGTTTACTATTTTTACTTATATGTATATACATATATACGGATATAATGTAATAAATAACGAAAACTAGTAAATAATAATAACGATGAGATGAAAAGTTTATTAAATTTAATGAAGTGTTGGAATTTTGTTAACAAATGATTTGTTTTTTTTTTTATTTAATTAAGAAAACATGACATTTATTGAGATTTAATTATCTTAAGCGATTTTGTAATTTTCAAATAAAATTAAAATGATTAAGTATTTTGAAATACGTATTATATGTATGTACATTATGTATGTATGTATGTAAAATATGCTCTGCTTTAAATGGGCAAAAACTAGTTTTGTATGCGGTGTGTTTATGCGGTGTGTTTATTATGATTTAACGCATGTAAATTTCTCTTGAGGGCACTGCAAAATAATTAAGTGTATGGCGGAACAAAGTTATAAGTATGTACACATGTAATTTGAGTTACAGTAAGTATACAATATTATGAAAAAAATTTTTTTAATGTATTTATGCTTATGAGCTATTAAGCATAAGTAGCCTTAATATTAAGTATTTAATTATTGAATAACATAAAATTATTCTTATACAAATTTGTAGCACAATTATTATAGGTCGTTATGTATGTATGTATATAAATTGTTCAAATTTTTTATATAAGTAGTTATTATGATTTGTGAATTGAAGCCAAAAAAAAAAGATAAGTCATCTTTTATACTTATGGAAATCAAAATGACATCTAAATAAAAAAAATTAGACAATGAGTCTACTTTGAATAATTCATAAATCTTAGAAGATAATGTGATTAATTTTTTTATTGAATATCAAAATAAATTATTTATGAATCACCTGTGTGTTGAACAAAAAATTTCCAAAAAAAACAACTAAAAAATTTATTTTTTTTTTAATTAAAACGAAATTTCTTTTTTTTTTGTACTTATGACTTAACATTCATTTCTACATACATAGGTATATGTGTGTACATATTTATGGTTGTGAAGGCGTTGAACAATTGTTTTTAAGTAAAAAAAAAATAGGTACAAAATATTTAATTTATTAAATGTTTGCACAAGTGAAATTCCTAATTAAAAATAACGTTTACACATATACATACATACTTGTATGTTTTGACTGATAGTTAACATTGTGCTATTTACATAAATATATTATAAGTAAATATGTGTATAAGTATTAAATATATACAAACACATCATATTTGTGAAAATTTAAAGAAGTTGAACTAAATAAGTAGCATAAAATTCAGAACCTATTAGAGATAATAGGAAGGTTATACTCGTATAGGGCGTAAGAGATTATTTTTAACATATGGTATGTTTTCATATTGTATATTTTGAATAAAGTATGAAATAAACTCTCATACAGATACGTGTGTATGAGACATAATAATATTATACTCATACAAGTACGTCATACACATCCATACGTGTATTATCACAATAATATTTTATATTATATCTTCCCTTCGAGGAAATATTTAAAAGGATCTATTTCAGAAATAATAATCCGAGTAATATAAATAATAATAATTATGTTCATTGTTTCAGATATTTATTATTATATTTATGATATTTAGTTTCTGTTTATTGTAATGGAGGTTATTGTATTGCGATAAAGTATTATAACATTAGTAAATAATGTTTGTCATGCAGTTATTAAGAGGTTTCACTGTTTTGGTGTTTCCATTAAACATATATTTCATTTTACTAGACATTGCTCTTCATACTTCAACAAGAAGATGCTAATTTATTGTTATTGTTTGTATGCCTAGAAGACCAAAAGTAAGTATGTATATATATGCATATTATGTTTGTAGTTATATACTATTCAACTAATACTAATTTATTCGCACTACAAATTTTTGACACTTTGTAGTTCGTGATAGTTTAATTAAATGAAATAATAAATTTTAAATCAAATATTTAAAATTTCTACTTCAAATACATATGTACACATTGAAATTTTCTGGTCCTATGACATAATACTTAAATTTATTATGTTTGTTATTTTTATTTTTATTCATCTTATTTGTTATTAAATCTACTTAATAAATAAAGCAAATAGAACTTGTTTAATAATTTTTATTCTTTACTTAATATTCATACATAATTTAATTTACTTTCTCTTGTACATACATTCCATTGGAGAATTTAATTCTATATCAAAAATATCTGATGATCACATTCACGTTGCCGAAAAATTTTTCTTAATGTAGAGAAGTTCACTCCGGAAGGTGATTTTATTCGAAAGCTTGTTAACTAACGTAGTTTCGTTGTAAAAGAGAACTCAAATATATAAATCCAAGAAATTATAATCAACCTGTATTAAAAGTACTGCAATTGATGGTATCTTACATTACAATTAGACCAAAATTGGGCTTGGGAAATTTTGGTGCGATTACAATACCTACATAAAGGTAGAATTGAAATTTTCAAGACTTAATTATTGTCTTGTAGAAATTGGGTTGATAAAATATAATTAGTACGTACAAGTTTTTTTTGCGATGACTTAAAAATTAAAAGGAAAAGCACGACAACAATATGATAATTGCGCACATATGTACATGCGCAAACCTACATAATAAAAACATACATACTTTTCGATATTATTTACTTATTTTTATTTGCTAATATTTTATTAAAGTTTGTGAGCTATTCAAATTTTAAAAAAGATGTCATACCTACATACATAGCAGTTAAATTTTGAGCGCTTTAATATTTTTGTTCACCTCAAACAAATTGAAGAATAAACACAAAAGTGTTTTGTTCGTCGATTAATATTGTATGCCCATACATTCATATTTACTCTTTTGTTACCGCAGCTTCAGAATTTTAAAAAAAAAATTAAATAGCTATGAATTTATTCAAAAATGGCTTGCAATATGTTGTCGATTAAAAAGCAGAAAACACTAAACGCATTTTTTGTGAGTTTGAATTATCCTCAAGAATTAAGTCAGAAAAACATAATCTTTCTTGTGACAAAAAAATCATAGAATACAGTTTAGAAATTATAGATACCGATCCAATTGCCCTAATCTTTACGGTTTTACGAATTTTTCGAATTGAATTTATTCAAAACACAGTTTTCTGACTTAGTGCTTTCTGCTTCTTAACGATATGTACTAAAGATATTACATTTAGATAAATAAATCTACCATCTAATTAATAACATAATAAAATTACAAAAATACGCAACACAGCGCATACATGCAAGTCCGACTGTGTACTTGTTTACTACTTTCTACGAGTATACAGTTAAGCAAGTAATTTACAACATAAAATTAGTGGAACTTAAAACGGAAATATTAATTAGCAGTTGCTTCTTGTAAATATAAAGAGCCACCGACCATCATCATTAATGATAAGTTAGAGTATTAGAGCGAAAGAAACAATTTTTGTACATAATTTTTTTTTATTATTATTACAAATTTTTTAACTTAGTTAAACAATTAACAATTAAATTTAAAAACGCTTAAATCAAATTAACTTTTTCTTTTAAATTACTAAAATAAAAAAAAAAACCCAAGAGAAACAATAATAATTTAAAAATAAATTATTTTAAATGTTTTTTTAATTAAAAATTAAATTGTACTATTTCCGGCGGCTATAGAACAAAATTTTAAATTACAAGTCATCAGGTACCACGCGATAAGAAAAATTGATATTTTAATGTTTTCTAATAGTTGAAATTTATGCTATGACAATTAGTGGTTTTTATACAAAAATACCTAAACTTAGTAGCAATTAAAGGTTTTTTTTAACATTACATTTTGAAAATAAAATATTAATTTTGACCACAAATTAAGATTTTAATGAAGGTGTTAATATTTTAATATTTCGTGAGAAGTTTATATTTATAAAAATGGTTGGCGATGAATGATATGGCTATGGTTATAATAGAGTAATTTCTTGAGAAACAAATTTTAAATGGTCACAAAATAGTTTAATCATATAATCTGAATGTTCTTCTACATATAGCCATAAAAAGTGTTACATAGTCAGGAAGATTAATTAAAAAATCTACAGCTGGAATTCTGTTAAAACCTTTCTGTGGAACTTTTAGATAAAAAAATTTTTTGAAGGTGGTAAGTAATATTGCTGAAACCTGTGATATCCTCCTATTTTGTCA